TGGCAGTTAAATTTGTCCAGAAGACCCCAAATATGCAAGATGTCAGCTCTGTGAGTAGACTACACTTTCTGTTCGCTGTGTTCAGTTTATAAAGTCTTATATTTATTATAGACCACAGGCTGTGGTCAGAAACCCTTGTTTGAAAACCAACATTATTATTTTGTTTTCAGTCATGTGACCAGCCACTTCCTCTAGAGATCACCTTGGCAAACATGGCCAGCGGTGGCTCCAGGTGTTCGAACATTATTCAGCTTCTGGACTGGCAGGTCTTTGAAAACCATTATGTCATGGTGATGGAGCGGCCTAGTCCAAGCATGGACCTGGAGGCATTCCTTGAAGTCAGCGGAGGAGTCCTCAGTGAGAAAACAGCACATACCATCATGAGGCAAGCTGTTTATGCGGCCAACGTGTGCTGTTACCGCGGGGTGTTCCACCGGGATATTAAGCTTCAAAACCTGCTGGTGAACCCCGACACACTGGAAGTCAAGCTGATCGACTTCGGGTGTGGAGACTTCATGATGGAATCAGCCTACAGTCTCTTCTCTGGTAGGTGTTTTGAATAGTGTGGTCAAAAGTATCGACTTCGGTACCAATCGATTCTGACATTTAACAAGTCAATTTGAGCGCTGTTAAACACCACTGATTGGCCATTGGTGTTCACATGCTCAGCAAATATGACTGTGATGAGTGTCGGTATCGATTGGTAGTTGATACTTTTGACAACACTAGTTATGAATGTGCATAAGCATTATTAATATACGTATTGAAAGCTGGTTAATTAGCACAGCTGAAGCCCATCTGGTATATATATTCAACATGATGCTAAACTAAACGTCTCTCCTCCAGGCACAGAAGCGTACATCCCGCCAGAGTTTTATGAAAAAGGATGCTACCGGGCCAAACCAGCGACGGTCTATTCTCTTGGGGTTCTTCTGTTCACAATGCTCCATGGAGAATTCCCATCAGCGTATGACCTGTACTACCTCCAACATGACTGGTCCAAATTTACCCTCTCTCAAGGTGAGATGTTCATCAAAGAACAATTAAGCAAAAACAGTATAATAATAATAATAATAACAATAACCTCACCTCTCCATTTCTTCTTCACAGAATGCTGTGATATGATGAGGGCTTGTCTGCATGAGAATCCAGAGTGCAGAATTCCTCTAGAAGAGATGCCTTACCACGACTGGTCCATGCTGGAGTTCTGAGTCACATTAGCAGAATGTTTTGTATATTTGATTTTTGTACATGTCTGTAATAAAGATATATTTTATTGAACTCACTTGTGTTGTGGCTTATATTGTGATCTAGCCCCAGTGTTGTCAGATTGTGTGGATTTAAACTGGTTTTGTTTGGGGTGACAAAAATTTGGCATGAGGTTTGAACAGCATCCAGTCCTTTCCAACACACACTGCAGTTGACACTGGCGTCATTACGGCGCACTTTTAGAAATACACTTTTTCAGAATGCTGTACAGCGCTGACCCAAAACCTAAACATATCAGTCACTGCGACATAAGCAAATCATCCATAAATATTCCAATGGTTTATTGTGAAATCAGAGCTGTTCAGAAAAATGTATTAAAATACAAACGTCGTAACATGAGAATGTGAGACTCAATACAAAACATCAGCATTTTCACAATAAGAGCACCCAGTTTTATTAAGGTCGTTGAGTGTTTGTTGCCCTCATGACAATCCTAAACAAAATATTCAGTGATATTCCTTCAAATCAATACTGATAGTGTAGTTTGCGCAGACACACTGAGGTTTATCCAGTGTACAGAAGTCTGAATCATCCACATTATTTCATACAATTCCAGTAAAACGTTTACTACACGAATGTCCAGCGTTTGCTAAAACTGTTCAACTCTTTAGATGATTCCTTTCTTGCAACATCTACAACTATGCTAAAAGCAATGATAGGGACGAAAAGTTTGAAAGAAAGAAGAAGACATTCTCAGCAGCAGATGTTAATGCTGATCAGCTACCCATGAAACAATAATTGAAGTTAGAGCAAACATAAGGGTTTTGAAAGTCTTTGACAAACACATCAGAGTAGCGCTTGGGGAAAAAAAAAAAATCTAGTACAAAAATAAAACAAACATAAAAGATAGTTCAAAAAACAATAATACTTGAAAATATCTGATGTATATGTAAGCTAGAAATATGAATAGGGTGAAAAATCATTAATAAAGAATCTATTTGCTGAATAACAATATTGATAACATAACAACATTGGACAATTTCATACACAGAGTACTAAAGCTGTTTGCTTACGTTTGCTGTCAGAATTATTAGCCCCCGTTTATTTTTTACCCAACTTCTGTTTAAAGGAGAGATGGGGTTTTTTTCCAACACATTTCTAAATATCATAGTTTTAATAACTCATCTCTAATAACTGATTTATTTTATCTTTGCCATGATGACAGTAAATAATATTTGACTAGATACTTTTCAAGACACTTCTATACAACTTAAAGTGACATTTAAAGGCTTAACTAGGTTAATTAGGTTAACTAGGCAGGTTAGGGTAATTAGGCAAGTTATTGTATAACGATGGTTTGTTCTGTAGACCAGGGGTTCTCAATTTTTTTTCATCAAGTACCACCTCAGAAAAAAAATTATCTCTTCAAGTACCACCATAGTAAGCAGTATTGAAATATAGTAGCGTAGTAAGCCTAGTAAAGCAGCTACATAACACCATACTGTGCTTATTTGTAAAAAATGTTTTTAAAAATAAAAAAAATGTAAACAATTAAAGTATATTTGCTTTTAAAAGTTAAAAATGGTAGGTTAATGTTCTTAAAAAGTAAAAAAAAAAAAAAAAGTGTTGTACTTAAATGTAAAGTATTAACATACAGTAGCCAATTCATCAACATCTGGAAATGTTGCCTGGACCTCAGAAATATAGGCTATATGTCAAAAAAATAAATAATATTATATGTCATTCACATATAAATCATTTTTGATCAATTTAGAAAAATATGTAGCTGGTACATATGACACATTTAATATCTCCACGTGCCACTAAAAGGAAGCTCGTGTACCACGACAGTTTAAGAACCACTGCTCTAGACTAAAACATAGCTTAAAGGGGCTAATAATTTTTTCCTTAAAATGAGGTTTAAAAAATTAAAAACTGCTTTTATTCTAGCCGAAATAAATCAAATAAGACTTTCTCCAGAAGAAAAAATATTATCAGACATACTGTGAAAATTCCCTTGCACTTTTATACATCATTTGGGAAATATTTAAAAAATAAGAAAAAAAATTCAAAGGGGGGTTTATAGTTCTGACGTCAACTGTATTTAAGTCTTTTAGTGAAATGCACATAATATAGTTGAAATAATAAGCTATTAAATGATCAAGAGCTGAGAGTTTAACTGTAAGTGCAACAGCTGCATTTCAGTTTGAAATACATGAACATGTAACGTAAAAACAGTAAATCGCACTTCCTGTGGCTGCTCAAAGGTGTAAAAGTACTCAATAAATGTTACTCAAGTGAACGTACAAATATGGTGTGAAACATTCCCTAGTGAAAAATATATATACTCAGCATGCTTACATCCAGACTAATTGTCATTATATTTTAAGTGCTATTTTGGACATATTACTTTTGTGCCAAGCCTATTTTAGTTGTAATAAAATTGCAATAAAGGGCGACACAGTGGCGCAGTGGGAAGCACAAATGCCTTACAGCAAGAAGGGAGCTGGTTTGAGCCCCAGATCAGTTGGCATTTCTGTGTGGAGTTTGCATGTTCTCCCCGTGTTCGTGTGGGTTTCCTCTGGATGCTTCGGTTTCCCCCACAGTCCAAAGATAGGTGAATTGGCAAACTAAATTGTCGGTATGTAAATGCAAGAGTGTATAGGTGTTTTCCTGTGGTGGGTTGCGGCTGGAAGGGCATCTGCTGCGTAAAACGTGCTGGAAAAGTTGGCGGTTTATTTCGCTGTGTAGAGAGCGTTATAACTGCTCTTTATGCAAAAGGGTGTTTGCGTAGACTATTCTTTTAACTGAAAATACATACAAGACACCATCTTACATTTCTTTGCATTCATACTCTGCATCTCTAATTTTGCTTAGTCAGTCTGGGAGTTCACATGATGAAGAACTGAGCTTATAAGCAGCCGGATATCAATCTGGAAAAAAAGGAAATGAGTTTTGGATACGGACAGACAATCAGAATTAAATGAAGGTGTTCAATAAGCAGAACATTATTGTTATGCAGCACTGTATTAGACCATCATCATTTCTCTATGTGAGACATGAAATCTGTTTCTTAATACTAATGTTAGCCTTGACCTTAATTCAGCTATTCTTTTAGAAGATCTCTGACCATTGCTCATTTTAACTACCTTCATTACTGTCATTAATCAAAATTAAACTGTTAGTGCATTTGCTAAAATTACTTATTTATTTATTATAATTAAAGATTATAAATTCTGCACAAGGTAAATGCTGCAGGAATGTAAATAGTAGCCTGTATTACACATTATAAAAATTGCTAAAAAAATAAATAAATAAGTGAGCAAGAATGCAGTCCTTTGGTCACTATAGGTGGGCTAATCTCTTAAGCGGGCCAGTTAAAGAATATAGTCAACTGAGAGATAACTATACACAAATTGACTATCAATTTAAGAATCCAAATTATATTTGTGAATGTGTTGTACACCTAAAAACAGGATCTTTAGGTATATTTTAATGTTTATATTAAGAGTATTTAACGATTAAACTTGCAAGTCTAGCCATGCCCAGATGAAGAATTAAGAAGTCCCTGGGCACATTGTCTTGTACTCCCCCCTACCAGGCCGCACCCCTAAAGTTGAATTAAGAATAATATAATAACATTTTTATAAAATTAATCTATAATGCACTGGCAACGTTTTTTAAAACAAATTATATTTAATACATATAATTTACAAAGATTTATTTTTAAAGCCTTTATAGCAGACTTTGAAAGAAATACTAATAAAAATAGTGAAAATTAATGGGTTTTAGTATAGCTACTTGTTCACTGAAGCAGTCCAAAAAATAGATACATTTAAAGGGTATTTTTAATGTATAACTGAATTTCACAAACTTATAATGCATATTATTTGCATATAAAACATAATGCCTCTCCAATATAGCACTACCTTTGACCGAGTTTAAAAAAAAAGCAACTTCACACTTCAGGCGCTTCTGTTATTAGTTATACATAATATGTTCTTTGACCCACACGTGAGGTATATTTTATTCATTAGAGAACACAAGTCGGTTTCCACAGTTTCCATGGATAGCGTTTATTAAATATTAACACGTGTGGTGTCGAATTGACACCCCTGAACCAGAAGCCCTTTATCTGAAGATCGGGCTAGACCTTTGGTGTCACGGCAATGCACTTTACCTGAGATACGCTCTAATTTCAGGCAAACCAATATTAGTATGATGTAGATTTTGAGAATGGAGCGAGACACATCTAGGGCCGATGAGGAGCGCGCGGAGAAGAGAGTGCGCTTCCGCGTGGCGTCTGCGCGCAGCGGCCGCGTCCTGCAGGAGGTGTTCAGAGAGCGCGGGCTCGAGGACTTCGCGGACACGGACACCACGGTGAGCTCGGAGCCGGAGCCGGAGCGAGCCAGCTCGCCGGTCATTTCCGAGGCCAACAGCCACCTCAGCGGCCTCGGTGCAACCGCAGAGCCTGACGACAGTGGCAGCGAACCAGACGAGCTGCTCATGTACGCTAGCGCGACCAAAAACAAACTCTTCACCGGGAAACGCGTTAACATCTTCAGTAAGAACGGGACCGTCCGGGGCGTGAGAGACAAAGTGAGCGCGGGGCAGGTGTTGTTTAATAACCTGTCCAAAATGTACGGGGTAAGTTTAACTTGTCGCCTACTTAATGCATTATTTAAAGCCAATTTCACCCAAAGAAGGCACATAATTGCTCCTTTAGTGGAACAGGTGACTGCTAATTAATAGGGCTCAAAGGAAGCATGTATTAATTCATTTACATAGCAATTGCCCTTTAAACAGGGGCTGGTGTGCGTCACAGCAGGAACCATTTAAATTGATTGAGGTAAGTTGGTTTTAAATTCGCACATTCAGACTTTCCCCTTAATAATATAATTTCAGAAAAGTATTATTTGCAAATTCTGAATATGGAAAATCATATGAACAGCCAATGACTATTGAAACATAATTGTTTACAGTGAATTAAGTAGTGCTAATGTTGTTTTAAAGTCATACTTAGATGCGATTTCAGATCGAATTTTTAAAGTAGCTAGGTAAACAATGGGAGTTAATGAGCTAATGTGTGAAAATAAAACCAACTTTAACTCAATTTCAATTTGGCATGCAGTATTAAACTCTTTTAAATATAAATGTGACAAGAAGTATCTAAAAAGGCACTCTACAGTGATGCCATAAAATATTTTTTTTTGGTTCTCCAGTAAAAGAACCATATTTCCAGATACTGAAAAGCAAAAAACCAAAACAAGGTAAAAATTAACGGTATGTGGCAGAATGATGCCAACAGTTTTTGTTCTTTTTCACGCTAGTGATACTTGCATATCCTCAACCATCTGAAATGTTCAACAAATATATTTTCACCAAAATGTGGCTGAGGCATGCGTTTCCAATGAGCCTTCACTGAAAGAAAATCTCCCTTCGATTAAGAATCTTCGTGAAACCATCAATAAAAAACATCTAATAAAAAACCTGTGTGTTTTAGATCTTTAGAAATAATTTTATGCAGGCACAGAGCAGCCTGCACAAGAAGAGTGTGTGTTTCTATATTTAGAAAATGAACTTAATTACCCTTATTAAAGTTATTTAGGATTAATGACTAATTGTGGTAAGAATAAAGCTTTGTTTACAGAACAACAAGTCCAGAAGGTCCAGCTTATAATTCACCCGAAGAACACAAAAAATCATTGCAAAAAAAGAAGCCTTGCATGATTTTATAATAACAATTAGGTTTAATAATAGGCATTTGCTTTTTTTCTGTCCTTTTTCTTTTATATAAGTTACTGAATGTTCTGTTCTGTAAAATGTTTCGATGTATAAAAAAAAGAATAGGCATTTGTGTGTAAAATATGATTTATTTTTCATTCATTATTGCATGTTAATTAAGATTGATGCGCACAGTGATTAGTTACCACAAATTACTTGGCTTAATATTTATGATTTTACTCTTAAGTCAACTAATGGATTTTTATGGTGTTCTCTCTCACCTGTGGTGTTGTCTTTATACTGTACAAGAATTAGTATTTTACATTATCACATATTGTATTATCTTTACAATCAGTTAAAAGTTTGGATACCTTATTTATTAGTAGTAATAGAAGGTGGTAAGCAATAAGAGAAGAAAAACCCTAAAATACATGCAATCAGTATTTGATTTAATATTAATAATATTTGATTACATATATATATATATATATATATATATATATATATATATATATATATATATATATATATATATATATTTGATGAGTCACATTTAATTTCAAATAAGTAGATAAAATTATCTACCTTCAGTTGTAATATTATTGAGGACTGATGATATCCAACAAATGTGTTTCTCCAAGGACTCGCTCATTATGAACCGGCCTAAAAGGCGATGAGATTTCATCTGAAATCTGAAAACACAGATGGCCTGCAGCAGAGGATTCTGGGTCGGGAAGCAGGACGTGCGACAGGCTTGAGCGTGTAAAAGGGATAAACAGCGGCCAACCTTTTTTGTTTAGCTTTTCGTTACTTGTGTAAATTGTAATTCTGTAAATATTTTATATGAACATTTTTTTGCAAAAGCATTTTTTAGGATGAGATGGTGTCTGTGAAATCAGCAGATTGCTTTTAATGTTCTCTTTGCCTATGATTGGAGTGCCTTTTCTTCATTTTGCCTTCACTTATTAATTTAATAAGACGCAAATAAGATTAAGTTTTATACACATTTCTTTTTTAGTACAATAAAATCAAGTCATTCCAACCTTATTGTTTTTGTGAATACTTCTGAAACTATTCATTTATTTATTTTGGATGATTACTGAACACTCAAAAAATAACTTTTGCTGCTTGTTCAAACTACTTATTTAAAATGAGTTGAAACAACACAAGTCTCAAGTTTTTTGGGGACGACTTAATGGTTTTATGCTCAATCCGCTTAACTTAATCAATTTGTGTTGGGACAACATGTAGGGATTGTGTTGAACCTTGCATTTTTTACAGTGTATGCATCTAATCACAATTAACATGAATCTTTCCTGCTTGGCATTACTATTCAGTGATGATGTATAAGACTGAAGGATTAATAGGTCAGCTTCTGCATTATGCAGCTGAAGAGAAAGTGGAAGAAAGTGAATAGTTAGCAATATTACTAGGACATTGTGTTTATATCAGGAGATAGACAAAGTACACAAATCAGGCACATGAGTATACGTATACCCTAATTAAATATTACCCCAGTAAAGGTATAAAGTCCTGCCTTTCAATAATAAGTCAAAGGGCAAAGAAATATTAGATTTTTAAAAACTTAAAGTCGCCAGCAGATCAAAATTTAAATCATTATTTTGTAAAAATGTATTTGCCCACAAATTAAACTAATAAAATAACCTTCCTTTTCCCTCAAAACAACTTTTCTTTACTTCCTGGTCACATCTAATTCCTTTTAGGATAGGCATATGAGTGAGTGTCTTGTTTCTACTCTGAATTCATCAGTCCTTTTGTTAGCAACGACTTTCAACAATCCAATTGGTTAAAAAAAAAGTAAATCATGCACCAACCTACATTTTTTTTTCTCAGTTTAGGATAAATTCAAGTGGACTCACAGTAAATGGATCATTTGAATCAGTGAGTTGTTTACTGGAGACTCGCTCTGAACTGATCATTTAAATTAATGAGTTGTTTACTATACACTCACTTTGAACAGATCATTTGAATCAGTGAGTTGTTAACGAGAGACTCACTCTGAATTGATCAATTGAATCAGCGAGTCGTATACTGGAGAATCTCTGAACAGATTACTTGAATTAGTGAGTTGTATAATGAAGACTCACAGTAAATGGATAATTTCAATCAGGAAGTTGTTTACTAAAGGCTCACTTTTGAGCAAATCATTTGAGTCAGCGAGTTGTTGACTTGTGATCAGATATTAGTTCACATCATTTAGAGGGCCGTTTAGCATTCAATCACAAGAAAAAAGTGGAAACCTGATGTAATTGATGCACTCAGACATTCTTCTCCAGAGTTTATGCAGTCAAAACTCCTTCTTGTTGTACATATTAAAGGCGTAGTTTAAATTGATGTGGAAATACTGCAATTTAATAATAATAATAATTATTATTATTATTATTATTATGTCTCAATCAATTGTTGCTTAACCAGAACTTTAACAGATAGCATAAGACAGCAGAAAGTAGGTTGGGTAACTTAAGTGACTTTACTGGCAATTGTTATTCTCAATGTCATTCTTTTTTTGTAAAACTACAACAAAGTGGGGGAAATTATGTATATATTCACATTTACTTTAACATGATCAATTCAGCCAGCAGTAAAACTTTACTAATGCACATTTTTTGAACAAATATTAATATGCATATGAGGAAAATCTATTAAAAAGACCATTTGAATTGAATATCTTATTTACACCACCAGCATAACATGAAGTAGTGTTTGTACAACAAAATACATTTTCTGAATTTCTGAAGAATGTTGGAAAAAGCATTGACGAAGTACTAACAAAAATACTATGGAAGTCAGTCTTTCCTAACATTCTTCAGTACCTCTTCCTTTAAGTTGAACAGAGGAAAGACACTCACAGTACCCAGTTAGCAAAGATTTCTGGCCCAAAGTTGGCAAAAAGCTGGCACAGAAGACATTCATCCAGCAATGGCATACAGCATGTGGGCCAAACATGTGGGCCCATGTTTGGCAGAGGTAGCACTGGTTTAAGGTGGCACACAAGGTTTGGGCCAGATGTAAAATGTATTTGGCTCAGGTGTTAAAAGTTGAGCCGTGGGCCACGTAAGTTTGGCCTTTCCTGACCCACATTTAAAATATATTAAAATAAATTTTGAGTAAAGAAAAAAATTCAACTAGTCGCTTTGAGAAAAAGCACGCCCACAGTGTGCCTTAGGCACAATGCTTCATGGGTTTATTAATTACATTGCAATCGTGACACACCAACCTATCTGGTCCAGTTCTGGCCCAGTTATGAGTTATTAACTTGGCTGTGACTTGACCCAGATATGGTCCATGCTTGGCCCCTGTCTGGAAGCCAGACTTGGTCCAGTCATGTACTGTAATTCAATGCAGCATGTGGGCCAAGCAAAACATGATTGTGTGGGCCAAAGAAATTTGCTATAGAAATTTTTGCTATGTGGTATATGAGGACAATGTGTGTTTAAAGTAAACTGGATGCTAAATTCAGTTTTCCAAAGTTGACTAGCAAGAAATCGAGTTTACAAACTCTACGGAAATATTGGTCTTCCTCTATACCTACAAAAAAAGTCATCTAGTTAGCCATGAAGGAGGCTAAAGTAAATTAACCTGAAAGGAACACCACTTATTTTTGTAAATAGACTCCCCAAGAGTCAAACAGTTGGAACTAACTTTATGTTCTCTGATTGGTGGAAAGGTTTGTAAATTACCAATAAAAATGTAAACCTTTTGAAGAAATTGCATCCCAGGTAGCAAAGAACTTTGGCCCAGATTTGGCTAAAGATGGCACAGCAGGCATACAGCATGTGGGCCAAACATGGCCTGGGTTTGGCAGAGGTGGCACCATCTTTAAAGCAGCACACAAAGATTTGGGCCAGATGTAAAATGTAGTATTTAGCTTAGGTGTTAAAAATGTATATGTGGCGCCACGTAAGTTTGGCATGTTGAAGTTGAAGTCAGAATTATTAGCCCCCAACCCCCCCCCCGAATTATTCGCCCCCCTGTTTATTTTTCCCCAATTTCTGTTAAACACTGAGCAGATTTTTTCAACACATTTCTAAACATAACAGTTTTAATAACTCATTTTTAATAACTGATTTATTTTATCTTTGCCATGATGACAGTAAATAATATTTGACTAGATATTTTTCAAGACACCTCTATACAGCTTAAAGTGAAATTTAAAGGCTTAACTTGATTAATTAGCTTAACTAGGCAGGTTAGGGTAATTAGGCAAGTCATTGTATAATGATGGTTTGTTCTGTAGACTATTGAAAATAAAATTAGCTTAAAGGGCCTAATATTTTTGACTTTAAAATGTTTTTTAAAAAATTAAAACTGCTTTTATTCTAGCCAAAATAAATCAAATAAGACTTTCTCCAGAAGAAAAAATATTATCAGACATACTGTGAATTTCTTTGCTCTGTTAAACATCATTTGGGAAATATTTAAAAAAGAACAAATATTCAAAGGGGGGCTAATAATTCTGACTTTAACTGTATATTAAAATAAATTTTGAGTAATGAAAAAAATTCTACTTATGAGGTTGTTTTAAAAAAAACATGCCTACAGTGTGCCTAAAGCGCAAAGCTTCATGTGTTTATCAATTTAATTGCAATCGAAAAACATCAACTTATCTGGCCCAGTTATGAGTTATTAACTTGGCTGTGACTTGGCCATGTTTGGCCCTTGTCTGGAGGCCAGACTTGGTCCAGTCATGTGCTGTAATTCATCAAGCAGAACCTGATTGTGTGGGCCAGAGCTGGGCCAGAGAAATTCAGCTATGTGGCTAGTTTATAAACAAGTGGAGGGCGAGTAAATGATTACAGCATTTTCATTTTTGGGGTGGACTGTGCTTTTGAATGCAAAGTGGATTGTCATCTGATCAAAGAGTAATCTTTCTTAGCTCAGATTTTGCAGAGCATTTTCAGAAGACAGTGAGAAGAGCGAAGACGCCGTACAGAAGAGCACATGGATACGCCACCAGCAGCTGCTGACCGCTCATGGCCAGAGTGGAGCTGAAGATCTTAGAAGCAGACAGACTGCACCAGCCAATCACAATCAAGGCCAACAGCGTTCCCAGCAGACCCCTGTGTTCAAATATAAAGCACACGTTATTCAAAAGCAATTCAATTATACACTCACTCTTAAAAATAAGTTCTAAAAGATGATTTTCACATCGAATACCACTTATAAAAGAACAATTCTAGGCTCTTTGCAGTGAACAGTACATACATACAATTAGTTTATTATAAATATAAATGCACTTAATTAAATAATTACATCTCTGTAACTTTAGTTGATCCAAGCATTATTTAGTCTTGAAAAAATCTTAAATTAATGTGTATTATTTGTAAAAAAAAAATACATGGGTGGCACAGTGGGTAGCGCTGTCGCCTCACAGCAAGAAGGTCGATGGTTCGAGCCTCAGCTGGGTCAGTTGGCATTTCTGTGTGGAGTTTGCATGTTCTCCTAGTGTTTGCGTGGGTTTCCTCCTGGTGCTCCGGTTTTCGCCACAAGTCCAAAGACATCCGGTACAGGTGAATTAGGTAAGCTAAATTGTATGTGGTGTGTGTGTGTGTGAATGAGAGTGTATGGAGTTTCCCAGCGATGGGTTGCAGCTGGAAGGGTATCCGCTGCGTAAAACATATGCTGGATAAGTTGGCGGTTCATGCAGCAGTGGCGACCCCTGATTAAAAATGGGACTAAACCGAAAAGGAAATTAATGGTTGAATAAAATATGTATAAATGACTCTAAGCAGTGTTGGGGAGTAACTAGTTACATCATTTCATTACAAAATGTGTAACATCTTTTACAGTTATTGAGAAAAAAAATGTGTAATTAGGTTTAAGTTATCTGTGTGAAAAGTTAATGATTACAAACATCTGAATATAATCTATAAAAAGCTGGGGTGTACAGTGCATCCGGAAAGTATTCATAGTGCTTCACTTTTTACACATTTTTTATGTTACAGCCTTATTTCAAAAAGGATTTAATTAATGTATTTCCTCAGAATTCTACACACAATACCCCATAATGACAATGTGATTTTTTACTTTTTTTTTTAATTGTTGCAAATTTATTAAAAATAATAAACCTGAAAAATCACATGCACAGAAGTATTCACAGCCTTTGCAGAGAAGCTCTAAATTGAGCTCAGGTACATTCTGTTTCCACTGAACATTCTTGAGATGTTTCAGCAGCTTAATTAGAGTTCACTTGTGGTCAATTCAGTTGATTGGACATGATTTGAAAAGGCATACACCTGTCTATATAAGGTCCCAGGGTTGACAGTGCATGTCAAAGCACAAACCAAGCATGAAGACAAAGGGATTGTCTGTAGACCTCCGAGACAGGATTGTCTTGAGGTACAAGGCTGAAAGGTTACAGGAAAATTTCTGCTGCTCTGAAAGTTCCAATGAGCACAGTGGACTCCATCATCTGTAAGTGAAAGATGTTTGGAACCACCAGGACTCTTCCTAGAGCTGACCGGTCATGATCGGGGGAGAGGGGCCTTAGTCAGGGAGGTGATCAATAACCCGATGGTCACTCTGTCTGAGCTCCAGCGTTCTTCTATGGAGAGAGGAGAACCTTACAGAAGGACAACCGTCTGTGCAGCATAACACCAATCAGGCCTGTATGGTAGAGTGGCCAGAAGCCACTCTCCACCTAGAATTTGCCAAAAGTCATCTGAAGGACTCTCAGACCATAAGAAACAAAATTCTCTGGTCTGATAAGATTAAAATTTAACTCTTTGAAGCGAATGCCAGGCGTTGCATTTGAAGAAAACCAGGCACCACTCATCACCAAGCTAATACCATACCTACAATGAAGCATAATGGTGGCAGCATCATGCTGTGGGGATGTTTTTCAGCAGCAGAAACTGGATGATTAGTCAGGATAGAAGGAAAGATGAATGCAGCAATGTACAGAGACATCCTGAATGAAAACCTGCTTCAGAGTGCTCTTGATCTCAGACTGGGGCGACAGTTCATCTTCCAGCAGGACAATGATGAATGTCCTTAAGTGGCGCAGCCAGAGCCCATCTCTGGAGAGATCTGAAAATGGCTGTACACCGTCGCTTCCCATACAATCTGATAGAGCTTGAGAGGTACTGCAAAGAGTAATGGGCAAAAATTCCCAAAGACAGGTGTGCCAAGCTTGTGGCATCATATTCAAAAAGACTTGAGGCTGTAATTGCTGCCAAAGGTGCATCAACAAAGTATTGAGCAAAGGCTGTGAATACTTCTGCACATGTGATTTTTCAGGCTTTTTTTAATTTTTAATTAAGTTGCAACAATTAAAAAAAATCTTTTTTCACATTGTCATTTTGGGATATTGTGTGTAGAATGTTGAGGAAATAAATGTATTTAATCAATTTTGTAATAACGGAGCGGTCACAACAAAATGTGGAAAAAGTGAAGGGAAGCTACGAATACTTTCCGCATGCACTGTAAATGAACTAGTGACTGTAAACGTGATCAAGGATTGTCTGAGAGTAAACAAAGGTTTACTTGAGGGAAAGTAAATCATGAGTAATATTCATTTTTGGGTGAACTCTCCCTTTAAAAGTGCCTATTAATGTTCATATAATCGAGATTGTAAATAAAAATGGACAAATTCAGTAGCCTAAAAGTGCAATTCTAAAATAAAATCCAATTCTACATACACTATTGGATACTCACTGAAGGGAATAAACGACAGCAAATGCAGAGAGCGCCACCATTGGCAGCAGAGAGTATCCCAGCACACTCGCCACACTTCCACAGGATATACTGTAAATGCTCATCAGATTCAACAACATGTACATCCCGACACATCCCAGAGCACTGATGCCGTATACATATCCAAAGTGTGCCTTTCCTGCCTGCGGAACAAATATAAACACACACACACACGGGTATGTGCTCTGGACATTACATCTGTTTTCATGTCCCCTGTGCAATACAAAAGACCATGTACCTCTAGTTAATGGATTCAAGGTGGAGTTTGTACCATCAGTAGTGTGGCTCCCAGAGCGACGCAGAAGAGAACAGGGCCGGTGAGATCGGTCTCGTTCATGATGCTGCCATCAGCAGGCTTCAGTGGATTCAACACAGTCAGAGTCTTCTGCCAGATGTGCTCAAAGTTAATGCCCAGCTCTGGGAAACAATGAAAATACACATGCAGTTTTCCTTTAAGCAGATTTTCTGGTGAGTTTAATTGATGCATTGATTTGGGGTGGGGGGGGGGACAAGGGGGCTAGCAACGGTAAATGGCTTCTACACAGTAAATGGTACATGTGAATGGCGGGATTGTGTACTCAAGTCTAGAAAGTACATGTGTGCAGTGCTGTTCACACATTTCAGCTTAAAGATATTTTCTAACAAGTGATTGTATTACCTTCTAAAAGAGGTGGTTCGTCCTCATAGGAGTCTGTATATTCTGTTTGCTCGGGTTGAGCTACAGGCTGATACACTTGTCCAGTATAAGGTGCTGATGCTGCATATTCATCTGCTAAGTGTGCTGAATTATCCCTGAAAATCAGACAGGATACAATGACTTAATTAATTACTAAACTGAACAACTAACAATACAAACTGCACACAGAACAACAGTCTGATATATGTATGCATATCAAACACACACAGATGTTTTTACACTTACGCATCATTGTATTCTGGATTGAGGTAGGCTGGATCATAGCCATACACATCTTCCTGTTGACCATCAATATAATATCCAGACTGATAGAAGTCTTGTTCAGTGTTCTGAAAGTCTCCCATTCTGCTTAAAATAAGAAGGAGTGTGTACAAAATCTCAGCTGCGACATCAATCAAGTTATACTCTTACCTTTCTACGCCAGTCTTGAGTTTGAGTTGAAGGTTCTTGGTTTGTTTTTGAACTGAGGCTTTGCTTGGTCACTGAGCAGCTGTTGTGCTGTGTGTGTGATGCTATTAATAGTTTTCTATATTTACTTGCAGGCCATGAGCTTGAGTTGTAAAGCCATCCTGATGATCTCTAGATCTGGGAAATGTACTGAAGACCAATTGACTAAAGTAGTGCTGACCACTTTATTATTTACACTTTGCTACACTGTTAGACCTTACCAGGCTATTTTACAATAGAATACTGGCAACACTGCTGCTAGTTAGTCACTGTAATGGTTTGTTTACAGTATTTAACAGTACATTACTGTAACCAAACCATTACAGTGACTTACTGGCAACAGTTTTGCCAGTTAAATACTGCAACCAAACCATTACAGTAGGTATCTAACAACAGTGTTGCCAGTTAATTACTGTGATAGTAGCAGTAGCGGTAACTAGAAACTGATTACAGTTAATTATTGTATTGTACAATTCACAGCATTATAATGCATACAAAATGATGTCATAGTTATTGTAGTGTAACTAAAATGATCAGTATTCTTAACTTTTTTTCAGCTTAGTCCCTTTATTAATCTGGGGTTGCCACAGCGGAATGAACCGCCAACTTATCTAGCATATGTTTTACAAAGCGGATGTCCTTCCAGCTGCAACCAATCACTATGGCCAATTATGGCCAATTTCACCTACCCAATTCACCTATATGGAATGTCTTTGGACTTGTGGGGGGAACCGGAGCACCTGGAGGACACCCACGCCAACACAGGGAGAACATCTTAACAAAATTTGTATTTTTAAAAAGAAAACAACAAAATTGTCTATGTTAAATAAAATGTTATATTGTTGCAAGACATTCATGATACCTCTGAGTTATGGATGGAATATGCACTCTCGCTCGAGTTTTTAATCTTCACCAGGACTCCCACATTCAGCAATGTAGCCGGCTCACAAACCTTGTCAGACGGTCCCTTGAGCTCCTCCTCTTTGGTGGTATTCGCACCGTCGCTCTCACTGGAGATGGCTCATACACTGGGGGTGGCTCTCCATCTACTGTGGGCTCAGGTACCCGCTCCTTGCTGTACGGTGGTATTTGGATGGTCACTGGGTCCAGAGTGTCCACTCCATATAGATGGCGAAATTGCCTCGACGACCATCCTTAGACGACAGTGCTCTGCTTGCGGTGTTCAGGCTCTGGTTGTAAAATAGAGCATGTTGTCCAGATAGCTGGTGTTGTTCGCTATGACCAGACAGATTCTGGTATGTTCATTGCTCCAGCAGGAGAAAGAACTCGAGTCAATAAATGGGGTCCATGAAAACATGGGGGGGGAGGAGAAAAAAAAACACTGGGGCAAAAAGACTACATAAGAAAAGAGGGAAAATACATTACACAACTTTTCTGTTTTGGTCCGGTATTCTGTCTCATTCTCACTCTTCTAAAGAGATGCCAAAACACTGGAGTTGTCAAAACACACACGTATTTATTACCAAAACACTCACTGGAGACACTGGAACATCAACACACAGGAATCAAGGGGTGATGACAATTCAATACTAGACAATGGACTGAACAAAACACAGGAGTATAAGTACACAAGACCAAATGAACTGAATACAAACAGAACACAGGTGGAACCAATGATATTTATCTTCATTTCCCTTCCACTGTTTCTTTAAGATCAACACTGATTTCTTTTTGTTGTTGGAAAGAGAAGAACTTTGTGCAGCCAATGTTGTGCTTTGGTTAAGTCACATGACCTGCAGTGTTTTTCTGTGGCGTGATTTATGACAGACTGGTGTTTATTGTGAGGAGTTGCTAAATGCAAATGTAAACATCAATAAAAACAAAGCATCAAATAATCTCAGATCCGCAAATAAATCAGAAACATCACCTCAAGTAAGTTATTATTATGACATATTCACCACTCAAAAAAAGTTTTTATCAAATTAGTTTTTTGCAAATCGATTAAATATATGTGTTGCCAAATGGCTACACTGTCCTTTAGTGGAACGTGCAATATTGCAATGGGTTAGCTAGCTAGCAAAGTCAGCTGGGATCTTTTAAGTTGTAACAATAACCAAATGAAAGCTAGCAATATAATGTAGATTATTCATATGGTAATGGCATTTGCATTATGGATAAAATCTAGTTTTATTGGCAATACTACTTTTTAATAGATATAAATACAGGGAATAGTGTATTGGCGAACACCCCCATGTTTTACGGTAGGTGAAACAAGAAAAGGACAGAACTGGCTCTTCCTGCAGATGAAAGTGAGGATGAGATGGGTTTTAGTGACCAGGAGAATGATACAGACTGGACATTTGATAGAGACAGTTCAGGTAAGTTAGCTCTGAGGCAGATAAGACAGGCAATGTAAAGTATGTATAATATATAAATATTGTTAGCTAGTAGCTACAATAGTCTGATCCATCTGGATAAACTAGACTTGTTATTTATTTGTTACAAAATTTGGAAAATATTTATTTTCTGTATGTCGTATACATGATAATACAATATTATGATTCTTTTTAATAATATTCAGCAAAAAAGAATGGAATTAATGAAAACTGTAGAAATATCAGTTGTTGGAAAGTATATAAAAGGTGTTGTTTATAAGTTCTGTGTTAAAGCTTATAATACTGCAACACCAATTAAATAATTTCAAACAACAAAATTATTAATTATAAAGAAAGTTCTGAGTTTTAAATTTCTAAGTTAGATCCACTATTGGATGTTGTTGCCATATGGCAACATATCATAAAGTACCTTAAAAAAAGAACATTTTCCAAATTTTTTACAGCACGTCATTTTAGAAAAGGGAAATATTCTTTCATTTATTTTCTTGTCGGCTTAGTCCCTTTACCAATCCGGGGTCTCCACAGCGGAATGAACCGCCAACTTATCCAGCACGTTTTACGCAACGGATGCGTATGCCTTCCAGCCGCAACCCATCTCTGGGAAACATCCACGAACACTCATTCACACACACACACACTCATACACTACGGACAATTTAGCCTACCCAATTCACTTGTGTCGCATGTCTTTGGACTGTGGGGGAAACCAGAGCACCCAGAGGAAACCCACACAAAGGCAGGGAGAACATGCAAACTCCACACAGAAACGCCAACTGAGCCGAGGATCGACCCAGCGACCTTCTTGCTGTGAGGCAACAGTACTACCTACTGCGCCACTGCTTAGCCCAAAAGGAAAGCAGTCAAACATTTTTTTATAAATCTATCATAATGCGTGTGGTAGAGGGTTAAATCTATTTACAATAATATGGTTTTGGGCCTTTTTATGCCAAGACACTGTTTTTGGTTTTAATTTAACTAAATACTGTTATTTCATTGCACATCCTAAAAAAAAAAACACAATTGCTTGATAAAAAATGTAATTTAAATTTGTATTTTCTAAACTGCTTGGTTTTGTCCACTTTTCACCGCCTTTAATGATCCATCTCTGACAAAATTGCTTGTGTTGCACTTACTGTTTGTTTGATATTCTTGCCAGATTTTGATTATGTTGGTGTAACCTTTGATTGGGTCGTTCCTCTCTCAAAACCACCTGGCCATCACTAATTGGTGGAAAATGCTTAATATTTATTTATTATTATTATTTTATTATTATTATTATTATTTATTTGTTTTATTTTTTTACTGACCGGCCCACATTTTTAAAAAAATGGTCCGGCCCTTCTGGCATTTGCCAGAATTGTCCAATGGCCAATCCGCCCCTGCTTGCAACAATGTTGACAAATGTACACAGTACATGTCAAAAACACGCTTTGGTTCTTTTGTGTGTGCAGACACAAATAAACACTTTCTGGGATTTTATCGTTGATATGTAACGTGCTTGTATTTTAATATTATTTATCTCTCTTATCTGCAATAGTATCTGATGATCTACACATCTGGCAGAGCACTGGAGTTTTCGCTGGAGCTCAAACTGGAAACTTCAGCTTGGGTTAAAAAGGTCGAGTGGGAATCCTCCTCTTCATTCCTGTTAAAAAACACAGATAGATCGCTGCTTAATCAGTCAATATGGGAAAATGCAAACCAACAAATTCAGAAACTTCAATTTTTTTTTCTTTAAGTTTTTGGTTTATTGTAAAGTTTTGCAGTGATGTATTTTGTATGAATGATGCTACACGAATCATATTTTGTCATTGTTTGATTATACAACAAAATGACAATGATTATGAGGATTTATTGATTGGCAAACATCCACATTTGCTTTATAAGTCAGCAAAGCAAACATCTGCTGTCATGTCTCACCCGGGATTGCTGATACACTGGTTCCCCTCAGAATCTGTCAGAGCCAAATCATGAACTGCTTTCCTTCAGAAGCGTAGAAAACAAAAATACACACTTGTTACTTCACACAGTACATCTACTTTAGCTGATTTTGTTAGCAGTCATTATTGTATATATTACATGAAAACAACAACAATGAACTAGAAAAGTAAAGTTTGTTGACAAACTTTATGGTGTCTTGAGAAAGCCTAGTCTGAAAATCTGAAGTAGTTTTAAAGTTAAAATAATTGATGTAGTTAAAAGATGTTGCTAGGCGGTTACTAAGGTGTTGCTAGGTGGTTGCTAAGGTGTTGTGAGTGGTTTCTAGGCAGTTGCTAACATAAATTATTATGGTTCTAATTTAAATTAGCATGTTTCTAGCATAAATTAGCATGTTTTTAGCATGAATTTAGAATGAATTGGCATGTTGCTAGTATATTAGTATGTTTCTAATATGGATCAATAGTTGTAGTAATTAGCATGGTCCAATGTTAAGTCAATGGGACTTTTCTGAATTTTCCGGGTCAGTTTTTAAAAACCGTAAGTCGGATCAGTTAGAAAAGATAGAGCAACTTTTTGAGGTTTGGAGTCAGTTTTGTGGTTGTAGTATGAACGGTCTAGGAGGAGATGCATTTTTTAAAATCATCTAAGAAGAAGACGGAAGAATAATTAGTTTATGTTGTCTCAAAGAACATGTCGTTGTCAAAGCCGGCTCGTCATGCATAATATATCACCTCGCAATCAACTGACCTACACAATCCTGTCCTAATGATAATGTTTTCAAAAGCAAACAAGAAAAGAGAACTGTGGATGCATACTTTTGCCCCAATTTCACATTGCTTTTTTGTTTTTACTTGGTTTCTAGAGCCATCCTTAACTGGATTCAACCCAGTCCAATCTGTGTCCCAAGTACGACATTGTACAACGAAAGCTACAAAGCAAACTGACCACTCTGGAAAAGCTATCTATACAGAGATAAGCAGGTGTATTCGATTACACATCACAGATGCTTGGATCATGTTGTTTTTGTGGCATTTAATGTAAAAAGAAACCAAATTTGGCTGTGTCATACTGCCCCGCAGCATTTGTTTTACCCAGAAAATGCAGGCATGCGTATGCCAAGGCACATAGTTGCAGTTTCCCAAAAATGTTGCCCTGGGCCTGCATTACCAATGAGTCTGTGTTGTTTATTGTGGTTTCATTTATTCATTTATTATTCATTCATTCATTTTCTACCGCTTTTCCAGGGCCGCGTCGCGGGGGCAGCAGTCTTAGGAGAGAACCCCATACTCCCCAGACACTTCCTCCAGCTTCTCCGGGGGGATCACAGGGCGTTCCCAGGCCAGCTAAGAGACATGGTCTCTCCAGCGTCTTCCCCGAGGCCTCCTCAGGGTGGGAGATGCCTGTAGGTATTCTCACCTCTCTAGGTAGGTGTCCAGGAAGCATCCGAGCCACCTCAGCTGAGTTCTCTCAATGTGAACTGCGTGGTGGATGGGTTTGAGTGCCTGAGTGATCCTAAGAGCTTTGCTGTTGGGGGCTAATGCCCCTGCTAGGGCCCTCTAAGGCAAAAAGGTCTAGGGTAACAGGTCAGACTAAGTGTGTTTCAAAACCCCTTATGAGTACAAAGACATCAAGGACCGTGACATCGCCCGGTATTGTGCAGCCGGGGCCGCACCCTGAAGCCAGGCCTGGGTTTGGGGCTTGTATGCGAGCATCTGGTGGCCGGGTTTTTCCTCAAGAAACACAGCTGGACTTAGCCCAAAGGAGTGACATGGGACCATACTCCCACAGGCACACCACAGTTGTCAGGGGCCGGTGCATTGTGGAACTGGTGGTGGTCGAAGGTTAGGACCACGACAACTCGATCGTCAGTCACAGAAACTGGCTCTTGGTTTCATTTTCCAGAAACAGAAAAGGTCAAAAGACTACATATATTTGTATAGCTGCACTAAAAATTGTATTGCCATCCAAACTTCAGGTCAGAATCCACCAGGAAGTACTTACTTAGAATTTAGGGCATTCATTTTGGTAAAGAGCAGCCGGAGAACTCTTTCTCTCTGTTCCCAGCTCATCTCTGAAACACTGACGGCTTTCTTCAGACTGCTGATGTAAGGACACGTTGAGGTTACATACAGTTTTGCTAATGGAAAAACATCTTGCAGATGCTTAAGTACAAGATGAGTGATCATTTCATTAGATGAGAATTTTTTTTAAATCCCAGAAACCATAAAAGAAATGTATTAGGCTCTTACCCTTTTTCAGCCTCATTTAAAGCAATGGACAAGCTGCGGGTGCTGTGAGGAGTTTTGCTCATGGTGTGAATGTGAGCTTTCTCTCTTTTGCCTGATAAGAACTCATCCATCCGCCTGCTATGATTCACCTCTGCTTCCTGTCTGCGGAACATAATGCAACAAAAGGCTTGAATTATTGGCAGTAAACATTTTAACGGGAACTGTTGCTTGTATTTATACTATCTATAGAGTGAGTTTGGTGTCTGTGATGTTAAAGATATAATATTTAAAGAAAATCGGCACACTGCCACTTTAGCTCTTAAAAGTCATTTAATATCGCAATGTTTCGACCTACATGGTCTTCATCAAGTAAACAATACAATTGGAGTACCCGAGAAATAGTGATACAGTTCTACACATCACGACTGCAATCAATCACCCCAATCAGCCAACAAGCCAGTATTTTATTTTTTTATGTCAAACTCTTACATTTAATAAACAAATTAATTCAGTGCATAAGTCAGTACAAACAATTGAAGAGAACTGACACATTTTTTGCAGCTAAGAGGCGGCTTGAATGCATTTATACTGTATTACTGCAATTTCTTGAGGTTGAGAATTGAGATTTGTTTTAAACTTTAGTTTATTTTGAACTAAAAAAATAATAGAAACAATTCGAGTGTCATCGAGTGTCAGAATGTTGTGGGACTGGAGTTGTTATTATGGATTATAGATATCGAAATTTAGCGTTTTTTATTTTAGCGTTTTTTTTTTAAGCATGACGATAAAATACGAACGCTGTTTTAAAATTATTTTAAAAATGTTCTTGTTTGTTTTAAAAATTCGTGATAATGACTAAAAATACTAATTTGTGGATCTCCTTACTTCAGGGTGCAGCTATACTGCTATTGCAGGTGTATTCTGGGAAATCTTTTTACTCCTTGGTTTCGTGACTGGTCCTGAAAAATCTCAGTTCGAAGGGCTATTTACCCCTTTCCCTTAGCCCTACATTTTCAAAAGATAATTGAGACACCGCTGCCCCTTCATGTGAACGCGCAAAACAAGGAGTAGGAGTAAGGGGAAGGGCTAAGGGGTCGAATTGGGATTGGGCCTAAAGCACAACTTGACATGAATTTTAGGTTTAACAGAAACAAATGTTTTTAAAATAATTTTTTAAAAGAAACAAAATGTCATTACTAGGGATGTAACGGTATTGTAAATACCGTCATACCGCAATATTAATTTTTTTCGATATTACCGAAGTCGCATGACTCGGTAAAACTATAGGTCTTCTGAGAAAATTTGCTCAGGCGAATGAAGCGAACGGGAGGTAGCGAAAACTACAATCCCCATCATCCCTTGCGGTCTGTTGTCGCTACAGATCCAGTAATGCGGAAATGGAGTGTGCTGCTAGAAGCGGGGATCAAAAAGAGCTGTAAAACTCTAAGGCCCCTTTTACAAGAGTGCGTTTTAGTTTTAAAACGGCGTTGTAGAATGAAAATGATCCGCGTCCACACTCGCGTTTTACCCAGCGTTTCTGAACAGCTCTCCGTCCACACCAAAACGCTGAAAACGCACATCACGTGACCACAGACACTCTCGGGCAAGCGCTCCAGCATTTCTACCCAGATGAGAGCTCTGCTTGTCGGACTGCTCATCAAGCATCTTCCGCTGGATCTAATCTCACTATATTTGCTAAACGTGATATTTCATTCATGTTGTTGTCTTTATCTAACGACAGAGGCCAATTCCCTGACTTTGGTCATTGGAATCTATTAAGTTACTTGTTCACGGGTAACATGTTTTGGTTAAGCGCAAAGATAAGTTAATGATTAATCCAGGTACATTGACTGATCGCTTGCCTTTATTTCCTACAATGTATAAACTTATTGTATGTGATACTTTTATAATTGTCGATTATTAAAACTGATATTCAACAAAAGTGAGGGTGCGTTTCGTATTTTCACTGAAATTGAAAGGAGGTAGTTGTTATAGGCTCCGTTTTGTTATAAATATCCACACAGTGACGATGACGCTCATATTATACAGCACGACGCCTCAACATTTCTGCTGTCTGTAAGTTTTCTAATATTAAAAAGGAAATAGGCAGTTCCTTAAATCATGTTTACATTTTATTGTTGAGAAAGTGAAACAACGTAGCCAAGGTGATGTGAATGAAGTTATAAAGTACACTGTTCCCTTTGAAGATTTACCCGTGTCCTCGGTATGTTTTCCATATCAAACTGAAAAGGGGGAGACTGCAGCCTTGATCAAACTTGCGAAGTCTTAACTTACAAGAAGAGGATGCGAGACTAAACTGTGTGTGGGCTACTTAATATTGAGGAAAAGCCCCAATCAGATAGGCGAACGTTTGCAGCCCCGCCTCCGTTTTCAGATGTCTCCGTCTTTCCCCATCCACACTGAGACGGAGCAGCAGGTTTCAGAATGAAAACGGCCTCTCCAGCGTTTTCAAAAAGCTCCGTTTTCGGCGCTCGAGAAATAAGTCATATAAGTCATATCTCTCTTGTCCCAGAAACCTCAGTACCAAATGAGAGGTTTTTTTTCTGTTGCAGGGGACATTGTAAATGCCCAGAGATACCAGCTTTTACCAGATTATATTTATATGATAATTTTCCTTTAAACCCATCTCTATCTAAGTGAGTGAGTGATTAAATGTTGAATGTGATGAGTTTTCAACAATACTAAATTAAAAACTTAAATTTTTTTTTACATGGTTTAATATTTTTTTTGTTAATAAAATTGAAGTTCCTGTTTCAAAGCTTACAGATAGATGGCTAATTTGTATGTCATTGACACTTTTGGCTCTTTTTTGGAGTATTTTCATAAGTTTTGTTTTTTCCTGTAAATGATTCAATAAATACCGTACCGTGACATTCATACCGAGGTATTACCGTACCGTGAAATTCTGATACCGTTACATCCCTAGTCATTACTGTACTAACTAATTTGCTGGCAATTATTTATGTAGTAAATAAAATCTTCTTTTTGTATTCCATGTCCTGATCACATTATTCAAACAACCGACTGACCAGTGATCCAAACAAATATTGCTTAAGAGGGCCAATAATATAAACCAATAAAGAGCCAAAATAAAGGAAATGATGGAAAAATATAGTAGAAAATACTTTGAAGATTTTTCTGTGTTAAACAGCTTTTGGATATTTGAAAAAGAATAAAACATATTCAGGAGGCCTGATAATGTCGAAATTGGCATTCGCAATCATATTAGAGAATTGAGAATGCATTTGCAATCAAATAAACAGAGCTCTTGCACATTTGATATTGATACCACATAATCTGACACAAAGCAAAACGAATGAGAGTAAATTGTGCTCCTATTATTTGAATTGTGGGTCATTCTAACAGTGTTTTACCTCTGCATTAGTATCTCCTGCTTCACGTGGTTCAGTGCCTCATGGAAGAGGATCTCCATATCGGATCGCTGCTCCACGACGCTGCGAGCTGTTCTCTTCACTCGGCTCAGCTCTCTGTCCCGAACAATCAGCACTTTCTGCAGTTTGTCCAGCTCTACACCACCAGCTTGAGCTCTGACCACTGCACGCTGCTTGATTTCGCTCTTCTCCTTCTCAAACGCAGACACCATGTTGGCCAGGGTCTGCTCCAGTGTGGACACCTTCATCCTCAGCTCAGAAACTCTGCTTCGCTGTGCTGTGAGATTGGAGATGGTGTCATTGGCAGACTCTAAGGTGGATTCCTGCAGGGGGGATGAAACAATGAAGATTGTGTGCTGCTTCACATACAAGCTTCTTTTTTTTAAGAGTTCTCATAGTAAGTTTACATTTACATTTAGTCAATTAGCAGACGCTTTTATCCAAAACGACTTACAAATGAGTGCAGAATAAGAATAAGTGCAGTAGGCTAGTTACAGGTGTGTAAAGTCTAAGAAGCATAGCATAAGTAATGTGCATAAGCATAAGTAAAGTGGTATAGCCAGAGAGGCAATTGCAGATTAGGAAGGAAAGTGGAGACTAAATAGTTGAGTTTTTAGTCATTTCTTGAAGACAGCAAGTGACTCTGCCGTTCTGATGCAGTTAGGGAGTTCATTCCACCAACTGGGCAGATTGAATGCGAGAGTTCAGGAAAGTGATTTCTTCCTTCTTTGGGATGGAATCACAAGGCGACGTTCATTCACTGAACGCAAGTTTCTGGAGGGCACATAAATCTGCAGAAGTGAGAGCAGATAAGAAGGAGCAAAGCCAGAAGTCGCTTTGTAAGCAAACATCATAGCTTTGAATTTGATGCGTGCAGCAACTGGCAGCCAGTGCAAACAGATGAGCACTCGTGCTGCTGCGTTCTGAAGCAGCTGAAGAGGTTTGATAGAGTTAGCTGGAAGCCCGGCTAGTAGAGAGTTGCAATAGTCCAGTCTGGAGAGAACAAGAGCTTGAACAAGGAGTTGAGCTGCATGTTCAGATAGGAAGGGTCGGACCTTTCTGATGTTACAGAGTGCGAATCTGCAAGATCGAGCAGTTCTAGAAGTGTGGTTAGAGAAGTTTAGTTGGTCATCAATCCTTACTCCAAGGCTTTTTACCATTTTGGATGCAGTAAATGATTGCCCTATCCATCTGGATTGAAAAATTATGGTGTAGAGTCGGGTTGGCAGAAACTTCAAGCATTTCAAGCATGAGCTGGAACCAAGGGATCATCAGGGTAAAAAGAGAGGTATAGCTCGGTATCATCAGCATAGCAGTGGTCAAAAAAAACATGTTTCTGGATGACTGGTCCTAAAGATGTCGTGTAGATGAAGAAGAGAAGTGGCCCAAGAACAGAGCCAGGCACGTGCACACATAGGGCTCAACCTGTGCAGTGCACATGCCCTTTTTAGTCTTGGATAGAAAGTGCCCTTTAAAAAATGATCAAAAGTGCCCCCGCGCGCGACATCACCGATCGAATAGCCGTGCATCCCCCCCACCCCCCCAGCTTTACAGAACGCGCGCGACAACACCGCTCTTCAGTACGCACGTGACAACAACAACGCCCCATACTGGCCAACACATTAATAACATAAGTCTTTCTTAGCAAATTTATTTTAAAATACATTCTAAATTATGACGGGTATTTGGCAATTATAAAATTAAGATAAAGGCTCAGCGGGATTTGTTTCGCTTCACAATCTGACATTAAGGTGACTGTGAAGCTGAATATTAAAATAATAATGCCAACATTACCCTGTATACTCTGTCTACATTATGATTTTATGGTTTAATTAATATTTATTTATAATTTAAAAAACCCTTTACTCACCAAGATTAGGCTACGTGTTTTTGTGGAGGAACATTATTGAATCCACTGTAAATGGCTTTAGCGCAGTCCTGCGCTCAGGATGGTGCGTCCAGCAGCACTGAACACCCTTTCATTGCTGCTGCTACAGGCCGAGATGCATAGTCTTGGGTAAGATTGTTAGTTCATCTACTACCAGCCAAGAACATTTATTTTCCATGACAGCAGTTTTAATGTAGCGAAAGACCTCGTCATCTTCCCTGTCAGCTTGTTGTCATCCATTGCAATGCACATACATTGTTTGTTTGGCGCTCTACTGTAATACGCAGTGTATGAGTGACCGCCGGAATAGCTTGCCGGCTAGAATGACCATTCTTGTTGGACTGGCGGCTGGCCTAACCGCAGTCAAAATCCGCTCTTTTTAAATTCTCTCATCATTTGTTTTACCTTTGCAGATATGGATTTTAACGTTGTAACAAACGATTTGATTACTTTCTCGTGCTAATCAAATGAAAAAGAAAAGAAAGACACAATAATGCACCTGTTGGACGTAGCACAGTGCTCATTCAGTAAAGACACAGCTAAACAGATGTGTTATCAGTCTTGATCTGAATGTACCTAATGTTGGAGCACATCTGATCATTTCTGAAAGCTAACTCCAGCAGCGAGGGGCGTAGTAACTGAAGGCCGATTCACACTGCTTTGATCTTAAAGATTGCTTAAAGATCTGAGTGATCTATTAGATATAATTCAGTGAGCATATCTGTAATGTATTGAGGTGCTAGGCCATTTAATGATTTATAGACAAGTATTAAGACTTTAGAATCTATTCTTTAACTGTATACATACATATATTAAAAAGGAAACATAAGTTTGATCCTATCGATTTCGCAATAATAACCAGCCTATAGCCTTTAACAGCAAGCATCAGTGTTTTTTTTTTTAAGATTGAAATAGGAATAAGGGATGATGAGGCAGGGTGGTGCTGGATATGTGTGTACCTTTGAATGAAATCATGCAGGTGCGCCTGAACACTTTAATATGTCCTTGTTGACAAAGTAATAATGTCTTAAAAAATAATAATAATTTTTTTGAACATTAAATGGAAAAGATGCTAATTCTAGTGTGTTGTGTTGTCACCTTCTGCAGAGCAAGCATGTCGTTTTCTTCAGCCAGTGCTGTATTCCTCTTCCGCAGATCCTCCACCTCTTTAATGTGGTAACCCAATGCTTTCTTTAGACGCACGTTCTCCTTAAACATGGAGCGAGAAGTGTCATCCAGGTGTCTGACGGAGTCAACATGGAGGATAACAGCTCATTTACCTCATGTAAAATAAATCCCCCAAACAGTTTAAACAATTAGTGGCATAATGAAATAATAGTTTTGCATTTTTAAATTAGTTTTTATTTCAATATTATTTTTAAAGTAGCTCATTTTTTGCTCATTAGTTTTTAGTTTAGTTTATATTTGATTTTTATACATGTAGCTTCAGTTTAATGTTTGTGCAACTCTTGTGCAACTAGTAATAAAAATAATAGTTTAAACAGACACCGAACCAAAAAACAGAAATTCTAAAGATTCTAATTCTAAAAATTATAAAGAGATGATAAATTTACTTCATATTAAAGACAACGTATGTAGCTAAATGCCTAATTGAATTTTGTGGCAGACAAACTTATTTATTATGTGAGTTTATTCATGTGTTCCCAACACAAATCGATTAAGCAATCAAATTTAAGTGGATTGAACATAAAACTATTAAGTTGTCCCAAAAAAACCTTAAGAACTCTGTTGGTTCAGCTCTTTTTTAAATAAGTAGTTTGAACAAGCAGCAAAACTATTTTTGTGTGTGGCTGTGTATATAATCGTGTGCTTGACTGATGTGTCTGTAAAATCACCATCTAAAGGGCATTTCTCTAAACCAGGGGTGCTTAATCCTGTTCCTGGAGATCTACCTTCCTGCAGATTTCAGTTGCTACCCATTTCAAACCCACCTGAACCAATTAATTAGTACCTGAACACCACGTGATAATTACAGGCAGGTGGGTTTGATATGGGTAGCAACTGAAATCTGCAGGAAGGTAGATCTCCAGGAACAGGATTGAGCACCCCTGCTCTAAACAGATGCAGGTCAGATTGTCCACCACAGAATGATTGCTTATTAAAGAGCCCCTATTATAGGTTTTTGAAAATGACCTTCCATGTATTGTGCAACACAGCTCTAAGTGAAGTGAATTATCCAGCTATGGTTTAAATCACAGTGTTTAAGACTATTGATTCATCTATTAAAGAGTAAACTCACAGTGCTTTAAATGAATCGTCTTGATAACGAGTCTTTAACCATTTTGGCGTGATGTCAATAAGAAACTTAGGCCCCGCCCAACTGTTGCGTGCGCAAACCCAGGAAAATTGAACCCCCCGGCCCCGCCCACAAACACAGTAGCAAAGAAAAAGACAAGCACTGTAGCAGAGTCGTGTAGACGCTGTGCTCAGCTGAATATTATTGAAAGTGTGAGGGGGAAGTTAGTGTTATTTTCTCTACCCAAAGATGACCCAAAGAGTCAGTGGTTGAGGTTTATTTTTGCAAAAAAATATATTTTTCCAGACTTGTGCTGTGTTTCCCGTCATTTATGTGACGAGAGCTTCTACAGCAGAGGTGGGCAAACTACGGCCCGAGGGCCATATGCGGCCCGCTAAACACTTTCGTCCGGCTCGCAAGTTTTTTTTTAAAAACGCTGCTTCTGAGTAACCGTACGTTCACACCGAAAGCGGCGAGAGCGTCAAAGTAGCCGGAAGTCATTCATTTTCAAAGAGAGCCGGCGGCGATAAGCAGCGAGGAGCAGCGCGGCGCGTCTTCGCCGGAGTGAGCGTCGAGGAGAGTTGAAATAAAGTCAACTTTATGGTAATGAGCTATGACGCGGTTCGGCGGCAAGCAATCAGAATGAAGACGTCCATCGCTTGATAGCAGTTCAGAGAACACAGACCTGTGAACTTTGGTTCCGATTTCCAATTATTTACAATTTTTTCCTACAGGAACATGCATTAAATAAGTTACTGGCGAGTTACTGATGTTCATTAATGTTATATATTTATCTTAAAAAAGCGGGAATCTCACGCGATGTGACAGTACAAAACAGTACTGCTGCTTCAGGATATTTCAGACATATGGACACATATTGGATAAATAGAGCAAAGCCACACGCAACTTGATCTTCCATTGTTGTATGAATTTGATAAGAAGTGCGCAACATTTTCACGCTAGAAACATGTTTTATGCAGGAATGTAACTGATATGCTGCAACGGCTCCTTTAAATATGAGATCAATGTAGCAAGTTTTGACGCTCTCGCCGCAGGAGCTGAAGACAGAGAGCGTTGTCGCCAGGGCGGCCAGAGCGACCTTGGACGCTCTCGCCGCTTTCGGTGTGAACGTACGGTAACGGTTTGATTCAGAATTAGTAAATTAACGATGCAATTACAAGTGAACACCATGTGAGGGCAGTGTTGCACGCAGTACAGTTAGCACAACCAATAGAATTAGAACACACTCTCGGATATTAAAATGCACTTGACTGTAAATGACTGAAAATGAGTCAGGCTGATCACACTGAACGCGCTTTATTAAGAGGCGCCTCTTTTGAATGGTTTACTAACAGCCGCGAGGGTTTTGCGCGCTGCTTATGCGTCCTGCCTGCCTCGCGTTTTAACCGCCTGCTGCCCTTGCGTTTTTGCCGTAGCAGACTCCATACTTTGACACCCTTGCAAAGAGAGGGGACCAGGCTCATTGTTCACATTAACTCCCTTTAGTTTCATTTCTAAATGTCCAAATCAAACAAAATCCGCAGAAACTCACATTATGTCTAAGCCCCTCCCCCAGAGCATTGTCAGTCTATAGCGATCGATGATTGGCTCCTGTACTAATAGGCAGGGCTTTATTCACCATATTGACAGTTTTTCCCATTAAAAAAGATACGAATGACATGTCTTTTGTATTCTATAATCTTTGGTTTTACACAGCGGATGCCCTTCCAGCTGCAACCCAACACTGGGAAACACCCATACACTCCTGCATTCACACACATACACTATGGACAATTTAGCTTATTCAATTCACCTATAGTGAATTGTATAAGAACCTATCGCCCTAACAGCAAGAAGGTCATTGGTTCGAGCCTTGGCTGGGTCAGTTGGCATTTCCGTGTGGAGTTTGCATGTTCTCCCTTATGTTTGTGTGGGTTTCCCCCGGGTGCTCCAGTTTCCCTCACAAGTTCAAAGACATGCAGAACAGGTAAATTGAGTAGGCTAAATTGTCCATAGTTTATGTGTGTTAATGAGAGTGTATGGGTGTTTCCCAGTGATGGGTTGCAGCTGGAAGGGCATCAGCTACATAAAACATATGCTGGATAAGTTGGCGGTTCATTCTGCTGTGTGACCCCTGATTAATAAAGGGATTAAGCCGAAAAGAAAATGAATGAAGGAATGAAAAACAGCCTTGAAAAGATGCTTACATGATGGCTTCATTGTGAGCTCTTTCTGCAAGCACAGCGATCCTTTGCTCAGATTCTTTCTCCAGGTGAACCTTATGAAAAAACAGAAAAGGAAAAACTGAGCGAATGAGGACGATTTTGTTGAAAGGCAATTTACTTTTAGCATCTTTACCTTATTATTTAGGAACTTTTGCTCCATTCTTGCAAGTGTTTTCTTGTGTTCTAGATCTGCATTCTCCACAGCATCTTTCAGCTGTACAGTGGGGATAAACACAGTGTTTTATTGTGATATTTGTGCATGATGTGTGCAAGAAATCAGCAGGATGAACTGTACATTTCTGAGTTCTTGCTCCATTTGAGGCTTCTTTTTAAGGAAGTCATTGATGATCTTCAGCTCATCCTGAATCACGTTGAACTCACTGCATCTCTTCTCGAATTTCTCCTCCAGCTCGTTGATCTTTAGCGTGTATTTTATGACCTGTAAGTTTAATCAGTAGTGTTACAAAAATAATTGTCAAATTAAAGCTAAATATGTATAAAAAAATGGCTGAAATCAACATCTGCCATGTTTATTTTGCAGGCGCATATAGCTAGTCTTAAATTGAACAATAGGGTATATGCTGAGTTACTGTTCCCATACTGATAAACTTCTGGTGACCTGTTATTGTGAGTTTTTTTCCATTTTATATGGTTTCTTTTACAGTATTGATGTTGTAATGTCATTAAAATATAAACAGTTAAATAGACTTTGGCATTCATTTAGTTGCTCGAGCGTAAAACAAGACAAAAAGCCGTTTACTCGAACGTGCCCGTCAGGATCGACAGGCTAGCGTAGAAGCTCCATTGAATATACTGGGGTAAAATAAATGCTCTTATTATAAAGACATGGCGTGGAAAAATGTAACTTAATGCAGTGCTTCTTGTACAATCTGAGACCCACTTTATATCGGATATCACTTAGCCAGTGGAGATTGACGATTTTTAAAGAAAACAGACCTGAAATGTGCCGATTTAGCAATGGCATACAGTTCACCAGAAGCACTTAACCCAGGCATATACACCATTAATCCATGTTAATCCACAGAAGTTTAAAGCACAGTTTGTTTTGGTCATCATTCATTAAAATAGAACGATTTGCTCCCGCTCTGTAATGGCACTCATTAATCTGTCTTGAGAAAGCAAACATACTGTAAAACTACATAAACTTAATTCAACTTAATTCTTTCGTCTTCTTCTACAACTACTTTAAGAAAGCATCTCCTCCTCGACTGTTCATACTACAACCAGCAAACTAACTCCAAACATCAAACTAAACTGAATTAAGTTCTTTATCTTTTCTGATCCGACTTTCAGTTTTCCGAAAACTGACCTGGAAAACTTGGAAAAGTCCCATTGACTTAAACATTGGACCAAACTTTGTGACCTCAAAACTTTGCGCCAGACTGTCATACAGACTTGGGTTGGGCTTATTTAACTCAGACTAATGATCTGCCAATCACTGATGACCTTTCAACTTACTAGCCACACCCTAGCAACCACTTACGGCACCCTAGCAACTGTCCCATAGACTTCCATTATAAAAAAAACTGCCGTTGACTTTAGATTGCACAAACTAATGACATACTAATTTATTCTAGTGATATACTAACAATATACTAACCTATACTAAAAACATACTAACAAACATACTAATCATACTAGCAACATGCTAATTTATACTAGAAACCTGCTAGCAACATGCTAGTTTCATAAGTTTTAGAACTAAGCTAATTTATGTTAGCAACTGCCTAGCAACTACTTAGGACACCCTAGCAACCACCTAGCAACTGCCAAGCAACATCATAACAACACCTTAGCAACCACCTACCAACAACTCAGAACACTCTAGCAACGACCAAGAACACCTTAGCAACCACCTAGCAATACCATAGCAACCACCCAGCAACGTCTTTGCAATGACTTAAACATCTTAGAAACCATCTAGCAACCACCTAGCAATGCACTCAGAACACTTTATCAACTGCCTAGCAACATCTTAGTAACTACCTAGAACACCAATGCCTTATCAACCAATTAGAACTGCCTGGCAATGCCTTAGCAACTGCCTAGCAACCACTCAGAACACCCTAGCAACTGCCTAGCAACACTTTAGCAATGACATAGAACACTCGAGCAACTACCAAACAACACCTTAGCAACCACCTGGGTCACCCTAGCAATGCCTTAACAACCACTAAGAACAACCAAGCAACTGAGTAGCAACACCCTAGCAACCACCTAGCAATAATTTAGCAATTACTCAGAACAACCTAGCAACCGCCTAGCAACGCCTTAGCAACCACTTAGAACCCCCTATCAACCATCTCGCAAGAAACATGCCAATCCATACTAGAAACATGCAACATATGTGTATCTGTGCCAACTGTTTCAAACTTCTTAAAATACTGCAATTATTTAAACTTTAAATTTACTAAAAACTTTCAGGCTAGGCTTTCTCGGGCCACCATAAAGTTTGCCTATGAACTTCACTTTTCTAGTTCTCTGATGATGTCAGTTTGATGGCTGGGCAAAACATACATAGCCACACCTCTCAAACAATTAGTTTGCTGCAAGCGCAGGATGAGAGGAGAAGATCAAAAATAAAACCCCGGCCCTAACTCAATATTCTGCTTCAGTTGAAAATGCGTAATCATACTAAAAATAATATCTGCAGCAACTTTCAGTTCAGCTCGACTTTAAAAAGCCCATAAAACTGAAAATATCATCCCAAGCTGAAAACAAAACACACACAGACAAATGATTTTAATGTTCATAATTTCTTCAGTTTCATTATTTGTGTATTATTGTGATACACTCTTTATTGCTATACACATTTGTAAATGGGATACTATGATACCTAATTATGAGAGCAAATTGTATTTTTACCAAATTCTCTTTTTCCTGAGAGGCCCTTGCTTTCTCAAGATGTATTTGTTGTTCCAGTGCAGTAATCTGAGAAGACAAGAGGAAAGAGTTAAAGTCCTACTAATGTTGTTTCAAACCCATAAGACTTTCAATCTGTCATGCTATGCACTATACTCTCAAGCATGTACTGTATGAATTTAGTGTCTCTGATTCTGTTTTACTAACTGGCATGATAGCTTTTGTGGGAGAATTTTGCTGGCACAATTCAAAATAATAATAATAATAATATTAATAACATTGATAATAATATTAATAATAATAATAATAATAAATAATAATCATTTTCTCTTAGTGTCCAATAGCTCCTCCCTATGAAAGCCCACTCCAGCCACTGAACTGTGAAAAATCAGAAAAAAGTCAGAATTGCGAGTTATTAAGTCAGAATTCTGGGTTATTGGCTGGTTACTAGGCTATTGGCGCCGACGAATTGCGCGGTTTTAAGTCTGAATTGCGATATATAAAGTCTGAATTGCAAGTTATTAAGTCAGAATTGCGAGTTATTAAGTCAGAATTGCAAGGTTTTAAGTCCGATTTGCAAGTTATAAAGTCAGAATTGCAAGTTATTAAGTCTGAATTCTGATTTATAAAGTCAGAATTGCGAGTTATTAAGTCAGAATTGCGAGTTATTAAGTCAGAATTGTGAGTTATTAAGTCTGAATTCTGAGTTATAAAGTCAGAATTGTGAGTTATAAAGTCAGAATTGCAAGTTATTAAGTCAGAATTGTGAGTTATTAAGTCTTAATTCTGAGTTATAAAGTCAGAATTGCAAGTTATTAAGTCAGAATTGCGAGTTATTAAGTCTGAATTCTGAGTTATAAAGTCAGAATTGTGAGTTATTAAGTCTGAATTCTGAGTTATAAAGTCAGAATTGTGAGTTATTGAGTCTGAATTCTGAGTTATAAAGTCAGAATTGCAAGTTATTAAGTCTGAATTGTGAGTTATAAAGTCAGAATTCTTCTTTCATATAAACTGCATCAGAGTTTCTTTTAACAAACAAGGCCTACCAATATGAGAGCCCCCTGATAAACAAATCAATTAATAATGATTTGTACTAGCTGTTAGCAGCCACTGAACTTAAAAAAAAATCAGAAAAAAGTCAGAATTGCGAGTTATGAAGTCAGAATTGCAAGTTAAGTCAGAATTGCGAGTTATAAAGTCAGAATTGCGCGGTTTTAAGTCTGAATTGCGATATAAAAAGTCTGAATTGCGAGTTATTAAGTCAGAATTGCGCGGTTTTAAGTCTGAATTGCGATATATAAAGTCTGAATTGCGAGTTATTAAGTCAGAATTGCAAGTTATAAAGTCAGAATTGCAAGTTATTAAGTCTGAATTCTGATTTATAAAGTCAGAATTGCGAGTTATTAAGTCAGAATTGCGAGTTATTAAGTCAGAATTGTGAGTTATTAAGTCTGAATTCTGAGTTATAAAGTCAGAATTGTGAGTTATAAAGTCAGAATTGCAAGTTATTAAGTCAGAATTGTGAGTTATTAAGTCTTAATTCTGAGTTATAAAATCAGAATTGTAAGTTATTAAGTCAGAATTGTGAGTTATTAAGTCTGAATTCTGAGTTATAAAGTCAGAATTCTGAGTTATAAAGTCAAAATTCTGAGTTATAAAGTCAGAATTGTAAGTTATTAAGTCAGAATTGTGAGTTATTAAGTCTGAATTCTGAGTTGTAAAGTCAGAATTGCAAGTTAAGTCAGAATTGCGAGTTATAATGTCAGAATTGCGCATTTTTTTTTTTATATAATTATTTTTTAGGGGTTTTCACCTTTATTGATAGGACAGTGGAGATATAGAGACAGGAAAGTGTGGGGAGCAGAGATAGGGGAAGGATCAGCAAAGGACCTCGAGACAGGAATCGAACTCGGGTCGCTGCGAGCACCTCGGTGCTATGTGTCGACGCACTAACCACTAGGCTATTGGCGGCGACGAATTACGCGGTTTTAAGTCTGAATTGCGATATATAAAGTCAGAATTGCAAGTTATTAAGTCAGAATTGTGAGTTATTAAGTCAGAATTCTGAGTTGTAAAGTCAGAATTGCAAGGTATTAAGTTAGAATTGCGAGTTATAAAGTCAGAATTCTTCTTTCATTTAAACTGCATCAGAGTTTCTTTTAACAAACAAGGCCTACCAATATGAGAGCCCCCTGATAAACAAATCAATTAATAATGATTTGTACTAGCTGTTAGCAGCCACTGAACTTAAAAAAAAATCAGAAAAAAGTCAGAATTGCGAGTTATGAAGTCAGAATTGCAAGTTAAGTCAGAATTGCGAGTTATAAAGTCAGAATTGCGCGGTTTTAAGTCTGAATTGCGATATAAAAAGTCTGAATTGCGAGTTATTAAGTCAGAATTGCGCGGTTTTAAGTCTGAATTGCGATATATAAAGTCTGAATTGCGAGTTATTAAGTCAGAATTGCGAGTTATTAAGTCAGAATTGCAAGGTTTTAAGTCCGATTTGCAAGTTATAAAGTCAGAATTGCAAGTTATTAAGTCTGAATTCTGATTTATAAAGTCAGAATTGCGAGTTATTAAGTCAGAATTGCGAGTTATTAAGTCAGAATTGTGAGTTATTAAGTCTGAATTCTGAGTTATAAAGTCAGAATTGTGAGTTATAAAGTCAGAATTGCAAGTTATTAAGTCAGAATTGTGAGTTATTAAGTCTTAATTCTGAGTTATAAAATCAGAATTGTAAGTTATTAAGTCAGAATTGTGAGTTATTAAGTCTGAATTCTGAGTTATAAAGTCAGAATTCTGAGTTATAAAGTCAGAATTCTGAGTTATAAAGTCAGAATTGTAAGTTATTAAGTCAGAATTGTGAGTTATTAAGTCTGAATTCTGAGTTGTAAAGTCAGAATTGCAAGTTAAGTCAGAATTGCGAGTTATAATGTCAGAATTGCGCATTTTTTTTTTTTATATAATTATTTTTTAGGGGTTTTCACCTTTATTGATAGGACAGTGGAGATATAGAGACAGGAAAGTGTGGGGAGCAGAGATAGGGGAAGGATCAGCAAAGGACCTCGAGACAGGAATCGAACTCGGGTCGCTGCGAGCACCTCGGTGCTATGTGTCGACGCACTAACCACTAGGCTATTGGCGGCGACGAATTACGCGGTTTTAAGTCTGAATTGCGATATATAAAGTCAGAATTGCAAGTTATTAAGTCAGAATTGTGAGTTATTAAGTCAGAATTCTGAGTTGTAAAGTCAGAATTGCAAGGTATTAAAATAGAATTGCGAGTTATAAAGTCAGAATTCTTCTTTCATATAAACTGCATCAGAGTTTCTTTTAACAAACAAGGCCTACCAATATGAGAGCCCCCTGATAAACAAATCAATTAATAATGATTTGTACTAGCTGTTAGTGTCTTAAATAATCAAGAAATCAGATATTACATAGATTTTAATAAATATTCTCTATGCAGGTAGATAATGGAGGGCCAACTCAAGGTGCAACAGCAGAGGGGAGTGGCTTTGTTGATACTGGCTTTAAGAAAGTTTAAGAAAACCACTTTTTCTAAAACTGGTTTGTTTTTTGAACAGTTTGTTTTTTCTTTTTTGTTTTATTGGTTGGACATGTTATACAATGAGCACTAGAATGTAAGAAAATGCAGTGCTTTAAACTTTCTTTTTACATTGTTACTGTAAAATAAAATATTGTAAATGGTTATACAGAATGATTTTCGGTCTTTCATATTCTTACTGTACATTTTGGAAACAAAAATAAAACAAACAATGTTATTAACAAATGTGTATAGTATTTATATAATATTGTCCTGACTCTAAAGAAGGCTTTCTGGTAAGTAGAACAAAATACCTGCTAAAAATGTTAGAGTATAATATTTCAACAATGTTACCATTAAACGGGATTAGCATTTTTTTTAAAGAACATTTACCTGTCTTTTAAGAGAAGATTTTGGGAAGAAAAATAAAACAATACCTTGAAATGCTATAATAATGTTAGAGCATAATGTTTCAACAATGTTACCACTAAACAGGATTAGAATGTTTACCTATCTTTCAAAAGAACATTCTATAAACTAAACTGAATAAGGTTCTGACAAGGTTACTACCAAATGTGGTAACAATGTTTTAGAGAATGTTTCCTTATCTTTTAAGAGAATGTTCTGGGAAGTGAAATAAAACAATAAACGTTATAATAATGTTAGAGTATAATGTTGCAGCAATGTTACTTTGAAACGTATTTAGTTAATGTTTTCCTACTATCAAAGTGAACATTCTAGGAACCTAAAGACAACCACCCACTAATAATGTTATAAGAATGTTAGAATATAATGTTCCTAAATTGTTACCATCGAATGTGGTTAAGAATGTTTCTAGAAAAATCCTCTTTAAAGACAATGTTCTGGGGAAAAAAAAAACTACCCACTGAAAACAGTAATGCAACTGCTTAATATTCTCAGAATATATAGAGAACAAAAATTTTCTAGCACTTTTCGAGGTTTGACATACCTCTCATTCTGAAACACAAAGTTTCCATTATTTCAATGTTTATATACTCAGAAGTTTGATATAAACTTCTTTTAGAAATGGTGCATAGGCTTTTTTGTTGCTGTTTTAGAATATGACATGTAACACTAAGCTTTTTTTCAGATTTACAAAATAATAAGCTTAATAAAAACCTTCTCTTCGTTTAGCATGTCTTTGTCCCTCAGCACAGCTATGATTTCGATGCTGCTCTTTTCAGTGTTGTGTTGTTGGTCGTTGAGTTGTTTGTTGGTTTTGTTCAGTCGTCGTGCAGCTTCACAGTACTCAACGCGCGCGCTCTCCGTCATGTCACAGCGCGCCTCCCACAGAGCCGCGTTCGCCTTCGCCTTTTCCAGATCAGACTCCTTATCCCGCTTCGACTCCTGCTTTCCATCCTTCTTTCCTTTGCTAAATTAAAAGAGGATGAAAGGCAAATGACTGCACAATGTGTTTGAGGTGTTTCAGGCTGCAGGGATTAATTTTACAATATTATCAAGTAAAACTATGCAGATAACTTTTCAGTGTTCATAAAAGGTGAATTCGCGTTTTTTTACAACAAAACTATAGAATGAACAGGAAGAACAATATTTGTTTTGTACTCACCCTTTTCCTTTCTTTCCCTTCTTTCCTTTTTTAATAGGCATTTCTCCCTGTGCTCAGTTTGCTCCGTTCGTTCGTGCAGGTCAGGATGAGTTTATTTATAACTGTTGCCTTGGAGACCGTCACCTCACACGTCACATCCTACTAAGTTCATGTCTTTCCATGAACTCACAATTTTTGAAAATAAAATAAATTACAGACGACATCATAGAAACTCATCCATTATCTTTTAATCATTTTAGTGTATCTTTTGTTACTCTGACCGCAGGCTATGGGGGTGCAAGAATACTGGGCGTCTCTGAAAATGGTTAAATAAAATAATAATAAATATAAATAAAATGAAATCAAATGGTTTTAACAAATATTTTAATGCATATTATCCAAATAAGGGGCGACGCTGTGGCGCTTTAGTGCTGTTGCCTCACAGCAAGTAGGTTGCTGATTCGAGCCTCGGCTGGGTCAGTTGGCGTTTCTGTGTGGAGTTTGCATGTTCTCCTCGCGTTCGCGTGGGTTTCCTCCAGGTGCTCTGGTTTCCCCCACTAGTCCAAAGACATGTAGTACAGGTGAATTGGGTAGGCTAAAATGTCCATTGTGTATGAGTGTGAATGAGTGTGTATGGATGTTTCCCAGTGATGGGTTGCAGCTGGAAGGGCATCTGCTGTGTAAAAAATGTGCTGGAAAAGTTGGGGGTTCATTCCGCAGAGGCAAGCCCAGACTAATAAAGGGACTAAGCCGAAAAGAAAATGAATGAATGAATGAACATCCAAATAAGACATATATATAACAGTATAAAAGGAGACAATTCTGATTCAGCCTGATCTCGCGAGAAAAAGTACGTATTTTACGATGTGGCAGTTTAGTGGCTAATTCAGTCGTAAGAAATTGTACTATTTTAAAAAGGAGGCGTGGCACCTAACCCCACCCATAAACCCAACCGTCATTGGGGGATGAGCAAATCGTACTAAAATGTATGAATAAGATTGTACAAATTTGTACGAATTAGCCACTAAATAAAAAAGTTACGAATTGCTGTGAGTTTGTGTAGGTAATTCTAATCACTGTCATTTTAAAAAGTACAAAGAGAAATCTTCCGGAAAGAGAAGTTGTAACATTATCGGTAATTTGCTGGAACGCAACGCTGTGTGAACGCAAAAGGAATCACTTCATAATACGCTGACGTGAGACTTTACTTTAGCCAATAAGAACATGCAGACGCATTTATGTACGCACAGTTTATGAAAGTAAACGTCTTTGAATATCTTTGACACATTTAGCTGCAAGATGGAAGTCAGATAACATTTCTATGTTCCTTCTTAATGCCAACTGTAAAATTATCAATAAAATGCTTATGAAAAGCCACTGTTTACATTCAAGCTCTGACGCACGTGCACGTGAAGCAGCCGGTGAGCAGCAGCACACACATATTATGTACATCTCGACATGCGAAAGTGTTCCTCCATTTGTTTTCATTGAAGTGGTTCACAATATTTATCCATCCACAAAATTTGTAATGTAGTCAAATGTTTACAAATACAAAGCCAGCCGTTTAGAGGTTATTTCTGGTTAATGTCAGAATTTACCATTATTTTGGAATGGATGTGTGAACGGTCTTTTCCGTAAAAATTCTGTAACTTCCATGCCTGTGTAAACAGCGCTTTTTTAAAATTTATTGGTTAAGTCGTTACAGAAATTTTCCGGATATTCACCAGTATCAGTGTGTTAAAGGTGCTAATAACTCAACAATATGGTTCTTTGTCTGCTATAACTCCACTCAAATTTCCTGAGGCATGAACTGAAGCTGAAGCTGACATTGTAGATACTGCAGAGTGAATATTGCGTATGATTACATTGCGATGTCGATGCTGAAACAATATATTGTGCAGCCCTAATATATATATATATATATATATATATATATATATATATATATATATATATATATATATATATATATATATATATATATATATATATATATATATATATATATATATATATAAATAAAAAAGATGCACAAACAAAAGCTCTTACAAATCTCTGCTCATTTATTTGCTTTGTAAAAAAAGTATTATAACAACAAAACAGACATTATAAAATCCGACTTGCGTTTATATAAAATCCAAATAAAACTGCAACTTCATAAATAATACACATTCACAACTATATTCCGTCTAAAATAAGAAAGAGCACGTATATAACGTCACACATTCATTATAAAACATGACCTCATATAAAACAGCTGAAGGACCAGACACATTAAAAAATACTAAGGCTTTCTGTAATTTCGAGTAGATTATTAGTTAAGATCACTGCCAGGGTGCTCGCCTTCCCAACACACGATTGGTGACTTTCTGTAAAAACAAGGATGCATTAGAAATATGAATCAAATTGCTGATGTATTCCTGAAATGATTGAGACAAAATTGATTGAAATGAGTCTAACTCTCTGTATACCTTGTTAAAGAGCTGAGCAGTGAGGCGGTATGAGCGATACTCTGCCCGTCTCTTTTCCTCTTCTCTTCTCTTCTGGACCTCAGGAAGTTTAGCGTATTTCCTGGAGGAAAACACAATCACTTGGCTATTGAAATAAATAAAGAAAAACTTTAATATTTATATAAAATAGTTGAGGGCGACACAGCGGCGCAGTAGGTAGTGCTGTCCCCTAACAGCAAGAAGGTCGCTGGATCAAGCCTCGGCTGGGTCAGTTGGTGTTTCTGTGTGGAGTTTGCATGTTCTCCCTGTGTTCGCGTGGGTTTCCTTCAGGTGCTCCGGTTTCCCCCACAAGTCCAAAGACATGCGGTACTGGTGAATTGGGTAGGCTAAACTGTCCGTAGTGTACGAGTGTGAATGAGTGAGTACGGTTGTTTCCCAGAGATGGGTTGTAGCTGAAAGGGCAACCGCTGCGTAAAAACGTGCTGGATAAGTTGGCGGTTCATTCCGCTGTAGCGACCCCGGATTAATAAAGGGACTGAGCCGATAAGAAACGGAATGAATAAAATAGTTAAATCGGCAGCAGACCACACTCCTCTGACTGAGTCTTAATTGAATCAAATCAGATATTAAAAATAAGAAACCTTTAAATAAAAACACACTCAAACACATTTGTTTAAATGGTTTAGGGCAGGGGTCACCAACCTTTTGGTAACTGAGAGCTACTTCTTGGGTATCGTTTAATGTGAAGTTTGATACACTTCCTAATAACAAATTTGCTCAATTTACTTTTAATTATATGTTTTTATTAATAATTAATGATATTCATCTATGTGAAGACACTGATCAAGTTAATGATTTCTCACAATAGTTGTCAACATTGATTGGAAACAGATAAATATCAATATGCAACACTTCATTTGTCTGAAATAGTTTTTTTAAGGTTTTTTAAATATATAACTTAATGTCATTTTCAATTTTACACCAATGCAAGTGTGATATAAAAAGAATAGCTACAAAAAATATTAGATGCAGTTTACTGGTATGTGGTGCTATGGTAAGCTAATTTTATAACAGGCCCATGGGCAACTCATGTGATCCTCGCAGGCCCCACGTTGGTGACCCCTGGTTTAGGGGGACTTTACATAGCCAATTATGCTTTTGCTATAAAAACAGCCTATCCCCTAACCCAGGGCTATTCAATTAGTTTGTCATTGGTGGCCAGTTCATAAAAAGCATCCCAAACGAAGGGCCGGAGAGATACGACTTGCAATATGAGTGAGGACACAACAGCATATAAGAGGCCATATGCTGTATTTCTGCTCCTTAAGACACCCTTGTTGGCTTTTTCTACATTAAAATGTTAATATATTGTATTTTGAAACTACATAACTTCACTGCATTGTACAATACGCTTTAAAAAAAAATTTTTTTTTACAAACATTCAAATGTTGTATTTCAAAGCACAACAAAAGCAGTGCTGAAGTAGGCTTCTTCTACATTCAGACACATTCATACGTTTTAAACTGCTTAACTATTATGGATGCAACAATTATAGATGTTGGTTGCATGAATATAGTCTGAAGAATAATGACGGTTATCACGACTAATGTAAATTTAAGCTTTATATTAGGTAAGAATTTTAGATAAACTATTGTTATCATCTGCGTTCATACATACATAATAATTTTAATAATAATTTGTCTAACGTATCTTTTGTTTACATTGCACTGAAAGCCACGCAAAACTCTCACCGCTACAGCGCGAGATGTTTTCTACTGCAATCGGAGCGAAAGCCGCAAACACGTTGCTCTGCTTGCACGTGCATATTGGCATATATTCTTACATTAGAAAGAGCAAACTTGCTTGCGACGACTCGACGCTATAGTTAATCCAGTGTGCGTGTGTAGGTCTATTAGCCTCGGTATAAGCTTGGAACTTTAAATTAGCACACAGTTGGAACCTTTGTTTAATTGCAGCAGTTTCTTTCCGTGCAACAGAAACGCGGCGTAGACAAGCATTTACGATTAATTAACCATGACGAATTAAAGCGTAGTTAATAGTGAAATCGGCTAATCGTTGCAACCCTAATGCCACATTCACACAGGGCGTCAGCGTCAACGCTTCACATTCACTTTGAATGGGTGACATCAGGCAATGCCGAACTGCATTGAAGATTTATCGGCGCCGCTTCAGGGTAGAGTTTAGATCGGATACGCGGCCAGACGGAAGGCGATATGTACATTAAATTAAAGTCAAAAATTTTACGACACTATATAACAATAATTAATATTTTTACAGTACTATGACGGTTGGATTTAGAATTGGGTTGGGGGTAGGCGTTAAAAAAACTATTTATTGGGTAATTTAATAAATAATATAAATAATTCTCGTTAACTTCCGGCCGCAACCATATCTGATACAAACCCGCTTCAGTGGCGATGCTCGCAGCAGAAGTTGAGATTTTCTCAACTTTTCAAGCACATATGGAAACATCAGCCAATCAGATTGCTGTACGCAAATACACCAGCTCAGATAGTGGCAGATTGCGGACTACTTTCACTGGTTAACGCTGCTATGATGATCCTATCAGGCCCAACTTCAGACACACCCTCTGTCAGGCGTTGACGCTGAAGCCCTGTGTGTATCAGGCATACTAACGATATCAGTGCATTGTACAAAAGGCCTTTTCTACAAACATATCCAAATGTTTTCAGCTGCCCGCTCCACTCGCTTAATGCCACTTGACTCACTCTCAGTCTTCAACTGCAGCTCATGCTGTATTGAACAGACGCACATCACTTGATAACTTTAGCTACCGTTTTTCGACTCAACTAAATCTCTTTTTGATGTCTTGGTCACTATTTGGAGACCCAGAACCAATTGCCTTGGAGGAAGGGTTCGGCCCACCGGTCGCCAATTGAATAGCCCTGCCCTAACCTTATTAGTACTGTATGTAGTAAGGTAAAAACCATTGTAATACTCATGTTGTTACATACATCTGTCCTCATAAACCATGTTTTCAAGATTACACTCACACATGTATCATTACCTTCTGAGTCTGTCTGTCCTGTCTATTCTCTGACTGTGTGATTTCTTCCCTACCCAACTGAAATAAATAAAACATTGAAGAAATCAAGAGATGCTGTTTTTGGGCAAGATTTACTCTCAGGGAAATAAAAAATGTTTACTGTCAGCACTTGCAACAGAAAAAATGCGTACAACATGATTTTTTTTTCAGATGACCCCAATGCATATGCATTTCCAAGAGTTTCCATTTCAGATGTAAAACTGATCAGAAAAGAATATTTAAATGTTGATTTACTAATGTTTGCAACAGACTTTGCTGAAGGGTCCCCACTTAACCAACTTCCCTGACATTCACTGATAAAATTGAATTTCCTTGACCTATGACGAACAGAAAAAACTGGGCTAGGTTATGAAAATGAGTGAAACAAAGTGATTAGAAAATGATACGGTAGAGAAAAATTACAGATGCAATTGACCCTTCACTAAGCCACACCCGAAAACCGCCACACACCAATCATGGCTTAGTAACTGTAGCTACGCGAAGGAGGTCTGTCAAGCTTTCGAGCGAGGGAAACAAGCCAAAGCATTGTGCATATGGATTGTGCAAATCTGATGCCCAGTAAAATTTCCTAAAAGTTTGGGCGGGGTGGTGGAATTTTTTCCCTTTTACAAAACCTAAAACGCAAGGGGAGAAATGCCAGCGTGGATCAAGCTGTGTGAGGGGCGCTAAAAGAGTGAGGTTAAGTTGGTTTTGTTTTTAACATTCCTGACACATTTAGTGATTGACGGCAATAACTCACACACCTCTTACCCTGAAAGATCTAAACTGTGTTTTCAAAAAAAATACAAAGCAGATTATGTTTCCCAGCTGTTTTTTTCTTTTTGTTCGCTCAATATTATGAGCATTGCTCCATTTCAGCCCTCGCAATAGCTGTGCAGCGACCACAATCCAGTCATATTTCCATCTGTTTCAAGCTACGAATATTTAAAATGACATATCAACAGAACAAAACTGAGATGTGATTACAATCTGAGCACTTGCAATCAACATACTTCACCCGCAGCTGTTTTTCAGTCATTTATAACCCTCATGTCCATATCAGAGCTACAATTCTCTGATTTTTTCATCCGTCTTTTGGAGATTTAGTCATTGGTGACGATGTTATAGCGGGTTAGTGTCTGCTTTAATATTTGGTGTCTGATTAACATTTGCTGGAAGAGAAAATCTATTTGTTCACTTCTTCTATAAGTACTTTCATTTTCTTGTCAATTTATTTATTTTTCCACTTAACTGCAAATTAGAATAGAAACAGTATAAAGAGCACACAAACATACTGACAGTTATAGGTAATGTACATTGTTATGGGTCAATGATGCTAATATTTGGCACAAATCTATCGATTTCCCCTTTCTGGCCTTTTCTTGCTATGAATGAATTGTGGTAGCCATGGTAGAAGCACTGTCCATGCGTGTTTCCTCATCAGTTAGTAACGCTGTACTTTATTGTACAACAATTCAATTATCAGGCTTTTTAGTTAAAAAACAGCTAGGCTAGTTTCCTAGCTTCAATTTTGATTAAATTATTTTCTAATCGGTTGCCTATTATGTCATGAATATACCCCTGTAATGTATACTGCAGTCTTTTTTTCTCTTGCTTTCTAAGATATCTCACCTGTTCGCCAAAAATGACTAATTATATCCCTGGGAATGTCTAACACCGACGTGCCAGGCATGAAAGCTTGACAGGCGTAACTACAGTAACTAAGGAGGGCGGGGCTAGATGATCGTTCTCCTAAAGGCACGCATATGCTCCGGCGCAGCCTAAGCATAGATGCAAAACCCTCTCCGTGGCTGTCGGCGACGCTGATGCATACCTCTCAAAAAATGTAACTAAACATCGCATGTAGTGGGCTGAGGTGAGAGCAGCGCGAGCCCAATAGAGCAGGTGTTTACAAGTGTGGAGTCCCGTGAAGGAGCTCCAGATGGAAACTGTTGTTTTGTGTTTACCTTATGATTAAAGTTGTTGCTTATCCGCAGATTCCCGCCTCAAAGTGAGCGAGTTTGGGCCATTTGTGCAATAAGGTAGTGCTCAGAAAAAAACACCAGCGAAGAAACTTGACACAGAGGAACATAAACACCTCACTGCCCGCTAGCGTTTCAGAAGTGTTATTGAAGAGAAACACAAACAGAGAGTAGAAGTATAAATGCTCGACTACAGCAATTGCATGTGCCGTGGGTCATGCCGATCACTCGACGCAGAAGTATAAACCAGACTTAGTTGTCCACTTAAATTAATTTTTTTTGAAAATATGACGCAACCCCCCACAGAGCTCGCTGAGGACCCCTTGTGGTCCGGGAACCGTTGCATTACTGATGACGAGTTCAGACTGCATGATTTTAGCCTCGATTTTTACTCGCCGACAGGTTTTGAGAAATCGCCGACAAATTCCTGAAATCACAGGCAAATCGGTGCTCGTGCACGTGAATGACAATCACAGTATGAACTATCAAAGACGCCATCTGAGAGAATCGCAAATGAGTCTCTGATGCCTGTGAGATATTTGGCGTGCTAAATATCTGGATCTGTCGGCGATTCAAATCATGCCGTATGAAATTAATTTTCACTGAAAATAACATCGGTATGCGATCACAGCCCATGAAAGACCAGCATTCACTTGTGTGAGTGTACCTCCAGGCCAGCGGGAGGTTGAGGGAGAAGTTAAAAGCTCTCATTTTCAGTTTATTTGAACCCAAGAAATAGAGGAAAAACTAGTGGAGGTTTGACAGAAGCACCAGTGTCTGACGTTTCATACAGAAAGTTAAAAAAGAAAGTTGAGGAGAAATTGCTAATTCCCTTCAAACCCAGGTGAACAAATATGTACATTTTCTACCCCATTAAAGGCTTCTTTCTCATTATGTAGTTAATAACAAAAGATATACTACGTGTTTTTGGCTGTGAGATGTAGTTTGGACGAAGTTGTCAGCAATTCTACCTATTGTAAAGTCATGCAATGTGAAAGCCCCGGTCGCCAATCCATCTTGTAGTGTAAACAAAGCAGCAACAAAACGTTAGCCCAGATAGTCATGCAGTGTGAAAACATCTGTGACACGACTACTTTGAAAATCATGCAGTCTGAACTTGGCATAAGTTCAAGTTGTCACAAACTTTTGATCACATGACCTTGAAAATTAATAGGTAATGGCAAATTCTGAAGTTATGTATTTCCGTGACCACCGAACTGAACCAATAAAATTGTGAAGCATTACACCCCTAATACATACATACTATTTTGTTAACATGTTCTGTGTTTGTTAAAATAACATGAGCTTGGTGATCATGTATACATACTCTCTGGACCTTTGGACCATCTCTTTTCTTGGAACGACTCGTTTACGGGGTACTGGAGCTAAAGAAAAAGTGTATTTTAGTTAAATGATTCATATTTTACACATAAGTTGAATCAAGCTTGTATAATAGATACAGAACTGACTCGTGCTACAAATAGTTATTCTTAGAGAGTAAGTTGACCTGCTCTGAGTGGCCGTGATGGTGCGGGGAAGTTGAAGAGCTCTTCTCTCTCTCTGTTGAAAATGGCCTGTAACCTCCGTTCCTCAACCAGCAACCCCAGCCGCTTCATTCGCTCCCGAGAGCGAGACACAAACTCTGGCCGATGGAGCTCCAGAGCTTCCTGTTGGAAAAGCGTCATGCAAATGTACAAAGTTATACTAAATTTAACAAAAAATCAACAGTAAATTATGTAGGGTGACACTTCACCTGAACGGGTGTTCAGAAGACTGTAATGAAATCTTTGACTAACAACCTTTTTTATTTTGACTGTAATGCAATAATGTGCCCCTTTCGTAGTAATTATTGTGAAAAGCACTTTACAAATAAACTTGGATTGAATTAAATGTTAACAGAGTGAATTAAATCATTTAACAGAGTAATGACAGTTTAAATGAGACATTGTAATGACAAATACAGTATGTTCCACTTAAAAAAGTGAAAAAAATATTCATGTCAATATAATGGCCTCATGACAGTCATGTTTATGACAGGTTTATGACAAGTTTTTTTTGTCAATATCCCCTTTCACACATACAGACCTTTCTGGAAAATTTCTGGCAGTTTTCTGGAAAGGTCTGTACGTATTAACAGGTCCTATTTGAAAATTCCGGTAAATTCGTTTTAGCAATTTTCCAGAAAGAGAAGTTGTAACATTACTGCTAATTTGCCGGAATGCTGTTCTGTGTGAACACGGAAAAAAGATTGCCGGAAAGAGCGCGTTCTTGCTTAGAATGCTGACGTGAGACGTCTACTGCAGCCAATCAGAATATTCAGACACATTCACATCTGCGCTGTTTATGAAAATAAAAGCCTTTAGACACTTTTCCAGACAGATTTAGCTGCTAGTTGTTGGTCAGATAACGTTTCTGTTCCTTCTTAATGCCAACTGTGTAAAGATTATGGATAGAATGCTTATGATAAACCACCGTTTGTTTACCTTTAAGCTCTGCTTGACGCGTGTGCACGTGATGTGCTGAAGTGCTCTGATGAGCGCCAGAACACACATTATGAACTCGACATGCGAAAGTGTTCTTCCATATGTTTTCATCGAAGTTGTTCACAATACTTATCCATCCACAGAATTTGTAATGTTGTCAAATGGCACATCTGCCTTTGGATGTCTCTGGGAAAAAAACTGCTGCATGAATGCTAAAGCTTTAATTAAAAGGGAAACCATAATGCCGGATTCCTTTTACGTTTACTAATACAAACGCAGCTGTTTTGAGCCAATTTCTGGTTAATGATGTCAGAATTTACCAGTATTTTGGAATGGATGTGTGAACGGTCTTTTCCAGAAAAATTCCAGTCCATGCCTTTATAAACAGAGCTTTTTTTAATTTACCGTTAAAGTCGTTTCTGTATTTTTTTTTTTTGAATATTTACCGGTATCACTGTGTGAAAGGGGCTTTTGTCAAGTTGTCATGACAAAGACGAAGACCAGTTGTGTAGTATTTGTTTTTGTCAAGTTGTCATAACAAACAATGTCATCTTTGCATTAAAAAGGACAACTGAGTAAATGACACTTAATGACAGTTGTCATTAGCATGCATAAAATCTCATTCATATTCTTGACGTGTTATGTTTTATGAACACCCCTTCAAGTAAAGTTTTACTATATGAGGTTACAAACCAAACAAACAGGATCCAAAATGAACACTGAGGCCCAATCCCAATTCTACTCCTTAGCCCTTCCCTTTACCACGTTCACGTGAAGGGCTAGGGGTGTCCTTATTCTTTTTAGCTTGAAGGCGTAGGGCTAAGGGGAAGGGGTAGATAGCCCTTAAAACTGAGATTTTTCAGGACCACGCTTGAAACCAATAGGTAAGATAATTTCCCAAAATACACCAGCCACAACAGCTGCACCCAGAAGTCAGGTGATGCTAATGTGGCAATAAGATCAAAACTATACTGCGGATTTACACAGTGGCAACATTTATTAATGTAAACACATAAAAACAACATTAACATTATAGCAGACACTGTAAAAAGCTCATTCCCAGCCACTAGACTTTTCTCACAGGGGATTCAAGTGTCATCAAGTGTCAGAATGTTGGGAGACTGCTGTACAGGAGCTGTTGTTATTTTAGCGTTTTTTTAAAAGCATGACAGTAAAACATAAACACTGTTATGAATACATTAAAACATGTGCTTGTTTGTTATAAGAAATCATAATAATGACTAAAAATACAAATTTGAGGATCTTCTGACTTCCGGGTGCAGCTATCCTGCCGTTGTGGCTGGTGTATTCTGGGAAATTTTCTTACCCCTTGATTTCGAGTGTGGTCCTGAAAAATCTTTGTTCGGAGGGCTATCTACCCCTTCCCCTTAGTCCTACACCTTTAAGCTAAAGAGAATTGGGACACCCCTACCCCATAGGGGCAACAGGAAGGGCTAAGGGGAATTAGGATTGGGCCTAATATGACTGCAGCTTTGGAATGAAAAAGTTAAAGGGTCACGCAACACTAAAACACATGTTTTGAGCTGTTGACAGTCATATATGTCCCACGCTGCTAAAAACACTATTAGGACACATATATTTCACTAAAAAGTGAAAACTGGTTATTTTTGCAAATTCGTACATCCGGTTTAAAACAAATTTTTGAAGCTGCGTCACGGCCATGAGATCTTAGCGTGTATTCCAGCGTGTAGACTGGCCGTCTGTACCTGGGAGAGCCTTATTACATCTCTGAGTGTGCTGCATTAATGCATGAGTAAGGCTTGGGTCAAACCAATCAGTTCGCTCTATCGTGCAACTTCATTAATATTCATTAATGTTACAGTGTTCAGACGGCAGAGAGATGCTGCGTTGTGTTGCCAAAACAAGCGTGCAGTGTTGCTTTCTAACTATTACACCGAGTTAGCACATGTTAGCACCACAATCAAACTTACCGTTGTGCAGGATTTTCACCGCATTTTGTGACAGGAATAACACACACGGCTTTCAGATGCTACCTGCCGAGTGCATCTAAGTATCTGGGAAATGTCGAGGATTTTTTCCACTCGTTCGCCGTGTGGTATCAAAGATAGCATGAAAAATACAGGCTTAGAGCAATCCCTCGAATCAAATATCTCGTTTGTCACGAGGGGCATGAAAGAAATTTCCTGAATGAAAGAGCCAAACTGTAGTTAAAGTCCACCATTTAATAATTTGGCAAATAATATAATTACTGATGTCCAAGTAAACACAGTCCGTCTTTCTCCCCTGTGTGTGTGTGTGTGTGTGTCTTGACAGAAAATCCGCGCGTGCCCAAATCAACACTCCCATTTTTATGCCAATTTTTTACAGAGCCTCCCTCTTTTGCTCCTCTGACACTCCCCCTAAGCAGAGCTGGACACGCCCACTTTCCTGACTTTTTCCAAAGTAAAGGTGTGAAAACACCCTACTAAAGCAAGGGGGTTTCATGGCCCTTTAAAGCTATCCTTGGTGTGAGCAAGCTTCAGAACTCTGGCATGTTGATGGAATAAATCATTAAAAAATCACCTGCAGTGAAAGACGAACAAGAGCTGAGGTTTTGTCACTGATGTCCGTCTCCATCGCTGTTCTGGTTTCTGTCTGCCTCTCCTGCTCTTGCTGATTCTGTCTCTCCCTTAACGGTTCTCTGCTCGATTCTCTCCAAGGTCGAGTCCTGCTGTAAGGCTCAAACCAGGCTTGGCTTATGGAAGGTTCTGACTCGTTCTGTGGCTGGTTTTCCTTGCGGCCGTCAAACTTCAGCTCATCAGCAGAAACAAACCATGACACACCTTGAAGACAACATGATATTTAAAAGAGCAAGAATTAAGCCTTGATCACACACCAAATGGGCTTTTTAAGCTGAGAACTGCTTTTACTGAATGGTCTACTAATGGCCGCAAGCATTTTAAGTGCTGCTTATGCACCCTGCGCGCCTTGCTTTTTGACAGTTAAGAGTTAAAAAGTCAACTCTGAGCGAAAAAAGCGACTATGTCAGTCACTGTTCATTCTCCAATCAAATGAAAGCAGAGGCAGGGTTTCCGCTGTGGCAGCAGTGTTTCTGGTGTCAAGATGAATACGGAGACTTTTAAAGATGGAGGCTAGTGGTCACTATTTTGAGTTATCCAGAGCGGTATGGCTTCACAAATCTTAAATATCACAACATTATTAAATATTACAATTGTAATAATATCAACAGCAGCGCTCGCGCACAATACGCAGATGATTCAGTCGTTGCCTAGCAAAAAGGCAACAAAAAAAAGGCAGTGTAGTGCACCTCATGCACAGAAAAGCACATTCGGTGTGATCAGCCCTAAAAAAACAGCAGTAAACAGGTTTGTGTGTGTGTGTTTGTGAACATGTAATATATACCATGCGGGTAACGTGTCCGCACACTCTTATTGCTGGAGTCTCTCTTCAGAGCTGTTTGGATTGGTTTAGCTGTGGAGGCAGTAGGGATGGGAATACCATTCTGAAGGCCACTGCCAAATTTGTTTGATGAAGAGACATTTTTGAAAGCACCTGGAGAGGGAAATACGGTGCCTACATCTCGAGTGTGCTTTCGTGTGCCGTTTATCACAATCTCCAAATCACCTGCACAAAAAATAAATATAAACAGTGTACAAAAACTCAGACGATGCCTTTCATTGCTGGGAATCACTTTTTCTTTTTTTTCTCTCTCAGGTTGTGTTGTGGAAAAAAGTTTGTCGTTGTGGTACTGACCTGCCTGCACACTTTTGCTGACCAGTTTGACTTTTGACTTTTTGGTTTTAAGGCTGTAGACGCCTCTTTGAGAATGGTGGAATGAAGTGCTTGAAGATGATAAAGAGCCAGCAGAGACCTGCAAGAACAACAGATGATTAGACAGCTTATTAAACAATCTGTATCTTCAATCAATATGTTCAGGGTATTTGCAGGAATCCTAAAGTTATTACAAAACCTTTTTAAGACTTTTAACAGACCTTCCCAGAATATTTTAACACCTTGTTGCCACTTTAAGTTCTAATCAGTATCAAACCTTTAACTTAATAAACAGTTGCTAATAAATAGTTGTAGTTAAATGAATCAATAAAGCATAACCATTCAAAAGAACTCAGATAAGCTCAGAAGAAACAAAGCTTGAAAGAATAAATTACCCGGTTGTTTTCAGCCACTGTCTAAACTCGTCTTTCTCCAACCAGGAGTACGCAAACGTACATTTTTCCATTTTGCTGTCTACTTCACTCAATAGTTTTGCTAAATGTGGAGAGCACCAGATCATCTTCCAGCGTTTGTCGCAAATTAAGTGACATCACCTGGACGAAGGAACTTGGCCGGACATGTCCCGAACCAATCGCATGGATCGAGCATATTAGGAGGAAAATAAATATATTTATGCTTTTTTGGAGTCAAACACTATGTACAACGCTTGAAGAAAATTAAAGACCTCGTAAAAACGCGATGAAGAAATTTTTATACCTTTTAAAGGCCTTAATTTTCTCTTTTTATACTTTTAAGACCTCTTTGACACCCTGATCTATCTTTTCTTTCACCAAACAAAACCGTTAACATTAGAGCTTATCGATACTTCAGTCTTTTATAATGTAGCACCGATAACGATAAAGTACTGAGTTTCGGTACCCAGCCCTAATTGTGCTTACTGCTCTAAAATAAATTCTTTTTAAATGTCTGAATAAAAAAAAAACTTTTCCCCTATTGAACACAATATATTTGATTTTAAGAAATATTAATAATATTTTGGATCCTATTTTGGGTCCTATTTTGGTGGAGACAGTAGCTATGTTTCCATCCAAAAATGCGAATAAATTTTATGCACAAAACTGAATTATCGCATAAAATTTGTGCGAATGAAGCATCGTTTCCATCCAACGAGTCAAAGCAAACAAAATCGTCACTTCCTGATTAACTGGTGCCAAATATCAACAGTAAAAACTGCATTTGCTGCAGTAGGAGAAGCTGCATCAATCTTTTCTAAATGAATGCGCCTCAGAAGACAATCCTGACAAGCAGTGAGCGCACAGTGGCGTTTGAAGGTGTCAGACGCGGAGCACAGGCGCTCTCGATTCTGGAGGTCATTAATAATATAATAACATTAATACTGAAATGGTAAGGCGTTTTATAATGACCAAAACAACATTTCAGATGTTTTATAATGTGCTCAGCCTGACGTTTTATCCATTCACAAACATTTTAAGCATCACATGATCTCTTTTAAGAAAATCACATGACCTTTTTTAATGCGCATGCTGGATTTTGTGCGGTATAAGTGTTTCCATCGCAGTTTATGAGCATCTTTTCTTATCGAATAAAAAGTTTATCCTACCCAGTTAGGGGCATAAGTTGTTTATGCGCATTTTCAAAATGTATGCGCATCATAGCGTTTCCATCAACTGTTTTTTTCTTATGCGCATTTGCAAAATATAGGTGGATGGAAACATAGCTACTGTTGTCCTAAAGAAATCAAATAAAATATTAGTAAAAAAAAAAAAGTACATATATAAAGTAGGAATAGTTCAGTAGTTTGATGGCTAACTACCATTTTTTTCTAGTCATTTTCCCCACAGGAAAATAAAAGTTCAAAAACAACTGCAAAAAAAAGCTTATGTCCACATTGCAAAATAAGATCCCTCTTGCGATTAATTATTCAATCTGGCTCCTAATCCTATAAACCTCTGATCTTACAAATTACTCACTGCATTCCAGAATAAAGATATGTTTTTTTGTATTTGTTGACCACTTTTCAAATCACTTGACTTGACTATATTTAAAAATACACACAATAAATTCAAAGCAGAAATGAAAAGTCTTACTGTGGAGTCATCTGTATTGTCTGTTGTGACAGAGACTGCAGCATCTTTAGTACTTGGTTTCCTTCGACTTGTTTTCTTTGCGTTGATGCTGTTGTAAAGTCTGAGCAAGCTGCCGTCGCTTTTCATTCCTTCACGTGCGACTCTGTGAGCTCCAAAAGCTCTCTGCAGTCTCTCTGTGTCCACAGTGGAAACACTACTGCTGGTCTCCACAGACTCGTCTCTCTCAGCAGGACAGAGATGCACTTTGCCTTGTCCTTCATCCTGAACCCACGCATGCTTTGGAGGCGCTTTTAACTGCACTCTTTCTCTTTGCTCTTCTTCTTCTTGGTTTCTCATCCTGTCATACTCTCCATTGCCACTGTCTGATGACTGCTGAACACTATGGTCTGTTGGAGTGGTGTTGTGAATGAGACGAGACAAGCGCTCCAGTCTATCTAGCAGAGACGTCTCTCCGTCATTGATGGATCGGGACTCCTCTGTGCTCCATTTTTCATTAAAGCGACGCCACAGCTGGTCTAGCGAACTTGTGATCTCCAGGCTAACATCATGAGGTGTTCTGTCCTTCCCTTTCTTGTTCCCCCTGTAGGGTCTTCTGTTTGGCTGAGAAGATGAGTAGTGTGGTTCTCGAGGTATTTTAGGCTCCTGTGTGGTGCTGTTATGAAAATGGACATGGTCCATACTGTTGTCTGCCTCCATGTTCAGGGGGACAAAATGGTCTTCCTTATCGTTATACTCTGCATCTATGCCAACAGTCTCCATGTTCTTCTTTGAGACTTCGGGAGCGGTACTGACAAAAGTGCTTGCTGATTTTGGAGGACAATCTCCACTGGAAACTGAAAGCAGGACAGATTAAAATGTGTTTGTGTTGATAATGTGTTATAGTAACAGTCCATGGCAGTCCAAGTATTACATAGATTCTTTGTAAAGCACCAATTCGGGTTCATGCACTTTTTTGGCGATAACTTGAACTTACTGACGTATCCAAGATGCTACCAATTTTTATTATGTTTTTATCAATTTCAGAGCTTTTTTGTAAAAATGTTAACTCTGCTAATGTAGAATCATCAAATACTATTGGATATTCGTCTATCTTTAAGTAATCTGGTCTACAACCTTGCAAATAAAATCCACTTGTTCACTTCAGTTTTTAGCCTAGAACGAGATGTTGATATATATTTGAAGAGTTCAGAAGCAAAACCCTCTAAATCCATCAGACCTCTTTTCTTGTAAATGAGCATTTTCTATCAGGCTCCCCTAATTAAGCTTAGGAGTTTCATTTTATAGGTAATGATAAGGTTATTAGCTAGTAAATAAAATTACGTTTTTTTTTTTTTTTTTTCAAAAATATCACTTTGGAGAATTCTTTGGTTTTTAACAATGTAGATTTTCTTTGACGTCAAAACCAGCAAAAATCACTTGTGCTTTCTTTTTTTTTTTTTTTTTTTTTTTTGCAAAAACCTCTAAATCCACTCATTGGGACAAGACATTGCAATTAGCTGAAAAATCCCTAAAGATGCTTTTAGAAATTATTTTACCAAACATAAAAAACATTACACAAACCACCTAAAATTAAAAATACATCTGCCAAGTAAGTGGTGGTTCATTCCACTGTGGTAATCCCTGATAAACCAGGGACAAAGCAGAAGGGAAATGAATGCATGAAATCTGTCAGGTAAGTGCATTAGTCAATAACAATAAAACCGACATTAATTAAATCTTAACTTGTGTGTTAAAAACAAATAAATAAAAAGAAAATAATATGCTTAAAAAACAAATAGATTTACGTAGTTTGAAGGGTAAAACAATGGGTTTAGAACATTTAATGGAATGACAATAAAGCATTTTTTTTGTACTTTAAATGTGCCCTATGGTGTGACATAGCAAAGTAAAAAGAAAAAAAAACAACTCTTAATACTGTACAAATACCATGAGAGCAGTTTACCTTCATTGTTGGACACTTGTCTTTACACAGTGCTATTTATTTGATATGAAATTATGAATAATATTTGTTTTTCTCAATGGGATAGAGGGGTGTTACACCAAAAGACAACAAAGCATTTTTATTAATGGGACCAAAAAAGTTAAATATATAGCAGCCAGGTGCACATCATGGGTTTAGTCACAAGATCTTGAATGGGGTCCTTCCTCCAACTACTTAAAGTTTTCAGTGGGATTGACTAATTTGACCAATTGACCAAAACTTTTCCAGGCCTGGAAAATGTCATGTCAATATTCCATGACTTTTTCAGGTTTTTCATGATCGTATGAGCCCTGAATTTATTACTAATTGTATGATTTTATTTTTAATTTATAAGAGCTGTAGTTTATTGAATCATGCTTGAGACAGTTACACCATAGGAAAGTTTACCAAAGCTAAAACTAGAGCTAATTTAACAAAATATAATAAATTAATATGTTAAGGGAAAATATTAAATAATATTTTAATAAAAAAGAAAAATCAAGAAAACATTTTAAAAACAAATTTAAATTTACTGTAGTTTTTTTTTTTTGCAATACCTCATGTAAGTTTAAATTTATTATCTTTTATAACTAATGTTGTTCGGTGACAAAATTCATGATAAAGAAATTAATATAACTATTTAATAAAACAGTTTTTTTTTTTAAATGCACCAAAATTTATTGTCTATATATACTGAGAATAAGACAAAAATATTGGTAAATATATATATATATATATATATATATATATATATATATATATATATATATATATAATAGTTTTAATAACTGATTTATTTTATCTTTGCCATGATGACAGTAAATAATATTTGACTAGATATTTTTCAAGACACTTCTATACAGCTTAAAGTGACATTTAAAGGCTTAACTGGGTTAATTAGGTTAACTAGGCAGGTTAGGGTAATTAGGCAAGTTATTGTATAATGATGATTTGTTCTGTAGACTATAGAAGAAGAAATTTTTTTTATAATTTTGACCTTAAAAAAATAAAAAGTGCTTTTATTCTAGCTGAAATAAAACAAATAAGCCTTTCCATAGAAGAAAAAATATTATCAGACATATTGTGAAAATGTCCTTGCTCTGTTAAATATAATTTAGGAAATATTTAAAAAAGAAAAAATTAAACAAAATCAAAGGCGGGCTAATAATTCTGACTTTAACTGTATATATATATATATATATATATATATATATATATATATATATATATATATATATATACATACATACATACATATATATATATATATATACATATGCATATATATATATATACATATGCATATATATATATATATATATATATATATATATATATATATATATATATAAATCAGTTGTATATATATAACAGATTATTCATTATTATTTAAAGACATAACTCATTTTGAATAATCCGTAGAAATTGGGAGGGATAAAAAAATAAAGGTAATAACAAAGCTCTTACCAGTGTCATTTTAGCATGGTGTTCCTATTGCTGTTTTATTGATGGTTTGAATTAGATAGATAGATTTAGCATTTATTTTTGTTTTATCAATTTTTGAAGCAGCTTAAATACAATTGCACTAGTATAGAGAGTATTAAAATATTTTGTATTACAAAACAACGTGGATGAATAAATGACGACCATTTAAATGATTTAGAATGAAGCAACTATTTGAGATATTTAACTAACAGAAACACTGCTGTACATCTTACCTTTGTTCATATTGGTCCTCTTACTGTAGATGCCTTCCTTGTGCTTTGGTGTAATTGTGTTGTCTTCTTGCTCTCTAGAGCCTAAAATGTCTTTATTGAAGTGAGGAGGAACAGCATCATCAGAATCTGTAAAGCAAGCATGAGAGAGCTGGATTACACACAGGACAAACAAACGGAGGCCCAGAGAGGTTTGGCATGTGGATCAGATGAGGATTCTGTTCTTGGATTGTGTTTCACGTGGACAAAGCCCATGAATAATGCAGGACCGGGTGAGAGTGTGAACCATCTGCAAGGCTCAGAGGGGAGGGGCTAGAGGACGTATAAGTAGTAACCCATTATTACTCAACACACATCGTTATATATGGAAAATTTGGATTTGACATCAGCCTGAACAAAACCGGTGCACATTAATTGCCTTTTTTTATCATATAATACATTTTTATTTCAGCAACAACAAGTATTTTTAAGGTAAAAACATTTCATTAAAGGTCTGGTGAAGTGCTTTTAAATGTGCATTTTCATTCAAGGCTTGGCATAATTTTAATTGAAAAATCAAGAGGAAGGGACATAATGTAGCCCCTCCCCTTTATAAATGAAACAGCCAATAGTGTATTGTTTTATAACTGCTCTGCAAGTAAGAGTAATTAAGTTCAAGCAAAGTCCCTTTAAGGCAAGTCATTCGACTCGGTGGCCATCTCTGAAACACCTTTCGGGCAGTATGCTTGGTCACTCTGTCTGAATGGGAAATCATCAAATTCTCCAAAACTGCTTGCCAACCTTACGATTGAATTTTATATTAGGAATCACCAATAAAATTGAAAAGCAAACGTCCCCTTAGATTAATTTTTAAACATCCAAATCACATAAAATCTGCAGAAACTCACGTCTGGTCCGAACCCCTCCCCCAGAGTATCGTCAGTCTATAGCGATCAATGATTGGCTCCTTTACTAGAAAGCGGGCAATATTTGCCATATAGTGATCGACGATTGGCTCCTGTACTAGTAGGCGGGGCTTTATTCACCATATTGACCGTTACACTTTTTCCCACTCAAAAAGATACAAGTGACATGTCTTGTGTATTGTATAAGCTTTGTCTCATTTCAGAGGCTGCATCCTTCGAAGGATGCATTCGAATGTGCTGAGTCATCGCGGCTGACAAAGGCTCTCATTGAAAAAAAAGGCTCCTTCAAACGCAGCCTTCGTTTCCCAGGTAACGAAGGACACAACAGATGGATCCTTCGTGGCCTCGATTATCCCAAGATTCATTGCATGCTGATAACTGCAGGCATTTTTAAAAAAGACACTGGGGATTAAATGTATGGCTGCGTCCGAAACCGCATACTTCCATACTATACAGTGTGCTAAAAACAGTTTGCGAACCGAGTTGTTTATCCGAATGCATAGAATTCAAAAATGCGAGAAGTACCCGGATGACTTACTACTTCCGGCGAGATTCCGAAGTGTGCATCCCATGCACGCTCCGCTATCCTATGATGCCCCATGAGAGAATTCATTAATGGGAGTGAAGCGACGCAACTGACGCAGATATGTCACGTGACCATGACAAAATGGCACATGTAGTACGTCAGAATTCCATTCAAACTTCTCACATTTATACTGTATAGACCGTACTTTTCTAACGGCCAAGTAGTACATTTAAACACGAGTAGTAAATTTTTATACTTTAAAAACAAAAGTTATTACAAATTTTATTGCTGCTTGTTAACCTTAAGGTGTTATTTACACCTTGCTAGGTAATGAGATCTGTCTTCTGTAGGCTAGATCGTCTTATTTCAAAACGCTCGGTTCGGCCTGTGTGGACTTTGAAGGACTCACCTTTGAAGTCTACATTCTTCGGAGGATGCAGCCTCTGAAATAAGACTTGGCTATCATCTGTGGTTCAAGTGAATTATCATATGTGAAGTGTATTGAAGGGGGCGGGGCATGTCAGAAGGCTTTTTCATGTCAGATACTAGAGAGAATTTGATTAGTCATGATTTGATGAGAAACTGAAGTAAGAGGTGACGTGAATAAAACTGATGATCTATTTAGGTCGAAGTGACAAACTACAGTTTTACATGTTTATATTATTTTTAGATCTTCTAAACATGAATTTTGTCACTGTTTTGTTGCGCACTAGCTTATTGATATCCTAAAAAAACTTTTATTAAATATACAATTATAAAACAAACAAATTAATAAATAAGTTAGATATGATTTTTAATGTTAATATATGATTTAAAAAAAAATTTATTCTGGTGATACGTTGCTGAACAGTGAGTGAGTTTATTTCTTTAAAAAAAAGCCTTCTGCAGTCATTAAAAGCTTGACAGTGCAATAGAATGTGCTTTACAGTAATAGGAATTTTGAGTGAGCTCAAAAAAACACAAGTTAGCCTTGTATGTCCAATGAGTCATCTGGTAAAAATCACTTGACCGAATCAATCACCAATCGTTGTGTCTTTCATTGTGTAATATCTTGCCGAGATATTATTAGTCAAATAAAATTATATACTGCAGAAAAATGAAAATGTCCCTAAAACAAGCTAAATAATCTTCAAGTAGGGTAGGCAAAAATAATCTTAAGGAAAAATTTTATTTAGACTTATTTTTTCAAAAAAACAAAGCAACATTTTTAACTAGTCTAAGAAATGCTTCTTGGTTTAAGAATTATTAGATATTTGGACTAGAAGCAAGACAACAATTTTAAGTGAGTAAAGCATATCTGCAGTGTAAAATGCCTTTGAAATCATCATTCAGTTCTTTTCGCTTGATCCCTTTATTAATCTGGGGTCGCCACAGCAGAATGAACCGCCAACTTATCCAGCATATGTTTTACGCAGCGGATGCCCTTCCAGCTGCAACCCATCACTGGGAAACATCTATACAATCTCATTCACACACACATACAATAAGGACAATTTAGCTTACCCAATTCACCTATAGCACATGTCTTTGGACTTGTGGGGGACACCTGAGCACCCGGAGGAAACCCATACACCAACATGGGGAGAACATGCAAACTCCACACAGAAACGCCAACTGACCCAGCCCAGGCTCAAACCAGCGACCTTCTTGCTGTCAGGCAATCATGCTACCCACAGTGTAGCCTCTTTGAAATCATTTGAAAAAAAATGTATACCTGGGTGAGAACTTTCCACAGTTGTGTCAGAGCGACCAGGAGAAAGTTCTGGATCAACCTGCGGCATGTAGAACAGCTCGGAGCTTCCATGAGGTTTGTATGGCAGCAGTGTGGGCACAGCTGAAGCAAATGAGAAAAAACAATTCAAGTGATTCAAATACCAGCACACTCAAATGCCATAAAAAGCTTAATAATAATAAAATCTCCATCATGTACCTGCTGTGCCGTATGCAGTTTGACCAGAGAGAGTTCTGGATTTCATGTCCAGCCTGTTAGAGGGAGCAGAGGATTGTGTGTGTCTGGCTGGAAAGCGTGCACTGACTCTTCCTGTGTTCTGGCCTTGAACCCGTTCTCTGTATTCATATGAACTGACATGATTTAATGTTGAGATTCTGTGCATGGGCTCCAGTTGTGGATCAGCCACGCTTGGCACTATGGGTCTTTGAAGCGCGACATCTTGACTGATGTTTTGAGTGGATTTCTCAAAACGAATCTGATTTTTGGGTTTAGGTGATAAGGTGACATGTATGTGAGAGAGGTGGGACTTGTTATTGAAGGTTGAGCTTGTGACATTATAATCGATGTGAGACATTCTCTGGGCTTTATCTGTAATTGTGTTCTCTTGTTTATCCTCAGTTGTTTTCTTCTCGTCAATATGCTGTCCTTCTGTTTCTTTTTCTCTGTCAGAGTCTTTAGTTCCAGCAGGCGTCTCATTGGCTGAACCAACATTAGTTATTTTCAGGGTACCTGTGACCGGACTGTGTGGTGGTGACTGTGGAGATGGAGTACGGCGAGTGGTTGATATAGTAATAGAAGTAAAGGGCTTGGTGCTAAAGCCTTCTCTAAGAGCGATCTCATGTACTTTGGCTTCAAGATCCTGAACTGTGCTCAAAGGATTTGAAGGGGCTTTCTGCAGCTGATCTGAGAGACGATTCTCCATGTTACGCAGTCCAACATAACCCTTTGTCTGCTGAGATTCAAGGCCAATACTTGACTGTGCACTGCCCTCGGAATCTGAGCTCCACTGAGAAACAAAACAAGACAAACAGAGAGCATATATTAATACTAATCAATACATCAGTGCTTGGGAGGAATGTGTGGAAGTAGATTGTGAGTTTCAGAGGAAACACTGCAAACATGTGGACACAGAAGAAAGTCACACAAACAGCTTTACCTTGAACACAGTCTATCAGGAGTGTTGATAATGCAGTCTGCCGCACCAAAAACAAAACTCATATTATTTCACCATAAAGTGAGACACTTAGATTGTTCAAACTCAAAGTGATAACAATAATTATGTCATTTTATGGCCAGCAATTAATTAGTGCCGGTTACTGGCAATTACAAGTCTGTACGGATTTGTCTATTAAAGTTGCAGTAGGTGATCTGCCAGAATCCTAGCATTAGCATAATAGCTTAGATATTTTATGACCCTCCCCTGCAGTCTAAAGCCACGCCTCCTCAAGGGCCTTCTCACACTATGCTATCTGAACCGTGCCCAGACTCGTTTCTCGGATCGTTTGAGAAGTGTGAGTTCTCTGAATCGGGCTCAGGCACGGTTCACTTGGCCGGCTCAGGCCTGTTTAGAGGAGGTGTGTCAGAGAGCTGTTCACTTGGGCTTTGGCGCGGTCCACTTATTGTGTGAGTGCAAAGCGTGCCAGAGCCCGAAACTGAAGACGAGACGTGACTTTTACAGCACTGTTTTATATGTGTTTATTAATAATTTTTACCGTTCAATGAACACAAACTGTCGTAGATTATTAGACACAAACCCTGCACGACAGCTGCAGCTTTAGCAAACCACTTACCTGTAGCACGAGTACTTTATGATTGTTTATGAGCGTCAAAAGTGGCTGATCTGTTCGGCGAGATATTTGACTGCGTCACTGCATCCCAAACATATAAAACAATATAACTAGAGAAATCTCCACTGTGCTGAGCGAAAGCGCTTAATGAACAGCGCATCATTGATGACGTAAGTGTGCCAAGGCCTGAATGCAATGTGAATGCGGGGCGTTGGGGGAGACGGGAGGGGGGATAACCGTGCTTTGGCCCGGTTCAAGACAACTGTACATACTGTGAGTACGCCCCAAGTCATACATGCACACTGATTAGATATAACACTAGATCATGTCCTTCACCAGTTAGAAAATGGTATGATAACCTTGGATAAAAATATCACGGTTTTATGGTATCACAGTATTGTGATTAATGCTCTAAAATATATTCTGGTTAAAAAAAAATGTTTTCCCCTTTGAACACAATATTATCTATTTGAAGAGTTCACCCTTAGCTGATGATTGATTATGAAGGGAGGAAACCGGAGAGCCCAGTAAAAACCCACGCAAATACAAGGAGAACATGCAAACTCTGCACAGAAATGCCGACCTGGCCAGGAAGTGTCAGAGCCGGTGACATTCTTGCTGTGCGGCCGTGGTGCTAACCACTAGGCCTCCATGCTGCCCTGACAAGAAAATGGTAGGAGTAGGTGTGGAAGGGGGAATTCTTTATGACGAAGATAGTTGAAGTAAGATACTCTATTTATTTATAGTGGTTAAGGAGTCGTCTGATTGATAAATCAGTGTTAGCTAATGTGGACCAGGTACTATCAATCATAAGCACGTGCTCCTCTCGAAATTAGTTTATAAATAAACTTCACTTTGAGAAAAATTTTAAATATTTTGGAACAGTAAATATGTCAGGATAAATAACTCAAATTAATTATTGACTTCTGCTGTCTTCATTTGTTTCAAAAATACAGACTCTTTAAATGTCATCTTTTGATAACTTTTCTTCTGGAGATACTGCTGTCCTAAAAAACAAAAAAAAACGTAAATAAAAAAAATCTTACACATACCTTAGGAACAGTATTACATAATATTTTGGCGGCTTTAAAACCTTGAGTTTTCACACGATGGTATACCTTGAAAACGGTTATCGCCCCATGCCTAGTGAATATAAATCAAACTTCACCTCAGTAAAGTTGGTTAGGCACTTTTACGTATGTTTTGTTAAAAACGGAAATAAAAATTAGTTCAGAAATAAAGCAGTGCTAAAAAACAGAAACTACTGATACGAGTTTGTTAGTATCACAGCTCCGTCAGTGAGAGTGGTTGAGATCGAGCACATCAAACAAAATGCAAATGAGCAGTGTACTGAAGTGGGTGGACATGTCAGATACTAGAGAGCATTTGATTGGTCAGAAGATTTGATGAGAAACTGAAGTATGAGTCGACGTCAAAAAAATTGTGGAACCATTAAGGCTGAAGTGACAAACTGCAAGCTTTGAATGTTTCTATCTTCAAAATGCTAATTTTGTCAGTTTTGTAGCACATTCGCTTATGGACATGCCTAAGACTAGGGCTGCTCGATTATGGGGAAAAAAATTATAATTACGATTATATTGGTCATCATTGGAATCACGATTAATTAAATGATATACAGTTGAAGTAAAAATTATTTGCCTTCCTGTGAGTTTTTAAAAAATAAATATTTCCTAAATGATATTCAACAGAGCAAGGAAATTCTCACAGCATTTCCTCTAATATTTTTTCTTCTGGAGAAAGTCTTATTTGTTTTGTCTTGGGTAGAATAAAAGCAGGTTTAAATATTTTGAAAACTATTTTAAGGTCAATATTATTAGCCCCCCTAAGCAATATATGTTTTGACTGTCTGCAGAAGAAACTATGTTATACGATGACTTGCATAATTACCCTAACTTGCCTAATTAACACAATTATGCCTTTCAATTGCACTTCAAGCTGAATGCTTGGATCTTCAAAAATATGTAGTAAAATATCATGTGCTGTCATCTTGGCAAAGATAGAATAAAATAGAATATAAATATGAAACAAACTGTGCTTTAAGCATATTCACTGTAAGAAAAAAACTTTAATTTTAGCCACAAAAGTCCTGCAGTCAAGTGAGGAATTTTGTCCTTTTGTTGTTTGATTAATAATTTAAACAATCGGCAGCAGGAATATTGTGCGTTGTCACTTTAAGAGCAGTGCGATTCTGATTTATGGTTTCACTTTCACATGTCTTTTGATTCTCAACTCATTTGTTACATAAATTAGGGTTAATGTAAATAATCACTAAACACTGCATTTTGACCAAGCGGCAACCTCCCGCTCTCCCTTATAAAGCAAATACATAAGTAACTGAAACTGCAATTCATCAAAATTCCACTAGTCCTGGCTCCATATAGAGCAAATTTTTAGGGAGCCCACTGTTAAAATGGCCAACTTTACAGCAGAAAACAAGGTGTTTACAGCCTGGTACAAAGAATGATTTTGGTTCATATAGCTAATATTACCCTTCATGACAACTGTGAGGGGGTGAATATTTTTATAACTCATCCGTTTCATTTATATTAAGTTATTTTACGTCTGCATAATTAAGGGCATGGCCACTTAAATGTGACAGTTAGGTCTCGCTGGTCGCAGTCACATCACCTCATCTGATTCCGGCTGATTAGCCGCTAAACTCGACATATACATGGTATTTTTGCTTTGTTTTATATTGCTTTAAACAGTCAGTTGCCTTTTGGAATTATTTCTTACAATTATCAGATGATATGGCATGCTGTGTGGACTTAATTGTGCTTACAAACTATTCATGTGGAAGGTGAAATTAAATGGGGAGTGAAATTAAAGACTTATATACCATATCTATAAATGTATTATTTTTTTTAAAGATCATTTATCATTTATATTTTTCTTTAGAACTGTAATACACTCCAGAATCCAAGTGGTGCTCGCTGCAGAGCCATTTGAGGAGAGCTGAGCTCCAGCGAGGGGGAGCTTAAGCTTGAGCTCCACCTTTTTTGCACTTCTTCTACGAGTGATGTCACTGGGGGTAGGGTTAGGGGTGAGGTTGGTGTACGCATTAAAACAGCTTACAGGAGGAGGAGCGACAGCTCATGCTCCCCCTCGCTGGAGCTCAGCTCTCCTCAAATGGCTCTGCAGCGAGCACCTCTCCCAGAATCTGACAGACTGATTAGCTGTGGGCTCTAGAAGAGATCTAAAACGTCATACAGTGTTTCACAGCTAATAACTTCATAACTTGTTAGGACAAAAACTCCTTTTAACATGGAAAAGATACCTTTTATCACATCACAGTGCTGCGTTACTTGTAGTTATGATATAGTGTTAGATGTTAGTTATAAATGTAAAACTAGGGATCCTAAGCACACAATTAAATATCTAATATAAACTGATCTTGAAAGATAACCAATATAGTGACAATTTATTGTGCATCCCTGGCAGATCTGGCTACAACCACTGAGCATTGAAATGTTGACAGTTTGTGAACCAGAAGCACTTTGTTATATGTTAGCGTATGAATGTTACCTTGGTGTATTTGGTGTTCAGCAGAAGCTCTCGTTTAATTTCTTCAATTCTCTTTCTGTCCTCAGTGTTTAACTCTAAACTTTCACACCGACGACCAGAAACCTTCATCAGGATCCATTCTACGGAGACAAATTCAATCATTCAGTCACAAAGCAATAGTTAACTCAAATGAACATTGCTTTTACTTATTTGCTTTTGTTCTCCAATAAAAAATGAAAGGAGACATTTTAATTGAATCAAGGTCCTTGGTGCATTAGAACAAAGTAATAGGCTAATTACTAAGGTAATAATAGAGGTAATAATCGCATTGATTAGAGACTTTAGAAAGACCAAAACAACATTTCAGATGTTAAATAATGTGGTCAGTCCACTGGTTTGTTCATTAAGGTCACCCCATCATGCCTATTTTTGTTATCACATGATCTGTTAAAACAAAATCCCATAACTTTTTTTGATTTACATGCTGGAATTTATTTGGTAGATGTGTTTTCCTTGTAGTTTATGTAAATTTATTTTATCGGATAAAAAGTTTATCCTACTCTGTTGGCGCATAGTTTTTTTTTACGTGTATTTTCCAAATGTATGCACATCTTAGGATTTCCATTAAGCGTATTTATTTAATATTCCAAAATACGCATGAAAATAGGTGGATGGAAACGTAGTCAGTCTATCACTGTTTTTTTTTTTTACATGAAATTTCATTTCAGGGTTAACAGGGTGTCCATTTAAGAAAGCCACTACCAGTGATTACAAAATGCATACAGTTGACGTCAGAATTATTAGCCCCCTTTAAAAAATTTCCTTTGTTAAATATTTCCCAAATATTGTTTAACAGAGCAAGGAAATTTTCACAGTATGTCTGATAATATTTTTTTACTCTGGAGAAAGTCTTATTTGTTTTATTTCTGCTAGAATAAAAGCAATGTTTAATAATAAAAAAAACATTTTAAGGTCAGAATTATCAGCACCTTTAAGCTATATTTTTTCAACAGTCTACAAAACAAACCATCATTATACAATAACTTGCCTAATTACCCTAATCTGCCTAGTTAACCCAATTAACCTAGTTAAGCCTTTAAATGTCACTTTAAGCTGTGTAGAAGTGTCTTAAAAAATATCTAGTAAAACTTTATTTACTGTCATCATAAAAATAATTAAATTAAAATAAAAAAATCAGTTATTAGAGATGAGTTATTAAAACTATTATGTTTAGAAATGTGCTCTCCGTTAAACAGAAAATGGGGGAATAAATTTATCAGGGGGGCTAATAAGTAAGGGGGGGGGGGCTAATAATTTTGACTCCAACTGTAAATGACCATAAATCCTCTTAGACCAGGGATGCCTAAACTTTTCCGTATGAGGGGCAAAATGCCAAATATCACTGTGGGATAAAGATAGATATACTAAACTATTTTTGATTAAAATCACCATGGGAAGTTTACTAATTAATTTCCTAATATAAAAAAATAAATAGAAAGCTCTACTTTGAATTGTATTAAAGAGCCCCTATTATGGATTTTTGAAAATGACCTTCCATGTATTGTGTAACACATCTCTAAGTGAAGTGAAATCTCCAGGTAAGGCTTAAATCAAAAAGTGAGTCGTGTTTAAAACTATTGATTCATTTATAGAAGAGTCGATTCACAGTGCTTCAAATGAATCATCTTAATAACGAGTCTTTAGCCGTTTTGGCATGATGTCTATACAAAACTTAAGCCCCGCCCAATTGTTGCACGTGCAAACCTGGGAAAATTGAAACCTGCAGCCCCGCTCACAAACATTGCAGCAGATCCCGGTTGAATCAAGTCATGAGCACGCTGTGCTCAGCTGGATATTAGTGGAAGTGTGAGGGAAAGTTAGTGTTATTTTCTCTACCCAAAGATGTAACTGAGAGAAGTCAGTGGTTGAGTCTTATTTTTGAAAAAATACCTCAGCATTACAGCCCAAGCTTGTGCTGTGTTCCCTGTTATGTTTCTGACAAGTGCTTTTGGAATCTACACGCTTACAATGGGGGATTCATCGCTCGTTTGTTAAAGGAAGGATCAGAAAAGACTATTGAGGTGTAGGACTTTGTCAGAGCTTGACATGAACTATCGGTACATAGATTAGTGGATGATGAATCAGTTTCTTCCTCCATTTAACAAGTGTAAGTAAGTGAGATTAAAATGGTTGTCTCTTTGTTTTCTCTAGCTTGCAAACTATGTATTGTAATTGTGTTACCGCTTGTACTGTATCTGGTTAACTCTTTATATTCTCATATTGTGTCTAATGCCATGTTAAGAATGCGACACGTGCCGATTTGTTTACGGATTTAAATGCATTTGTGAGCTCGTGTTCCACTGCCGTTTGTCATTGCTATGGCCACCATCAGCTGTACCTACATACATGCATCGGTCAAGGTTCAATATATTGTTGCGTTTGCCGATGTGTGGATTAATACTGAATGTGTGTCATGGCTTATAATAGAGCAATATGCTAGTGTTTAACTGCACTGCTTTAATGCACTCCTGCACTACCTCCCAACATCTGTCCCTGAAAATCCAGGAGACTGGAGGGGTTAGGTTCGCGGGTAAGGTGTCTGAATAACACTGTTGAGAACCGGGTTCTGTTTACTGTGGTGTTAGTAACTACTATAAAGCGTGTTTTGGGCGGCCGATGCGATCGGATCCTATACCAATGTTGGCGACGTGGGGGTTTCAAAGACCTTACCAAAATGCTGAGGACCAGAGGGGTTTAAAATTACGGGAGTTTTCAGAGATAAATAACAAAATGGGTAAGCGGCTGAAATACAGGAGACTCTCGGGAAAAACAGGAGTGTTGGCAGGTATGCTCACACATACACTATGCACTCTGACTACTTCAATATTGTTGATTTTCTCTGCATTTCTTTCTCTGAACGCTGTTGACCAATTGGTCATCGGTCCAATCAGTACATATTAGCTTTGCGCTAAGGAGGGGTTAGGGAACAAATGAATCACTGAACGAATCATATGGGAGTCGCTTAATTAGGTAAAAATAAATTAGTATTATAAGACAAAAAAATAGTTTTTTGACCTTACATTCATATCAGCCTGTTGTTGGAGACCCCCAAAACCAAAATATGACCTTTTTTCAATTTATAATAGGGGCTGTTTAACTAATGCAGTATAACTTTTATAACTTAACTTATTACAATAAAAACACAAACAATCACATTTATAACACTGTGAAGTTCAACGCTGAATACTAATCATGCAGAATCTGCCTTTGCCTTGATTTGCTCACCAAAGTCTCTGCATTGTCCTCTCTCCAAAGTATGCACATTTTAAACTAAATCTGATTAATTTACACTTTACATTAAAACATTTCATTTCAGATAGCTTTTTTGTAGCTTAACAATAAAACAAACAAGTAAAAGTTTACATTAAATTTAAAATGACAATCTCTAAACCATTCTCAGGTGGCACGCGGGCCCTAGTTTAGGCATCTCTGTCATAGACAAATCAGTGTGTTTACCTCGCGCACGACTATCTTCTGGGTCAGCTGTGCTTGGTCGGCTTGTAACCATAGAAACAGGCGACTCACTCTGAAGGAGTTTGGCAACTCTGGCAGCCAATGAACTTTCGCTGCTGCTGTCACTCAAGCTTTCAGCCTCGGCAGAGACATGAGACAAACTATTCTCCGAGGAGCCAATCGGAGCATCCTCAGACGTGTCCTCCTCATTCTGTGGAACACTCACTGCAATCGAAGGGAGATTGATCTGTGTGCCAGATGTGGTTGTAGTCGGTTTTCCCTTATCTGGGTCTGCAGCGCTGCAGCCCTCAGGTTCAGCCCGCCTTGGGGTCACACGGAGGTCACGTGCCTTCAAACTTTCCTCTCTGCTTAAAGAGAGAGCAGCAGGCTTTACAGTTGTCAGGTCAATATGCTGTGGACCCTGGGAAGATGACAAGCTTCCTTTCAAAGCAGAGTCTGATGAAGAGCGGGTCAGCAGTAGAGAAAGGTTCCCACCAGCTGACAGAGATGTGTCAGTGTGATAACCTCGAGCGTTTCGTCCTAGCGAAACAAGCGACGTGTCACTTTCCGATAAGCGGTGTGAACCAGGGGAGGATGTTAATGATGATCGACCGGATACCAGGCTTTCTGCTCGGCCCAGCAAACGCCTGATTTCATGCAGTGTGCCAGAACCCACAAGAGAGTCATCATCCGCTTTTACCACTTCTCTAGGCCCTGATTCTGGGACTGGCAAACTAAAGCTCCTTTCACTTTCTGCAGCATCAGATTGTTGTAGGGTTGTTGAAGGATGTGATGTTGACTGAAGCTGTGCAGCATCTGCCTGGGTTAATATCACCTTTACACTGCTGTCAGTGGCTGGCTGGCTTAGCTCATGCACTGACAGGTGGTGTGAGACAGAAGCGCTGGATTCAGTTGAGTGTTGACTAGAGCTGGAGAATGTCTCCTTCTGAAGACTGTCCACTATAGAGAAATACAGATATATGGCTTTATAACCGAATAGGACTAGCTACACTATAGAAGCAATAATACTGTGCACAAAATGTAGTCTTTGGCTTACCTTCAGATGGTTGTGTGCTTTTGGTTGGTGTTCCTATGGAGCCTTTGATGGTGCATAAGTCAGTAGGAGAGAATTCAGGCTCTCTGATTGGTCCACGACGAGTAAAGGGATTTAGGATTGTAGAAGGTGATTGGTCGATACCCAAATTTAGGAGGTAGAGCTACAGAGATAAAAAAAGAACAATACTATTACAAAACTTTTGAAGGGGTCTGCTTTCTTTAGATAATTGTGTAATACATATGAATGCCACACATCTTTTATTAGCAATCAAACATATTATTGGTGTTTTTAGGGATACTAATTGGATTGTGAAGTACAGCAACCTCTAACAGACTATTTATTTTTAGTGGTACCAAGCAAAAAAGGTTAATTTTGAGCCCTGCAATACAATAAAATAATATTGTATAAGATATAACTGCTGCCTCATATTTAAAGACAATTAAACCTTTCTGTCAGACAGCAACAACACACATAAACCACTGCCTACAATGGATCATCAAGACGTCACGATTTTAAGCCTTCGTCTTTCTTAAGTGCTGAACTTACCGGGATTCTGTCTTCAATGTTGAACTCCCTTGTGTGTGGAGGAGAAGTAGGTCTGGAGGTCCAATAAGGGGCGTAATTATCCACCTCAAGACTTACTACAGAAGACGCAGCTCCCACTGATGCCCGCATACTCTGCTCGCCATGGTAACTGCCTTGAGAGCTGGAGAGAGTGCTGCTCAGGTTGACGCTCGAGGACACATCACTAAAGCGACCAAGACTGAGGAAAGGAGACATCTTGATGGCGTTTGTGTCCATGTGAGCGGCTGAAGTATTCATCCCTTCATTACTTCCACCTGAAATTAAGGAAGACTGATTGGTGGCCGGAACATCTTTAGATTGCGTTAATGGGGCTTGCTTGCTGAGTGTGCCTGTGTCTCTCTGAATTGAGGTCACCACAGAGCTCAGGGAGGAGTGAGATTGTGAGCGAATTACAGGTGAATCGGATGCCTGTCCTTTACACACACTTGCCCCAGCTTCATCAACACGACGAGGTGAGACGCTTCCGGAATGAGACGAGGAAAGTTGCTGAATCGATTGCGAGCTGGCATTCATACAAAGTGCCTGATGCTTGTCCCGAGAATCCATTTGGTTAAATATATCAGATCCCACATCCTGCGCTTTCTTCTTTAGTGACACACCATCAACTCCTTGCAGGGCCAAATTATCACAAAACGATCTGCTCGAACTCTGATTGGCTTTCCAGGCATCTACTTTTTGTAAGTAGCTGAGACTGGGAAGAGACTGTACTCTCCCAAGAGCCAAATGAGAAACTTGATCTTTCTTCTCTGTACTGGAGTAAAAAAGCTGAGTGTCCGAGCGAGATGTGTCAGCGGCTGTTGGATTTAAAACGGCCGGAGAAATGTGTTCGTTTGAGACAGAATGGGCATGCGAGACTGTTTGCTCAGTCTTTGGTGGTTTGCTAGATGTTGTTTGAGAGTACATAGAAGAGGAATGTTGGTCGCTTAGATCCAATAATGGCATCAAGCCAGTTCTGGACTGGTTGCTTTGAGGTAACGTAGCTGCAGAGGCAACAGCCTTTTGTTTGGAGTGTATGAGAGATGGTTTAGTCAATGCAGGTAGGGGTCTCGTGGGAGGTACTGCTGGTGTTGACTGAAACACAGGCTGAGAGCTCAAGAATGAGCCATCTGCTCCGATTAAACGACCACCAGAGCTCAAAAGAGCTCTCTGCAGACCTGGAACATGTATCAGATCTTCACCAGCTATGGTGAAAGATTGTGCACTGTCAGAACTTTTGTTCCCACCATGGAGCCTACTTGCTGGTGCAGACAAGGAGCCACTTGCAGTCAGAAGTTGATCGTGGAGATGATCTGCTGTTTGGTGTGTATCCATCTGTGAATCACGAAACGTTATATTTGACACATCTGAGCGAGCTGTCGAAACTGTAGCCTTCTGAAATGAAGATGTCAACGACAGTGAGCCCCCTTGTGGCTGCTCTCGGTCTGCTTGAAGATTGGAGGGACTTGTCTGGATTTTCTGAGTGTTCTGATGATTTGATCCTGGTTCAGATGGAGAAGAAATGGCACTACTGTTGCTAACAGCCACACTAATGTCCTCTTCTCTAAGCTCTAATAAAGGCCGAGCATGCATCCCCTCACTAAGCCGCTGAGCAGCGGTCTGCTCCTCTCCTTCCATATGTCTGTTGATTTTGTACTCATTACTATACAATACACTACTTTGATTTCCAAGTCCTCTAGAATGGTCATTATGCGACAGGCTGTGCTGGGACAGTGAACAGGAACTATTTTCACCCTCTGACAAGGCTGTTGGGACCTCCAAAGGATGCTCAGAAATCGTAGCCTGGTCATGAATACTAGTTTGAAGTTGAGAATCAACAGTTACTGCTTCATCTGAAATACTTGAACATCTCTCAGGGATAACCGAGAAGTCTGGGATTCCCCTGTGTACATGAGCACAACAGAAAATATATATAGTTTGTTAACATACTGATAGGATATTATTTCTTAGAGATGCACCGAAATTAAAATTCTGGAAGCACTTGGACGTAAAAACAAACAGAAAATGCATTGTGATTATTGACTCTTCGCTAAGTCTCGCTCTCATTAGTTACTGTTGCTTCACCTGTCAAGCTTTCGAGCCTGGCACGTCTATTAAAATATGTATTTGCCAGTGTCAGTTATTTCCAGGGATATAATTAGTCACTTTTGGCGAACAGGTGAGATATCAGAGAAAGCCAGACAGAGAAGGACTGCAGTATGCATACCAGGGGTATATTCAGGACATAATAGGCAACCGATTAAAAAATAATTTAATCAAAATTTAAGCTAGGTTAGCCTCATATGCTGACTATTCAACAGCTCAGTTCATGCACAGCAGGTGAAATTTAAAAATAATCTAATAACAAATTAAACTGTGATTTCTCTTTTTTTTTGCCAAAAAGTCTGATAGACTAATTGTAGTGCAATGAAATATATCGTTACTAACCAAAGAGGAAGCATAAATGGACAGTCCTTCTACATAATGCCTTCAAAGAAAGGGGATTATATTAATATTAATCTGACACCAAATATAAAAGCAGACACTAACCCAACTATAACATCGTAACAATGACTAAATCTCCAAAAGACGGATGAAAACAATGGTGGATTGTAACTCTAACATGGACATGAGGGTTATAAATGACTGAAAAACAGCTGCGGGTGAAGTATATTGATCACAAGTGCTCAGATTGTAATCACATTTCGGTTTTGTTCTGTTAATATGTCATTTCAAATATTCGTAGCTTGAAACTGGTGGAAAATGACTGGATTGTGTTGCTTTTACAGCTATTGTAAGGGCTTAAACGGAGCAGTGCTCATAAAATTGAACGGAAAAAAAAAGATAAAGACAGCTGTGAAACATAACCTGCTTTGTATTTTTGTAGGAAACTGAGTTTAGATCTTTTAATGATAAGAGGAGTGTGAGTTATTGACGTCTGTCACTGAATGTGTCAGGAATATCAAAAAAAAACTTAACCCCGCTCTTTTAACGTCCCTCACAGAGCTTGATCCATGCTGGCATTTCTCCCCTTGGATTTTAGGTTTTGGAAAGGGAAATAAATTCCACCACCCCGTCCAAACTTTTAGGATACTGGGTATCTGATTTGCACAATCCATATGCACAACGCTTTGGCTTGTTTCCCTCGCTCAAAAGCTTGACAGTCCTCCTGCACGTAGCTACGGCTGCTAAGCCACGATTGATGTGTGGCGGTTTTCAGGTGTGGCTTAGCGAAGAGTCAATACTAATAAATGATAAAATTCTGTATGACTTTTTTTAATAAAGATTTTTTTAATTAGATTATTCTGATTTTAAAAATCACAAGCCAATAAAATAAGAATATTTTACAATTATTGATAGAGTCGAAAGGCATCATTTTACCAGCGTTGTCATGACAGCACAGTTGCGCTATTGCAAGCCGTAGAAACAAAATGCTCTGTCAGGCTATTATTTGAATTAATTTAGATTTTCCGGTGAGCATGTGCAGTTTGTGCATAAATTAGTGTATGAGTTCATGAACAGAATGTCCAGAGTGAAACAAAGAAAATCTTTAGCTGAAAATATTAAGCTATTTTGAAATTTGAGCAAGTGCGCACGCTCCGCTGCTTTTGCAAACTGGTCTTTGCATGATGCAATGAAATTAATGGGTTTCAGCATAACTTTTTTCAACTTACATTTTTCAGGCATTTTCTCTTTTTGTCAAAAAACGAAAATGCCTTTAGTTTTAAGCTGTCAAAGATTTGGTGCATCCCTTATTATTTTTAATTAAAGAAAAGAAGGAATAAATGCCAAAAGTGTGGCTAAACAAATAGTACCGAAGAGGGACAAACTCTAAATCTGTTTCCTGAAAAACACTGGAGTTAGAAAGAAAGTTAGATTTGTCCAAGCAGGGAAGCAGAGGTAGCGCAGGTGACAGCTGGCTATCCTGAAACTCTGAAAAAGAAAATGAATTGAAATCATTAAGAAAGTTAAATTAAAACAACATATTTGAAAGTAACACTAAGGCACAACGTCATATACAGTAGGACTCAAACATCTGAAAAACAAACATCTTGCTTCTTTTTTTAAATATACCTTTAGTAATATAAAAAAATAAACTTCAAGCTGCATAAAGCCTAATAATGCTCTTCAGTGTGATTTGGCAATTATCCAAAGAGTATCTTGATATATTTGTTTTTAAGTTTTTAATGTGATTTCAGATCTTTGAAGCCCACTGTACATACACCAGCTCTCTTTACCTAGTTGTAAAATTTCAAATCGGTTCATCATTGGCTGTATACTTGAATCCTGAAGGTTATTAAATGGTCTTCCATCGTTCGCAGGGCCTGCATATGGTCTATCAACTTCTGAATCATGTATATTTTGTCCATGCTTTTGACAAGGAGTTTCTGCAGGGGTCTGGAAAGGTAAAACCATATATATTACTCATACAGCAAAGCAATTATACAATTAACAATTAAAAACTGCAATCTTCCTTCATTCAAATCATACAGAATATAAAGACACTTAAATAAAACATTACCTCTTATTTTTGGGTGAACTATCCCCTTACATGAGTCATAACTAGGGCCATACAGAATCTGCAAACATTTTATGCTATTTCAGCAGAGAATTTTGTAAAAAAAAATCTGCGGACTCATGAGGAATGATTTTATAAGTATCATAACTAAAAACCTAATATATGAATTTAAAAAAATACAATCTTAACTTTTATTTAATGTTTACAATGCAAATCCAATTAGATCTACTTATTGTTAACAAAGCAAGTCTCTCATATAATGTATCTACTAAAAGGCAGAACATATTACTTTACAAACTATATTGTAAGTAAATCGAACTATATTGTTACTGTAGATTTTTACCCAATCATTGAGTCTATTTATTTACTTGTGTAAATGGTTGTAAATTTATATTTATTCAGTTTTTAAATTTATTTGAGTAATAATATTGACTAATATGAACATGTTCATATGATTTGTTTACAGTACAGTTTGTAAAGTAATATTTTGTGTATTTTAGTAGAGATATTATTTGCCAGATAAGAGTATCTAGATGGATTTGCATTGTAAACATTAAAGGAAAATTTAAAAGCTATTATTTTTTATTTCATATATTAAGTGTTTAGTTATGATACTTCCAAAATAATTCCGCACAGTCGCAGATTTTTTACAAAATTCTCTGCAGAAACAGCAAAACATGTCAGCAGATTCTGTCTGGCCCTACTTATGACACGCTCCCTATATTTTTTACCATAGTACTTTGAATATTTGACTGAAATGAGATGTAAATATGACTTCAAAATCAAATTTGCATTATTCAATTGACTGTGAACAATGTTGTACTTTAATAGTCGCTGGATGCTAATATAATTTTGCTATTTTCAATGAAGTTAAATGCCTTACTGGTAGTTAGGCAGACTAGTGATATATACTCAATTAAATTAAGTTAAAAGACATCTCGTCCAACATTGTTCACCGTTAATTAAATTGTAGGCTCCTAATGCTGTTCTTGCATGATGTCATAAAACCAATTTTACTCTAATTTCAAATATGAATGTCTTGATTTAAAACATGCCACTTTCTCATATGAAATGATCTTGCATTTAATATTATGTAAAGTGATGTAATATCTATATAAATGAATCATAAGATTTTATTGAACTTGCTATTTATAACTATTATTATAATAATAATTAATAATTAACTTTGTATTATGTAGTGCTAAAACATGTGTAATCATCACTTAGACTAATAGTTTGTACAGAATTCCCCAAGTAAATAATGAAATAAATAAAAGAAGCTGAAATTGAGGTAAAGTTGGTTTTATATGTGCGCATTCATTCAGTGACAACTTGTGACATGCTCCCTATATTGTTTACCGTTGTTCTTTGACTATTCAAACTGAAATTACAAGTACGACTTCAAAACAACATTAGCACCATTTAATTGATCATCAACATTAATGTTGCTCTTTGATAGTCATTCGCTGCTAATATGATTTCACTATTTAAAATGTGCAAAGAATATTTTTCTGAATCAATACTAATAAGAAGAAAGTCTGAATGTGCGAATATAAAACCAACTTTCCCCTAATACTTTAAACACCTTAATGTTAACTAACGTTACTGTTTAGCCTGAAGTGGCTAACAGTTAGCCGATGGCTTTAAAGCTGTTACATACTATTCTGATTTCATGATTGTGTTTGAAAGCCGACAACATATGGTCATGATCATAATTTTATTGTCAGCAAACCACTGGACAGCCATTAGCGCTAACTTTGAACACAGCTCACTTGTTGCCATGCAGTGATAGTTGCTACAAGGTTGTCTCGATTCGTGAGCCTAGACCAATCATGTCGAAATTACATGAAAAGCTCGTACATTTAGAATGTTTTAAAACTGATTTTGTATATCTAGTTTTATTATATGAAAGCGATTTCCATAAACTTACATTGTTTACATCTGCAGCATCCCCAACTGAATCCATGTTGTGACCGTAGGTTGTGACGGACGCAGACGTTATCGCGCATGCGCAGTTGCAGATGTTTGAATTAACCCTTACACTGGCGGAAAATAGAAAATAATAAAATAGAAAACATGCGACGTATGTAAACGGCCTCAGTAACAAAATATAATATTTGTATTATGTATTATTTACCTATCTTAACGCGTGACATTTTTCTCAGGAACCCACAGAGAAGATGAATGGGTAACATGAGCAGTGTCACTCACTTTCATAATGAATTTGCTATGGACGTTGCTATGGAACAAAAATAAACCGCTTAGTGGCGCGGGAAGAAAGGTAACTCATTTATTGTGTATGTTTTGCAACAAAATACGATACAATATGCAGTTAATTTAACAACTGTCTACCCCAAATGTGAAAGTGTGTTCTGCACACCAGGTGCCAAAAATGATCCTCTTACTTTTCACCAGTTAAATAATTGTTTAAGGGTTTAAACAGTAGTAACCAACAAAGAAATCAAAGTAGTGTAAAGCTTTTGTTATGGTATGACTGGTTATCATTATTGTGGTAAATCTTATTATTTTGCAACAAATCTCTTGTGTTTCGATTCTCTGTCTGACTTTCGAGTTCATTGCAGATATACCTCCTTTCTCTTTCCCATCACTTCTGTGAACTGTAAAGTTTCAAAATTATTTCATTATGCTGCTAGCTTGAATGGTTGCATCCTATCCTACGTAAAATCTGAACAAAATAAAAATAATATGTTATAAACGCACTCATTTTATGCAGATAGAAGACATTAAAATAAAAACCTTAAAGTATAATCGTTTTGGAAAACAAATAATAATCAGATTACGTTATAAATACGTTATAAATGTTTTTATATTTATCTTATTTAACATGTTTATCTTTAATATTACTTATTTCTTTAACCTATTTACATTTTCAAAAACCACATCACGTGGTTCGACGCGTTCATGTTGCACGCTGATGCGCATGCGTGCTGCTGTGAGTGAGCGCTGTGTGGTGTGTGCAAAGGTGGGGAAGAATCTCGAGAAAAGAGTGCGACTGAAAGGCATGTTAGACCATTAAGAAGATACGTAAATATTTAATAATACAGTATTATATCAAATATAAATATATTCGTGATAATGTCAATATCAAAAAAGCATACCATAGGACCAGGTGAGTGTTGTTAGGCTCTTTTCATGATGTCTACCAAAACTTCGTCAGCTTATGCGAACATGTAGCTCTCCTGACAATAGAAAACCGTGTTGCTCTTGAACTCTAACCACAGTAACGTTATCTTAGACAAGTATCTTGTACTAATCTTTTTACCCTATTGGTAATTTAAATTATAATAAATTATGCAGTGTAAGGTTAAATTTAACAATGTAAGAAAGAGACAATATGTTTTTGTTTGGGTGGTGTAGGATCAAACCTCAGATTTCACTGTACACGTGTGTTTATATGAGATCTGTTCAAACCTTAAAAATATGTTTTTTTTTTCTCTTATTCTTCCAGACTACTTCCTGCTGCAAAATGATGAGCGCCTCATGCGGACCCACGTGAGTCGTTACGTTTTTGTCTGACGTGTCTTCGTTAAACGGAATAATCGATAAATTGGAGTACGCATTGTCTGCGTTTGTTTGTTGTGCTTTTAGGAGGCTATGGTGGATATGATCAATGATAGACCGGCAAATCGCAACATCTTAGATGCCTTAAGTTTTGGTTATAAATACGGTAAGACTTGTTTTTAATCTAACACACACACACACACACACACGAATATCATATAAAAGCTATAATACATCTTTGGCCATGTGCTTTAATATAGCCACCATGTTTAACTAGTTTGACCAAATAGCTGTGAGCCATATTGGGGAAAAGTTAGTTTTATATTTGCACATTCGTTCATTTTTTTTTTTGCAATTGTTGACCACACTGCTTTAAATATTTGGTCTGAAATTGCATGCAAGTATGACTTCAAAACAACATTAGCACTATTTACTTGATAGAAGAATGTTATTAATTAATTATGTAATTTCCCTATTTAGAATTTTCAAACAATACTTTTCTTAAATGATATAAAGGAGAAAGTCAGAATGTGGAGATATAAAACCAACTTTACCCCAGTATGCCATAGGTTGTCAGCCTTGCATTTCAGATTTAAGTTAGACCTTTATGCAAATCAGGGGTCTATGGAGTCGATCTATGGTCATATATACTTGCAAAATAAGTTTTGCAAACAAAAAATAAAGTATTGAGCAAAAAATAAATAAATGCAAATCTCCCAAAATTGCAAAGCAAAAATGTCATTTTGAGAGAAAAAAAAAGAATTTTGCTAACAAAAATAAAGAACTGCAAAGGGGAAATGAAGTCTTGAGAGTTGAGAATGAAATTTGCAAACAAAAAAAGAACTGCAGATAAAAATTAGGCAGAACGAAAAACAAAAACAAATATTTGCATACATTTAACTGTGCAATTGACTGGATGGTTTTTTTTAAAGGCAAGATTTAAAAATGTTTTGTGTGTATATACACACATATATATATATATATATTCAATTTTTTTTTTACTTTCTCTTTGCAGTCCTTTATTTTTGTTACCAAAATTTATTTTTATTTTTCGAAATTCAAAAATTGACTGATTTGCATTTATTTTTGTTGTTTTGCTCAATACTTTATTTTTTGTTTGCAAAACTTAAATTTAATTTTGTAAGTATATGGCCCTACATTGACTCCGAGATCGTACCAAGTAGCCCGCAAAGATCACATGAGTTGCCCACAGGGCTGTTCTAAAAAATAGCTTACCATAGCACTACTTACCGGTAAGCTGCATCTAATATTTTTAAAATTTACTTATTAAACCACACTTGCATTGATGTAATCTTCAAAATGACAAAGTTGTATACAAAAAACTTTTTAAAATATTTCATATTAGAGCTAGATGGTCTCCACAGCAGTAGTTGTGGACGCAGTAAAGGCAAGGAGATGATTTGAAAACATGGCAGAAAAAAAGAAAAAACATAATTTTTACGATGAATAGGAGGACGAGTTCTATTTTTACTCATTCGGCGACAGCAATGCAGCTCGATGTTAAAAGAGATTTTAGACTGTGTCACGCAAGCTTGCGTTACCATGCTAACTACCCATTGGGCAGCGACTACAAGTGGAAAAACTCTGCGAATTAAAGAAAAGTCTAAAGCAGTCTTTTTTTCAACCAGTTAAAACCCCCAAAAAGCAGCCGAAGACTCATTTAGAGCTACACATTGTTTTATTAGAAAAACAAGCCATTTTCAGACAGCAAAACAAAACTGTACAGGCTTAAAGACTAAAACGAATATTATCTCCACTCTCTCCCATGTCCAACTTGGGTCTGCTATGTTAAAATGCTGTACATTTGGTGATTAATTTCAGTAAAATTTGAAAGTGGATTTATGTTTCACAATTGATTGACGAGCATGGTATGTTGTAGTGTATGATTTGTTGATGTTAGTGGCAAGTGAAAATATAGAAGTGATCATTTGAAGATGTGAATACTTGCAGAGGTTTATAGAAATAAAGTGTTGCATATTGATATTTATCTTTTTCCTACCATGTTAAATCATTGTTGACAACTATTGTGCGAAATCATTACCATGATCAGTGTCTTTGCATAGATGAGTATTATTAAAAATAACATATAATAAAAGTAAATTGAGCAAATTTGTTGTTTGAGAAGTGTGTATCAAACTAGAAGCCCTCCACATTGTTACAAAAAGGTTGGTGACCCCTGATGTAAATGATCTTGCACATTTTCTACTTCTCTAAAGTTTATTTAAGTGTTTTTTTCTGGGCTTGTCTTCACACTTTGCAAGTTTGGTTTAATTAAAACACATTTGGTATGATTTTTGAAAAGGTGTGAATGCGGCCATTCAAACCCTGTTGCAGCTCAAACAAAGCAAGCAAGACCCCCGAAAAAGATGGCTATCACTTCACTTCCAAACAAACCTTTATGAATCAGTAACAATTGAACAACAGCAACAAAAAAGGGTGTGTCTATATATACAACCTTAAAAAACAAATAGGCTCAAAAATGTTTTTTTTTTTTTTTTTTGGTAATAGAATGTTCCTCTTTTACACACACAAAAGAAAATCTGTGAAAACATCAGTTCTGAACTAATTTCTTGAGCAGTTTTAATTTGCACTAGTGACTCAACTTTTACCATGCTCATCCAATGAAAACTCCAAGAACCCCCATTTTCCCTTTTCCCTCTTCATTCTTGTTTATTAATAAATATATTTTAGTGTTATTACTTTTTAAGCTTTATTTTATTATTTGAGCAAAATCATTTAAGATTCATTTAAAAAGCCCCTGTCAAAAGAATTCTTGTGAAATTTCAATTTGTCTTGTAAGGTCTTAATTCTGTCTTTAGACTTTTATTCTAGTATTTCTTTCAATGAGCTTTATATATACAAAAAGGGAATGAAAAGACATGCTGTAAATGTATGAATCACTAATGGAAATGGTGAATGAATTAATAGTTAACGTGTTGAATGTACAGATTCTTTTATAAAAATGTGTCTTGTGTTATTCCATTAGAAATAAAACTTACTGTAAATTGACAAATATGCAAATACATGAACTGTGTTCATCCAGAAACGCTTCATAATCATAATAAACCATTATAAATGTGTCAGTAATCAGTGGTCTGACAGCACACACATACACAGACAGACAGACAGACAGTGTTTGGTTGCGTAGCAGTCAAAATGACATTCAAGAGATAATAGTATGATTAACAATCTTTTATGTAAATAGATTACTGATTACTTTTGCTAAAATCACACTCAAACTGAATTAAGGAGTGTGAATAACTGAATGTGGAGTTCTGTTTTAGCTGTCATGGAAGTGTAGTATAGACGTGTACAAACCTTTATTGTGCTTTTACTGCTATGTGGGACATTTGACCTCTTTGCCAGAAGAGAAACCAAAGGCAATGGTCAACAGTTGTAATGACAAACAAAAAAGCAAAGCTTTGAGCCAGAATTAATGTCCACCTTCATCTGTTTGCCAGTGGCAGATTATTAACTGCATTTGAAGCTTTTTAAAATTAAAAATGGAATACCCAAAACTACAAATGGGACCATAGCAAAGACAATCTCTTTTGTGATGTGAAATTCTGGAGTGAGGTGTTGGAAATCGTGTCAGTCTCTATCCGGTTCATGGCATAAATTGTAGCAAACTGAAGAACTCAAACCAGGAGTCTCATTACAAGCAGAATTCTTTGAGACATGTTGGTTGTTTTGCAGTCAAACAGCATTTCAAGAAGTCCACATGAGTCTATGAGAGCCTACATGAGTCTCTTACATTCTACCAAGAGTCTGAAATGAGTCTCATTTGGACAGTTTTCCTGTCTATTGTATGTTTTCGGAGAGGCAGACAGATGGTGGAGACAGAACATGTAAATGAAGTAGATAGATTAAAGAACCTGTCTAGACATTGACCAGACAAGTTTATCAACAGAAGGGTTTCTTTGGCTTCACAAAGGGACGGTCGTTAAGAGACTGATAGTCGTTGAATGCCCGTAGATTTGCATTACTTTGGGATCTGCCAGTGCTCAGGAAACAAAATGTTTAATGTCTCTCACACCTTGGCTGCTAGAGTTTTGAATGAATGACATAACTGAAACCAAAGACTTTACCTTTTCACTTATATTATTGTTTATTTAGAACTAGATTTTTTATTTTATTGTTTTTATTTCCACAGATGTTAAGACATGTGCCATTAATCAGTCTCCATGCGATTATGTAAAATGGCTACATGAAAGAAATATTCTTAAAGCAACCTATGTAAACTCCATAATCATAATGTTTTCTGGTAAATAATTAGATTACTGGTATAAACATGCTGAAATAAGCTGAAGTACATCTAAAGCATGCCTTCTGTATGTCACTTATTTGACCTTGATTACAATTTCCAGATGTAAAAGCTTTGTCCGCAACATTTGTTTGCTCTGTCCAGCCGAGAGGTTAATATCATGTATGAATCACTTGGCTGTTTGGAGGCACCAACCCCATGTTTTTCACAAAGTGCTAAAATAGTTTTTCTGCTTCAAATAAAATGAATGGATGCAAGGCAAGCATTATCTCAGAAACTCAGACAATGTAGTTTAGTGTTTCATGACAGTTTTTAAAAATGAAATTCTTAATGAAAATCTAACAAGGACTAAATGCTTTTTTGTTTTATGAACCAAACCAATGAACCAATGAATGTTTAATGAACCAATGCAAGTGTGAACGCACCCTTAATGCACTAGGTTTGTGAGAGGTTAAAACTGATTATTTGTTTTTTTTCTATTAAAGTTCCAGAACTGGACCACTTTGCAGCTCAGTTTCCTGGATATGAAGATTCATCTGATGAGGATTATTATTATTATGATGACGATAAATACAGTAGTCATACAAATAACAGATACTGTGGCTTTTCACGCAACTTCCTAGACAGAGGTCTACCAAAACCAATAACAGCTGAGGTTTGTCAAATTATCATGGTTCACTTATTTAGTTTCATGTGAGCTCTTTAATATCGTTTTCATTATTCTGCTTTTTATGTTAGGAAGCGGAAAGAAATGCAAAAGAGCTAGTGGATGAGGAAGAAAAAATTAAGAAAAAAGCAGAGAAGAAAAAAATGAAAAAAATGGTAAGAGGCAACACGCACTGGGTGTTTTCATCAGATAGTTGTTATCATGAATCATAATCATAAGTGCTACTTCACTTCAATATAACAGAGACAAAAAGAGAGACGTCGCCTGGAAAAATTAGAGAAAGAAAATGCAAATAAAGAAAAAAATAAACCGGTGAGTGATTGTTTGTTATGGCTGGGGTGATAAATCGATGCATTATGAAAAGTGAAACGATTCTTACATTTTCAGATTGAGCCGACTCTCTCTGGAAACAATTCTGAGCTTAAGTTTTTAAAAGCAGATTAAGTAGCCTACACACAGTTCAGTCTTGCATCCTCTTCTTGTAAGTTTATACTTCGCAAGTTTGAAATGGGAAACAAACTCCCGAGAACACGGCGGGTAAAGCCTGGTTTATACTTCTGCGTCAAGTGACCGGCGTAACCCACGGCGCATGCAACGCGCGTAGCTGTGCATTTATACTTCTGCCTGCTGTCACTGTTGGTCTGCATTAACACTTCCGAAACGCTAGTTGGCAGTGAGGTGTAAATGTTCCTCTGTGTCAAGTTTCTTCGCTGCTTTTTTGCTTTTCCTGAACACTTCCGGGATGTACAAGTGGCTCAAACTCGCTCATTTTGAGGCAGGAACCGGCAGACGTGCAACTACTTTAACTATGAGGTAAACACAAAACAAAACTTTCCATCAGGAGCTCCTTCACGGGACTCCACACTTGTAAATAATCACTCCAACAGGCTCGCACCATTCACGCAGCTCTCGGTCCAGCCCAGACTCGTCAGCGCTACCAAGCCGACCAATCACAGAGCTTACGCTACGCGTCATTGCGACGTGTAGTTACATTTTTTAAGAGGTGCACGTCAGCGACGGCCATGGCGAAGGGCTATGCGTCAGCGCCGTAGCATACGCCGGCGTTTTACGCAGAAGTATAAATCAGCCTTAAGTCTTCAAAGGGCACAGTGTATTGTATAACCTCATTCACATCATCCTGGCTATGTTGTTTTACTTTTTTAACAACAAAATGAAAACATGATATAAGGAACTGTCTGTTTTCATTTTGATATTAGCAACTTAACAGACACCAAATATGTTGAGGCGTCCTGTAGCTGCATATTTATATGATCGTCATCTTCACTGTATGCATAATTATAACACAATAGAGCCTATTGACCTTATTCTAAAATGCGGAAGTGCGGCTGTTTTCGCGATTGTCTTAGAACTTCCGATTCAGTCAGAATAATAAACGGCAGAAAATGGCCAAACTACTTGCTCAACAAACAAATGTTTGCATGACTACACAGACCAAGTAGCATAATATAATAAGAAAATATTAAATTGCAACATCAAGCAGCGTAACCAGCAGTTGTTAACTTCAAAAAATGAATGGAAGTGAATGTGACCGGAAGTCGCGAGACAAAAAGATTCAAATGGCAGCGCCCGCTCGACAGCTGAGAATAAGGTGAATAACATAACTGGCTCATTGCTCATTGAGCCTATAACAAAACATTCTCATTGAAAATACGAAACATACCCTCTCTTTTGCTGAATATCAGTTTTAATAATCAACAATGGCCATTATAAAAGTATAATAAGTTTAAACATTTATAGGAAATAAAGGCAAGCGATCAGTCACATGTGCATTTAGTGTATGTGGTTACATAAATTGTTAACTTGTCTTTGCGCTCAGCCAAAACACATTACCTGAGAACAAGTAATAGATTCAAAATACCAAAGTCGGGAAATATGTCACTAGATAGGACAAGATGAATTAAATATCACGTGTAACAAATATAGTGACATAAGAAACGGCAGTTGATGAGCAACTCGACGTGCACAGCTCTCATTGCTGCAGTGTATGCCCGGTCAAATGACACGATTTAGGCACGATTTCCTTGACGTAGGGTGTTGCGGGGATTCGTAAACGACAAATGGGCATCGTGACACAAGATTCAATCGTTTCTTCTCATGTAATCTGCCATAGTTCACGACAACCGATACCATGTCCACCATCGCAGCAAGTCTAGCATGTTTAATTTTTCCCCCATCTTCACGACGAGTTCCGTCACGTGGATGACACTGTGCAATAGGAGCTCATCATTTCTCGGTTATAGTGGGTGCTGCTGTTAATTCGCTTGTCAGGTAATCAAAAAATAGGCTGCATGCATATTTATAGCTTACTTATGGGATATTGATCTATCTAAACATGTATATTGATCTATGGATCAATCGATAGAGGTAAAATTGATTTTATATTCGCACATTCGTTCATTTAGAAGTCTCTATATTTTTTACCATGTTACTTTTAATGTTCGATCGGAATTAACATGCAAGTATGACTTCAAAACAACATTAACATCTATCTATCTAATTCACTGTGGACAATGTTGTACTTTGATAGTCATTGGCTGCTAATATGATTTCCCTATTTACAATTTGTTAAGAATACTTTTCTGAAATTATATTATTAGGAGAATCTCCAAATATCTGAATATAAAACCAACTTTCTCTGATCAATCATTGGTTCTACAAGCTTTAACTACCTTTTCTAAAATATTATGGTGTTTATATACATATTACATTTTATTTATTTATGCATTGTTCTGTCATTTATTTTTAGATATATTTAAAACTTTTTTTTACTTATGTTTAAGTGCAAAGAGAAATGAAATGTTTTTATTTATATTTTTGTGCTGTATTAATTGCTTACTAAGCCGCAATAAACAACACTTTAATATTACTAGATGATTGACTAGTAGTGTTTTGAAAATTAAACATGCATAATAATTGTGATAACCGGGATTATTCCTCAGACTATAATCGTGCTACAAAAATCTATAATCGTTGCATGTGTGAGGTGACGTGATGTGCGTTTTCAGTGGTATAGTGTGGACAGAGTTGTTCAGAAACGCTGGGTAAAACGCCAGTGTAGATGCGGACTGTTTTCATTGTAAAAGGCTGTTTTAAAACTAAAACGTGTTAGTCTAAATGGGGCCCAAGTTCAAGTAGTTTGTGTTATGCTGGGTTCACTCCAAATCGCATCCTACTAATTTACTCCCCCCTTTTTTTTCGCCTTGTACGAATTTTCCAACTTTATTTTTCCTGCAAATTCTTTTGAACTTGTGTAGAAGATGTGATTGAATTGAATTTCATACATTTGTTGCAAATGCAGTGTGCTCTCTGTGTCATCCATGCAATTCTGTTTGCGCATTTGTATTTGTATGTAATTTGCTCTAGCGAATACTTCAATCCAAAAGCAAATCGCCATGCATTCGGGAGATCTCAGAAATGTTGCAGAATGGTTTCCTAATTCTAAATGCATCGTTATGTTTTCCCAGCTTTATTGTTTGAATCTGCCATATATGCCAAACTTCCATTTTAAATTTGCCTTACTGAAATTATGCTGACTAATTTATTTGCCTATTTTTTTTCCACTTTGTTTTTAGGTACAAGTTGACCCTGGACCAGAAAAGACCAAACATGCAGATAAAGATAATGAAAATAAAGATAAAAAATGTAAAAATAAAGGTTGTTCATCTGTGCCTCCTGACCCTCAGCCCATTTCAGCCCCCGTGTCGAGCAGTGATAGCAGTAGTGATGAGGAAGACGATAAAAAGGAAGATTCTGCAATAGAACCAGAGGTAGGTTTGTTTTTAAATCTTCTGCGATTAACTTGACTAGTGCTGTGTAATGATTAATCATTACCATCCATCAGGGTTTCTGGCTGGTCTTAAATTAGCTGTTCTAGTTAATAAATGTTTTTGCAAAGGTCTTATATTTCTGATGTCCATGTAACGCTAAATCTAATGCTCATTTAAATATTTTTTTTGTTGTTGTTGCTTGATTTTCGTGGTGTTGTATTTCTTTATTTCACTAGTCCAAATGTAATTTACGGTATTACAACTATAAATGAGACCGAATGCAATAGCCAAGCAGCTTTCTGTTATTGAACTCTGTGCATGTGAGGAATTACATCATCACAGTGTTTGCGGATGTTTGCTTTGGGTGCGCGTGACATGATTTAGGCTGGCGGAGTGCACAAAATTGTTTGAGACCCGAGCAAACCGTTCGCGCGGCGCCGCATTTGATTTGAGTTGAATATGAAAGACTTTGAAGAGATAACCAGATGACCAATAATTCTTTGATAGAAATTGCAACAGCTGTGAGAAAGGAGGAAAGTTTTTGTAAAAGTTTAGAAAAACCTGAGGGATAAGTTTGTTAAAACCAAAAAGAGAGGCCCAGGTGGTTTTAATATTACAAAATATGTTTTTCTTCTAATTATATGTTTAACACTACTGTATATATTACAATTTTGAATTTAAAACAATTTAATAGTAACAAACCTAAATAAAGTAACAAATTATTTCCTTGATAAGTGTGAAGGAACATTTAGTAATACAATATAGGCTACTGATGCCCTTTTTTTACTAGGCTTTGTTGGTGATAATGGTTCAGGAATGTTGGACCATTATGGCCTTTTTAGCTTATAAATAGAGGACAGAACAATTCACACATTACTGTCTGGCTAGTTTAAGTAGGCAAAATAAACAATAAAAAAGTCAGTATTTTTTAGTAAATGTACTGTATTTTGGCTTTTATTTTTTCCATAAAAAATATATATATTTGTAGAGCATCCCATGTTCTGTTGTCATTAATATTTAACGTTAATAGGTAGAACTGTCCGAGATGTGAACAAAGCAAGTGATGCATCAAAGTTTAAATAAACAAAATCTTGAATGGCTATAAAAATCCTCAATCATTAAAATAATTAATAAAAATAATAAAAAATAATTGGTAGTTACGGAAAGATGTAGTTCTTGAAACTTTTTAATTCTGTTTATCCGTCTGACTTGTCGTTTTAAAGAGCCTTATCCATTTCGTGAGGTGTGCAATACGGCGCCAGGCGAAAGTATAAATCAGCCTTAAGATGTTTGTTAGTTTGTTTTCTGTAGATTAATGGTGCATCTAACCTTTTTTCAGTACTGTAAAATTATTGTGCCACTAATTGTGATTTAAAAAAAATAAAATAAAATAAAATTATTATTATTTTTTTTTTTTGTATGTGTGTTTTTGAAATTGTGATAGGTCATAAATTTAATACTTAATGGTAAAGTCTTAAATTTGACAATACGATATCTGCGAAAACCCTGAACATATACAAAATAAACATTTGCTTTTTGTTTTCACAAAATATATAAATGTGTGTGTGTGTGTGCGTGTGTCTGTAAATGCTCACAGCTGTGTATATACTTTAAGAATGTTTACATCTGTATTAATATTATATATCAATTTGTGGTAACACTGTACAACAAGGTTGGATTAGTCAGTGATATATTTACTAATATGTACAAACAATGAGCAACACATTTATTTCAGTATTTATTCATCTTCAGTGATGAGAATTGATGAAAATACAGTTACTAAACTCGCAGTGTTTTATTTTATGTTAACAAGTACATCTTTGGATTTTAATATTGCATTGATTTATTGTTTAACTATGATTTGATATATTCTGTATTGTTCATGTTAGTAAGTCCATAAATCGGCATTAACTAATAAAACCGTATTGTCAAGTGTGACCAATATTGGGATGTGCATTTATATATACATAACAAATATACACAGTGCAAACAAAGGTATGTAAACATTAACTTTTATTTTAGAATCGATGAGCTGTAATTGTTTCAGTGGCATTAGATATGACTCCTGTGACATTTTCCAAACTTGACCGAGCCATTCATTCCTTGCAAATGGTTGTAGTGACTTTTATTTTGTGTGTTTCAGGAGCTCGACATGAATAGCTGCTTTGTGTCAAACGCAGCTGCTATTGCCAAACGCAAACTGGAACAGAAACCTAAACCTGACAAGAAGCCTGCTCAAGCAAACCCAAAAAAACAACACGAATCCCAGCAGAAAGCCACTGTGATGCCTCAAAAGCAGGTGGGCGGAGTTAAAAAGATAAATGTGTAAACTCTGAGGGTTTTTATAAGACATTTAAGAGGAGGTGCCTGGAAGAATTAAAACGGTCTCGTTCTCATGACTTTTCTTGTATAAGAGATTGGGTGTCTCTGAAACTGTAATCAGCTTAGTGAGTCAGTGTTGTGCAGTCATTTTAATCTTAATTTTAATCTACTTTAATCCTTTATATACAGAAATGGATAAAATTGTTGGTAGTCTTTGTTACTTTGCTGTTTTTAATGCTTCTGTTCAACCATCATTTGGAAGTAATATCTAATTTTCATTAGTTTACTTTTAGCAGGTCTTGATTAATTACTACTTTTTCAGTTTCAAGTTATTTCAGTTAACTCTGCAGCGTTTCTTCAATAGATGGCTACCAACAATATTGCCTATGTCTATAGGTATTTGGAGTTTTATTTAATAGATGCGGGGAATTGTTTACATAGAATTGTAAGGGAGGAGAGGAGAGTTTTTATGAAAATGATTTTAAATAACATGACTGATTTCTGATGGGTCATATGACATTAAAGACTGAAAATACTTTTATGTATTGAAATAAGTTTCTTAAACGCAAGTAATTCTAATTAGTAAACCATGTTTTACAATATTATTTGTACTAAATTTAATTAAAAATGCAGTCTTGTTGAGTGCAGGAGAGTAGTCTCAATCTGTTTTACTGTACGTTTGTCATTCATGCCATATTTTTTGAAGCAGCTATTTTTTGATGTTCTGTATTTCCAAATGTCTTTCATTTTTGTAGGTTGCTAAAGAAGAGGTGAATGGAGAGGAGTCTGTCAATGCAAATGATTTTATTACAAGAAGTGTGGAGCTGGCAGGTGTGTGAGTGGAGTTTGATTTTTGATTTTTTTTTATTGTCGAACAGAAATATATACAAAAAATTATTTAACAAAAAATACATTACAGCATTGTGAAAATGGAGCGGGATGAAGCACAAGCTTATTATTTTCCCACCCCATTACTACACACACCATTCGTCTATTACTTAAGCTTATTTCTTCTTTTACTTATCTCTTCTTTTTACATGAGACATATGATAATCAGATGAGACATATTTTATCATTTTGGCATCTTTGACATATTATCTCTATGATTCCATTTATACATTTTATAACATAGACCCCATAAATACATTTTATTACAAATGACCATTAATTAATTTCATCATACCTTTCTCAGTTTATCTTTTTTCAATCACCTTCATCATTATATTCCTTTAATAATATATATTTATACAATTTTTTTAATTGATTAATATCCTGACATTGTTTAAAAATCGGTTCCATAATTTCACACCTCATACAAGACATACACAAATTTTTAAAAGTTGTTCTTGTTTTCAACCTAATAATTTTGATCTTGTCTCATTTTATATCCCCCTTGTCTCTTTTCAAAAAACTTTTGTATGCGCTTCAGAAGTACTTAATTCCTCGCTTTAAGCGGAAATTGTGCTGTTTTAAATTGAAACAAATCATTGAACATAAGTATCTTCAATTTAAAAAATAAAGGATTCGTATTCTCCAAATACCCCACATTTTCTATCAGTCTAATTACTTTTTTCTGCATTGCACATAAGGATTGCAAGTTAGATATATATGTTATCCTCCAAATTTCAACACAATAACTTGTATATGGTGACATAAGTGTGTTATATAATACATACATTGATTTCAATCTTGCTTTATACACTTCTTACAGTTTTTACGAATTTTAATATCACATTCATTATTTGCGGTTTCCAACCATTTTTATGATCCGATACAAACGCCTAGAAACTTAATTGCATATACTCTTTCTAAAATGTCATTATCAATTATTTACATATATTATGACTATTTTTTAATTTCCTAAATAACATAACCTTTGTTTTACTTATATTTAATGACAATTTGTTTACGTCAAACCATAATTTCAATTTATTAATTTCTGCTAATTTCAATTAATTTCAACTCCTCAAGTTTTGGAAAATTATCCCCAGAACAAAAAGATACTGGTATCATCTGCAAATAAAATAAACTTAAACAACTCTAATATCTTACACGTATCAATAATGTAAATGCCACAATTTACATTTAGGTTTGAAGATTTATGGTTGGCAATTTCCACAAACTGTTGCTTGTTTGTTTTTTTAAAGAACTGCTTATCCAGTCCAAGGCTACTCCTCTAATACCATACCCCATACCTTTCTAATTTATTTACCAATATATTGTGATTTATTGTATCAAATGCCTTTTTTACATTTATAAAATTCCAACTACCTTCTCCTTTTTATCTATCTTATTAGTAATTTCCTCAAATTTTTGTTAATGCCAGAGATGTTGATCCAATTTTCCTGAAACCATATTGCTCATCGGCTAAAAGGTTATGCATTTCTACAAAATTATTAAGCCTTTCAACAGAGTTTTCCCAAACTTTTTGAAAACTGAGATAGTATAGAAACTGGCCTATAATTTGTAAAGTATTGTTCATCTCCAGATTTATAAAGTGGAATTATCTTTGTAATTTTAAATAGTAAAGTTTAAATAATAAAGATTAGTACGAAATGTCCCCCTAATTCTCTCCTTTTTTTACAGTTATAGGTAATGAGTACGCCGGCTCAGGAAACATGGAGATGGCTGTGAAATATTTTACCGATGCTATAAAGCACAACCCTAAAGAGTATAAGTAAGAGTCCATACCAACAGTTTTAACTGCAGCTTGGCTCAAAATGACAACTACATTGTTTTAAGAGGTCATTTAATGATTGCACTTCTTTCTTTGCTGCAGGTTATTTGGAAATCGTTCTTACTGCTATGAAAAGATGCTTCAGTATGAGAAATCTTTAACCGATGCTGAAATTGCTCTTTCTATGAACCCTAAATGGATTAAAGGGCTTTACAGAAAAGGCAGAGCATTGGTTGGACTAAAGGTATTTATATAGTCTTCTAGCTGCAACATCCATCACTTTAGCCCAGGTTTTTACTTGGTATCAACTTGCCTCTTCTGTGAATCGATCACAAGTGGTCAGCGGAGCTTCATTAGTATTTCCATCTCTTTAGAGAAGGGCTGCAATATGGCCAATAATTTATTGCTTTAAAATGTTTTGTATATTTCTGCTGTGTGTGTGTGTACACAATGAGAAGGAAAATTGGTGGTGAGTGCATACAAGTTCAGAACGCACTGATTGTGGTATACTTTGTGAAAGGGCTCATGTTGAATATTTGTCATATTGTGACTAGGGCTGTGCAATTAATCGAAAATCCGATTTCCATTTTAGCTTCTAACGAATATGAAAAAACATTAATCGAGACAAACGATTATTAACTAAGCAGCGCAAAAGACCGCATGCTTATGTGTTTGTGCGACGCGCACACACAGAAGCATGCGGTAAGCATTCGGTCTCATTCGCACACTGAGACGAGCAGAGCGCAGACATCTAAAGTCATCTTAACGTGAGCGCTTTAATGATCAAATAGGTGTCAACGCCCTGTTTAGTGATTATTCACATTAACCCTCATTTGTGTAATAAACATACGAGTTGAGAATCAAAAGACGTGAAAGAGAAACTATTAAAGTGAAAGCACGCAATGTTCCTGCTGCCGTCTGTTTTTATGATTATTAATCAAACAACAAGAAAATCCCTCTGCTCTTGACTGAAGGACTTTTGTAGCTAAAGTGTTTTTCTTAAAGTGGAGATGCTTAAAGCACAGTTTGTTTCATATTTTTATTCTATCGTATTTATTTCCCTTTTCTTTGCAGGGTGGAAAATAACTGTATATATGCAGTTGAAGTCAGAATTGTTAGCCCTCCTGAATATTAGCAACACTTTTCCTCCCTAATTTCTGTTTCATGGAAAGAAGATTTTTTTTCAACTTATTTCTGAACATAGTAGATTAAATAACTAATTTCTAATAACAGATTTCTTTTATTCTTGCTTTAATGACAACACATAATATTAGACTATTTTCAAAATACAATGCATTCAGATTCAAAGTGCGATTCAAAGATTTAATTAGGGTAATTAGGCAAGTCATTGTATAACAGTAGTTTCTTCTGAAGACTATCAAAAATATTTATGCTTAAGGGGGCTAATAATATTGTAAAATATTTAAACCTGTTTTTATACTAGCCAAAAAAACAAAACAACAAAAAAAATTAAACAAAAGCCTTTCTCCAGAAGAAAAAGGTATTATAGGAAATACTGTTAAAATTCCTTGCTCTGTTAAACATCATTTGGGAAATATTTATATAAAAAAAAAATTCTCAGGAGCGCTAATCATTTTGACTTAAACTGATAATCGTTTTGAATAATCGTGATTACAATTATGACCAAAATAATTGTGATTATGATTTTTCCCAAAATCGAGCAGCCTTAATTGTGACTGACAAAATGATTTCATTTCAATCATGATTATATTGTTTTATCACCCAGTTCAGATTTATTCACCAGTGCAGATTGATCCACAAAATCCCCTGTGCTCTTTTGTTCTCACAGTAGTGTTGTTTCTCCTTCTCTCAGAGATATAATGAAGCCAGACTTACATTTGGTGAAGTTTTAAAACTGGACAGCTCTTGTAAAGATGCGGCTGAGGAGATTATGAGAGTGCAGCTCATGCAACTTATGGTGAGAGGACATGAGTAGGCATTATTACATCAGCGGTGATGCTGTGTGACTGTTTCTAGTTTGCTGCATTTTGGTTGTTATAAATGTGTCCATTTCAAAATGCCCTTGTTTTACAAACAGGAAATGGGATTCACCAAAGAACAGAGTTCAAATGCGCTTATAATCCATGGAACTGTAGAAAGAGCCCTAGAAAGTCTGTCTGGACTATCAGGTATGATAATACATGACACAATATGCATATCAGGGTCAGAAAGTAACTTCTGCAAAAAAGTGACTTTCTATTATATCATAAGGCAGTATGTTTGAGTTTATTTGGTAATCACTATTTTATTTGGTGGAGAAAAGAACAGACCTGCTTTCTAGGTTGTCCATGAAATCCTGTAGATTGATAGATTTATGCAAGGGACATTTTTTGCTGTAATTGGTATAAATGCCACATGATCCATTAGTTGTAACAGGCTCTTAAGATTTTGAGCTAAAATACACAAAGTTTAGGAAAAGTCATGATAAATTAAAAGCATAGATCAAATATAGTAAAGATAAAATTCAGTTATAGTTTTCAGGTGCACTATTCAGGTACAGATATTGAATAATCAACACTGCATAGTCTTCATTGTATATTATTTAATCTTTTTTAAAGTTACGAAACATTTCTTGTGGCCAGATGTTTTAAAATTTGAAATATTGAAATGTTCACACAGTCACAGGCCTTAAAGGGTCAGTTTACTCAAAGATTAAAATGTACTCACTATTTACTCGCACTTCACTTGTATCAATACTATATGAGTGTTAAATTATATTATTTTTGTGTTCATTTAAAAAAAGAGAACTCAATACATTTTTGGAATAAGTGAAGGGTGTAATGAAAATGCTAAGTAATTTTTGGGTGAACTATCTCTTTAAAAATGCATGCAGATGATAAACTTTTACTTCATTATGATTAAACTCTATATTAAACTATAATCCTAGCATTGCATATCCTGCAATGTGACTGTTGCGGATGCACACATTGTGATGTCGATGCTGAAACGATATATTGTGCAGCTCTAACTTATAGGTTTATTGACTTATATAGGTTTACTATAGCTTTGTTGTCTTTATTTCTTTTCTGTCCTTGGCCAAAAACTTGCTCTTACATTGTTAGTGGTGTGTAAGCATTATCAAAATTAATATAAAACAAATTTAAACCAATAGATTGTTACATGTTCTATGATATGCTGTAATAAATTTTGAACGTTGTTGTTTTTCTTATTTATCATGTATATGTAGACATTACGTGTGTGTGACTAGTTATTACTCTAGTTATAAATATGTAAAAAGAGATTTTTAATGCAGTGTGCGCAGTGCTAAATATATTACTGTTATCAACCCTAAATAATTTACTTTAATCAACTGTCATGGGCATTTCACTTTTTATATTTTACCCCTTACCTTTTTTAGAGGGGCACTAATGTTTTTATTAGATGATATTTTCGGCCAAAACCCTTTTAATTTCTGACCCGAATACATTTCCTTCACTCCTTGTATAAAAAAATGCACAAAAGCACACACACATCACTCTAAATGTGTGCTCAGCCAAGCAGCAAAAAGTGCAAAAATAATTCCAACAAGGCTTGAAAAATACCAATTTTTGAAATTAAATAGGAATTAATATCTAATATGTTGGTGAGAGCCGACTCCAGGCTACATTACCTAGGGATTAGCATTGTTGACTCCAGTCTACATTACCTGATTCATTACCTGAGTCCAGCACTGTTTAGGTGGGAGTGTCGGGGGAGGGAAAGAGGGGAGAGTTTGCATAAAGATGGGAGTTTTCGATTTAAGCACGCACTGATTTTCAAAGAGGCAAAACAAACACAGACACACGGTAAATAGACAGTGACTGTGTTTACATGGACACCAGTAATCAAATTATTTGCCAAATTCTTAATTTGTTAACCTAAACTGCAGTTTGACACTTTTCATTCAGGAACATTACATGCATGCCCCCCATGACAAACGAGTTATTGGATACGATGAACTGCTCGAAGAGTGTAGTTTTAATGCAATGTTTGATACCGCACCACAAATGAGAGAGAGAAAAAAAACCTCTGCATTTCTCTGTAACTTATGCCTAGTTCACACTAAAGGATTTTAAGCCTGATTTGAGCCCGATTTGGAAGTTAACGAGCTCGCCGACAGATCGGGCTGTGATCGGGAAGAAATCTGCGGGTGCTCTGCGCTCGCCGCTCTTTATGTGTGAACTACTGAACAACGCATCAACGAGGCTCGCTGACGCATCGCCGACACCTCGCAGACGGAAATCCAACATTTAGCATGCTAAATATTCCAGAGCAGGCGGCCGACTCAACCCCACGAGTGGTCAGATGTAGTGACGAGCTGCAGCCAATGAGAGAGCATATCAGCATGAGCTGAATGCCTGTGTGCTCATTAGCTCAGCAGAAACCTCTGTGATTGGTCAGAATGGGCATCGGTGCACTCGCTTCATTCTGCGTTAGCACAGACATGAGAGTAGGCTATATTAACAGTGGAACTAGAATTCTGTAACTATTAGAATTACCATACTGCTCATTCTGACCGTTCTCATATAAAACGCCATATTGTCACAACATATTTTCATTCAAAGCTATTATTGAGATATTAAAATTAAGCTTTGAATGTCTGGCATCATATTTAATGACCCATTACCCTAAAAAATTTTTTTTTTTTTTTTTTTTTTTTTTTTTTTTTTTTTTTTTTTTGGTAATGCAGCCTATAAATATGTAGTTAAGATACTAAAACACTTAAAGGTCTTGGCTTTCATTTTCAATTTCAAACAGGAGCTATTTCACAGCACAGAATATGCTGTTTTGAAAGATATCTGAAGTAAATTGATGTTTTTCCATCAGAAAGTTTTGTTTATGTTAGCAGGAAGTTGCTTGGCAAGAAAATGCACACATATTTAAAGTCACAGTGAAAAGTATCAGACATGCATGCAGTCATTTTAACCAATATGGTAATTAAAGGCAGAAATGCTCAGTTCTTTACTGTTTTGTAATAAAAAAAAATAACAATGTCAGAAAGAAATACACTGATAGTTAGAAAACGGCAGGGTGTTATAAATATGTTAGTGTTATTTCAAAGAGTTATAAAATTACAAAAATTAAAAACTCTCTGTGTATCTATCCACTGGAACCTTGCAGATGAGTGATTAATCCGCTGATGCATCAGCTGATTTGACGATGTTTTTAAATGCTTTCTCCAAAGCTTGAAAATCTGTCAGTGATGTCATCAGCACACAAGCAGCCAATAGTGTTCAGCTTTTTCTGACGACTCCTCCCTCAAATTTTCATTGGCTGTGGTTTGGTAGCTTGAATGAGCTGATGGGGAATGAGTTGTTGTTAGATCATGTAGTGTGTGACCCCCCTCTTGTGGATCATTCACAGAGTGTTGCGTAGTGTGAACACCACAGAGATTAAAAGACACAAAGTCATGTAGTGTGAACGGCACAGCGATCTGCTGATGTTTAAAATCCTGTAGTGTGAACTAGGCTTTAGATGCACTTGGCAGGCAGCAATAGAAATCCGTGTGTATATACTATCCTGTCACACAATAGAGGCAAACATCCTACACGAAGGTAATAGTTTGATTAGGGTGTTCACATTCAGAGAGCAGCATTTAAAGAGGATCTTTCAGTCCATAATATCATAGTGATGTAAACTGTAACTAACTAAATCATTTTGACTAAGGTCTGTCTTTAAAAACTGAGTACTGCTGACAATGCTAACTAACTTTGCTTCCGAATAAACATAAACAAAGAACACTGACCACACACTCACCAAATCTGTAGACACAGGACAATCAACACCAACTGGAACCGCATCTCTTTTAAAAGAAGACGAGCGGCAAATCCGCATTTCATCATTTCCAGACGTGAAAAGCTCTTGTGTAATAAATATCTCTTACAAACATATTTCTGTCACGTGTCGCATGCACTGTAATTCACACGTGAGTCCAGCTGTGCTCTCATTGCAGGAAATTGAAAACAAAACCGTCCGTGTTCCACATTAAAAACGCAACACTGACGACCCGTATATCTGAACAAATCTTTTTCCTTTTATTTTTAATTGTGATTGGCAACAACGTGGCGTCTCTGCCGTCTGAACACTGTAACCGGTAAACGGGTCTTCAATGTTATTGTGCATATTAATCAAGTTGCACCTCATGCACAATAGAGTCTGCTGATTGGTGGTCTGAAAAGACTTAAGTCTTTCTCATGAATTAACACTGAAAGCTCAAAGACATCATGTTGTATTCGCCGGTACAGACATCTAGTCTACACGCTGGAATACACACAAGGATATAATCGCCATGACGCAGCTTCAACATTTCTTTTCAAACCGTATGTACAAATTTGCTCAGAATAACGCAAAACAACCAATTTTCACTTTTTAGTTAAATATATGTGTCCTAATAGTGTTTTTAGCAGTGTGGGACACATATATGACTGTCAACAGCTCAAAAATTGTGTTTTGGTGTTTTGTGACCCTTTAAGTGTCCATACTAAAGGAAAGACCTTGACAAATTGCTGTTACAATGTGAATGCTTTTGGGTTTTTTATTTTAGGTACGCTATCTCCAAGAGGTTTAAATGAGGAGTTTAAAGGGTCACGAAACACCAAAACACATGTGTTGAGCTGTTGACAGTCGTATTTGTGTCCCACACTGCTGAAAACACTATTAGGTCACGGCCATGAGATGTTAGCGTGTATTCCAGCGTGTAGACTGGACGTCTGTACCGGGGCGTCCGGTATTACGTCTCTGAGTGTGTTGCATTTATTCATGAAGGTGGCTTGGTTCAAACCAGTCAGCGCGCTCCATTATGTATGCACTGCAACTTCATTAATATGCATGCTAGCTTCGAAGACTGTACCTGAAACATTGTTCAGACGGCAGAGAGACGACACACGTCGTGTTGCCAAAAGGAGGGGGAAAAGAATAAGAATTGTTTGGAGATAAGGGTTGTCAGTGTTGTGTTTATAATGTGAAGGTTATGTTTCATTTTCTCTCTATGAGAGCGCTGCTGGACTCACGCATGGATCCGTGTACGCGACGCGCGACAAATGCGTTTGTTTTGAACATTTTTTTACTCGAGAGCATTTCTGATCAATGGTGAGATCCGGATTTGCTGCTCGTCTCCTTTATAAAAAAACGCAGCTCCAGTATGTGTTGATTGTCCTGTCTACAGATTCGGTAAGTGTGGGCAATCACCGCCCTTTCTTTGTTCATTCAGTTGGCAAAGTTATAGTTCGTATGGTCAGCAGTGTGCAAAGACAGACCCTAGTCAAAATGATTTCTAAGTTACTTAGTTTACAGTACGTTAATATCACTACAATATTGAAAGATCCGCTGTCATTTCACCGTCATTAAACACACTGTCTTTCTCCCCTGCTTGTGTGTTTGTTTTTCCTTAGCCGTGCCCAAATGGCAACGCCCATTTTTATTCAAACCCTGCGCATTTTCCCTCCCCCGACACTCCCACCCAAACAGAGCTAGACACACCCACTTTCCTGACTTTTTTCAAACTAGAGGTGTAAAAACATCCTGCTGAAACAGGGGGTGTCATGGCTCTTTAATATTCGTCCATTCCTTAAATGTTTTATTAGTTGTTTGGGTAAAGGTTTTTGGCAGTTTTGTTGTATTACTTTATATTCTGTGATGTTTTTCTTTAATTATTAGGATTTGTTTTTGAATGTGTAATTAACTACAGTATTTTTTTTTGTGAGATAATGTATAAGATCATGTTATCCGGAAGTGTATGAAAACAGCAACATGCTGTGATGAATGTGTCTGATGTCTAAACTCAAAGCGCTTTGTGGTGGCCTTTTTAACTTAATAAATTGGTATTTTTGGAGCATTGTTGTTGCCGCGTTGTTTATATATATTCTTCTTTTTGAATCAAATAAAAAAGCAGTTTTTTTTTAGCATTTCAACACTGATTTACATAAATATAAGTAAACAAATCGTAAGTGTGGCAAATTTAAAACAAGTAATTGGTTTGCACTAATAACACTCTAATTCTTTTCAGGTTTAGCCCCTGTCCTTGTGCCCAAAGAAAACGAGTTTAAATCAGTACAGTACAAACACCCTCAACCTCCAGCTAAATTCCCTCTCATGCCTCTTCCTCAAAACCAGCCTCGACCCAGCATGCCAACCGCTGCTCCACTTCCCCCTCATTCCCCGTAAGGCGCACACACATATCCCAGCAATCATGGTACATAACCATTTACCCCAAAAACACCTCAGTCTTAATGTCTCTTTCACCCCTAAACAGAGAGCTGTTCCCCATCTGGGTCGGAGACTTGGTGAGTTCTATAACCGGGAGCAAGCTTTATGACCTATTCAAATCGTAAGTGACCTGCTTGGTTTTCTAAAAGTGTTCTTCCAACCATTGGTGTGATTTGAACTCATTTTAAGCTATTGAAAACTATTTGTCTCTGTAAAACAGTGTTGGGAATATCCATAATGTAAGAGTGTTGCCTGACAGATACTGCGCATTTGTTAACTACACCAGCAAGGACAGCTGTGAGAAAGCCATACAAATGTTCAATGTGAGTATGTTTGCTTTCAGTTCAACGTTCAAAAGAAACCTTTAGTGCTAAGATGTTTTATGGCCTAATATTGTGTAAATCTTATCTCTTATGGAAATGTGTAAAAGTTTTGCGCTATTTTAAAGTTGCATTTTTTTCAAAATGCCCCCCCCCCCCCACAAGCAGTCTTAAAGGGGAAATGATGCACTCAGTCAAGTTTACATTATGTTGTACACTGGATTTCACTTTAATCAAAATATATTAAACTCGATTACTGTAATCATTTAAAAGAAAAGGGTTTGTTTTAATATAGAATTTATACCTAGGGCGCTGCCATCTTGGAATATCGCTGTGTCTGGCGTCACGGGTTGGTTCTGTTCCCTTAAAAGATAAAGTAGAAGTAAACGACTGAACATGGAGACTGGACAGCCTAATTTGACCCAATGCGTGAAGTTGTGGACGTGGAGCTGATGCGCGTCTTATACATTTTATATATATATATATATATATATATATATATATATATATATATATATATATATATATTTTTTTTTTTTAAATATATTCTTTTTTTTCCATTTTAAGAACCAATCATTTGATTCGCTTTGGTCCACTCACTGTATTAATCTGCCTGACTGCCTATATGAGTTTTTATATCGCAGACACTGTGAAAAGCTTATTTCCAGCCACTATACTTTTCTGACAGGATATTCGAGTGTCATTAAGTGTCAGAATGTTGTAGGACTGCTATACAGGAGGTATTATTATGGATAGCGAAATTTTTGCGGTTTTTATTTGAGCTTTTTTTTTTTTTTTCAGATTATGATAGTAAAACATGAACGCGGTTATGAATATATTAAAACATGTGCTTGTTTATTGTAAAAATGTATAATAATGACAAAAAAATCTAATTTGTGCATTTCCGGGTGCAGATATACTGCCATTGTGGCTGGTGTATTCTGGGAAATTTTCATACCCGTTGGTTTCTTACCACTTCCCCTTAGCCCTACGTCTTCAAGCTAAAGAGAATTGGGAAAAGAGCTAAGGGGTAGAATTGGGATTGGGCCTAAGATGGTAGGAAAACATCACCAACATAAGGATTAATCAATCATTAATCTAAAGCCTCATGAAATCCCACCCATTTGATTTGATTTGCCCAGTTGGAGCTGGCTCTGACCTTCATTTATTCCTAACTCCATGAAATAGTGTCATATTTCACTGTATCCATATGATTTTTTTACAAACTCGCTTGTGACAGATTATTAGATAAGTGATGTTTCCGGCAATCAGAATTTACAGTGTAAGCTTGGCTTTAAGGGACAACATTTACTTTATATTAAGCCATTCAAGTCCTAATAAAATCCATGTCTTGAGGCTTTACTTACAGCGTTAAATCATTTGTCTTTTTAGTGAAGGGATATTAACAGTTTGTGTGTGTTTCTGTGGACTGTAGGGTCATGCCATTGATGGGACAACTCTAGTAGTGCGTTATCCAGATAGAATTCACACTCGTCTCGGAATGTCTAGAGATGCTTCAACTGAGTCCTCAGGAAAGAATGGGTGAGTGAACCTGGTATATACTGCATTGTTACAGACAGTGTGTATTGCACACAAATGACGGCTCACTCTGTTGAGATGCACATCAGAAGTGCAGCCTTTATCCTTTTTGTTTCAATTTAATTTAATGTATTTTATGTATTAGTTATAAGTATAAGATCATGTTTCAATCTTTTTAGTGCTTTTTTTAAAGCATCAGTACTGGTGATAACTAACAAAAATACATAATTTCTTATGATTGTTAATCGTTTATATTACATTGTTTACTTAGTGCGGGTGTTTTATTAATAAAAAAATTTGTGAAATCTTAATTTGTAAAAAAAAAAAAAAAACCTACATGCTTACAAATTTTTTCATATACATTATGGATGCTCATTTTGGTTTATTTTAGCAACTGACAACCACCGCTTGTTAACCAAATATTAACCGTTAACAGATTAATAATAAAATATTATTTATTTTAAAAAATAATTGACGTGTCTATTTTGTGTGATGCATTAAATATTTTAAAATACTTATTTTAATATGCGAACAGCAGCATACATAACATAACAGAGCGTCTTCACCCACCTGCAGTGTTTCCAACAGCATAGTAAAAAAGAATAAAGTAAATAGGCCTGCCCTGGATATTTTGCACTTAAATGAAAAAATAAAGACACTGACTGAATCTTCTTTTTAAGAAAACTGGCATAGGCTGTTTGTCAAATCAGTTAAATAATTAAATAAAAATATTAGGCTACCTTAAATCGATTGCTCCACTGAAAATTTGCATTAAATTAATGCTCTGCTGTTTTTCTTATATCCCAAACCCCCTTTCAACATTTTTAATAGAAGTTGTTTGTTTAAAGATTATGTCATAATAACTTATTTCCCCCGTCTCACTCGTGGTTCTTGTGTGCGCGCTGAGTGTGAACCTTAGGGCTCATATGTTGACTTTTTGTAAAGTATAGGCTAATAGCATATAATAGTTTTGTTGTTTACATATGCTTTAATTTGTATGCATGTTTTATAAGCTGTAAAATAAAAGCCTCAGTTTGGTACAAAGTTATCTTTATGCAAAATTCTAGAAAATCATTGGATTTGTTTGATTCGTAGCTTATGTGGTCTATTTTAAAAACTGATATTATGTAAGTACTATTGATAACTGTAATTTTCCAAATAGAAAAAGGTTGGTTTGTTGGTTGTACACTAAATCATCATTAGCCTTTGTTAAGTTTATGACTTGGCTCCACGAAGCACCGAGGCGATCAGCATTTGTCCACTTATCTGTCAAACTGTGACCAGAAATATTCTTCTTTCATTTAGCTGCTTTGACAAAATACTTCTGTAAACATGCACATGTTACCATCCCGCAAGTTATCAAATATTTGTTGCACATCAGGAGCCGATCACACCGATCACGCTTTTCCATTCCAAAACTCCGAGGCGCACCACACTGCCTATTATGTTGACAAGAAAAAAAAAGTGCGATGACTTTTTTAAAATTATTATTGTCACTAGGAAACGACTTAATCAGCAGGTCTATTGTGCGTAATTGTTGCTGTCAATGTTGTTATAATTGCAACATTTATTTACATTGTGATATTCAACATTTGTAAAGAAATACAGCTCTGGATAACTTGAAACGGCGACCACAAGACTCTCCTCCATCATTAAAAGTTATCCGTCGTCTTGACAACACAAACACTGCTGTCACCTCAACAGAAACCCCGCCTCTGCTTTCATTTGATTGAAGAATGAAAAAGATGCGACTGACGTTATGCGCTTTTCCACTCAGTGTTAAGTTTTATTTTTTACTGTGGTAGCACAGTGCGAAAACATAACGTGAGGCGCGCATAAGCAGTGCACAAAACACTAGCAGTCGCCAAAACCATTCAAAAAATGTCCGTCTCAACGCATCCAGCCAAACTTTAAAAACATATAAAACAATATCTATTAATTATTTAACTGATACCATTATTCGGTTATAAACGCACAGTTAAGGGTTAATCGATTAATCTGAGCATCCCTAATATACATGCATATAATGTAAAAATGCTGGGTTACACACAATCAATTTGTGTTGGGACAACATGAAGAATTAAGTTAACCAGTTAGATTTTACATATGAAAGATTTTCCTAAGAATTTAAGAATATTTTTCTTAAGGGCAAAGAATAAATGACTGGAATCTTTCAAGAAATGCATGGTTCTCACTTAAACAGCATTTAGATTAAAAATTTGAGTACTATGGGGTCTAGTAGAAACATTTTTGTCCTGAAGCTCTTGAATATAACCATTTTTCTTGTGTGAGAGTAATATTTGACCCTCATTTTGTTTTCCTAAATCTATTTCAATAAAAATGTCAGTTAGCTAAACATTCAACTGTTTGCAGCAATGCAGCCACAATTATCACAAAATATAAAGTAAAAAGATGAGGATGCTCAAGGGTTGATGTTTCATGGGGCATTAAATGTGGTCATATTTCAGTTTATTAATAAAATAACAACTTTTATTGTTTTGTTTTTTTCAGCAAACAGCCTAATGAATGTTATTTTTGGAGGATGTATGGCTGTAAGAATGAACGCTGCACCTTCAAGCATATTCCAGAAAACAAGGGCATCGATCGACCTAAAGCCAAACCACACACCTGACTCTCTGCATAATGTCAGAGATTTAAACACCGTCAAATCACTAGAATTAGTTGGATTTAGTAAATGTTTCAAATGCATAAAACTTTGGCGCATGGTGTTTTGGTCATTTAGCTGCATTTCATATCCTTTTTTTTCCTTTTAAAAAAAAAGTCTTAATATCTGCATAGGCGAAGAGAGTTTCAAGTTAGGATGAACAGGTATGATGGCTTAAGTTTAATTCACTTTTATTTTCTTTATAATTCTCCCACAGATTAATACATGTACATTTTTAAGTCAGTTATTGGTTTTAGTTGCTGGCTTTGCGAAATTGTGACATGATGCTTTATATTAAATATAAGCGATCAAAAAGTTGAATGATTGGTCACCGCAGAGGTTTAATTTTATTTTTTTTAAGTTTTCTGAAAAGTATTTCCCTTAATGATGGCATTGTCTGAGGGTTTTAAACCGTAAGTATCATTACACTGGTTTTATTTGACTTCTGACCTGCAGGATTTAACCTGCCTCAGTAAAAGCTGAACTGTTAAAATGTCGGATTCAATTTAAGATCGGTCTCGTGCCACTTCTGCTGTAGGAATGACCTGCAGTACACAGTATCATACCGTATTAGTTAGGCTGGAAAATGAAAGCTTTCAGTTGTAATTGATTTTCATTGTTATGCCTGTAAAGCACTACAAAATTGTTCTCTGTGCTACAATAAAAGGTGACCTGTGACATCTGCTATTTAGTAGCTTGGATTATTTTGTTTTGTTCTGCTGATAGCACACTACAAACTTCACATTTATATTATGACATTTATGATTTAAATATTGAAAAACTGTTACAGTAAACGTGATTGGAGGGTACTTTATAAACAAATTACTTAACTGTTGTGTATCTAAAAATAAAGAAATTGACCAAAGAATACCACAGATACTGTGAGGCTGGAAACACAGACAATCAGCTCCACACTGACCAGGTGGTAATGCGGGAAAGTTAACTCCTCCCCTTTCCTTCAATTACATTAGAGCATCTCCCGCAACCTCACCCTCCTGTTCATTCAACTCGCACAGAATGGTCATTTCAAAGTTTGAATGTTCAATATCAATCCAAGTGACTTTATCCATCAAGTTTGTTTGATATCATTTGAAATGTCTCAGTGCGACTGAGACAATGGTCTCATTCCCTCAATAATGGACATAATCAAAATAATAGATGTATAATGTCGGGTATCTCTTGACCCACTGCTAAGGGTGTGCCTTTACCTAGGGGTCTTCACTTGTAATTACCCTTACTTTCCTATAGGCAGAAACTTTTCAGATCTAACATGCCACTAAATGCTCCTTAAAGGAGATCCTTGCTTTGACTACTTGAGGGAAAGTTTTAAGATGTTTGGGGCGGTTCTGTAACCAGATCAGCCTGTAGTGTGGAGCTCTCATGCTCTATACTATGTATATTTTGAAATCAGGTGTGCAACCTTTGATCTTCGATCTATCTTTGAGAATTCGATGTCTTGTATTGATTGTTTATGAATTGACTGCATAATTGGCATCATATTTACCTGACTATTATATTATGTTTGAACGTATTCTGCTTAGTCTGTCATTATTCATTTTACTAGATTATGCTGTATTCTTATTTTCCGCACTTCTTTGTATTTTAGGGATCCGACTGACTCTTGATATGGATTCGAGTGTACTTAAGTGGAAACGGAGTTATTTCCATCTAGTGCAACAGTTGCACGACTAACCTAGATAGGGTGCCTGACCCTTGTTTGAAAGTAATGTTATTCTAAATTAAGTGTCCATGGGAAACCATGAGCTTGGCTAAACCAAAGTCATAATAGAGAACTGTAGTCCATTACATAATGACCTTGACCTCTGATTAGAAATGATATCGTCTTAACTCAAGGAAGTACATTTAAAGGGGACTAATCAAAAATACTTTTTTTTTTTTGCTGCAAGCATTGGAGCAGCCATCTAAGAGTATTAGTGAATTACCTCTGTTCAATAATTGTGAGGGACACCATCGGCAAAAGTAAAGGCAAAAGGTTTAAACGTGTATCTGAATTAATTAATTCATTTTCTTTTCGGCTTGGTCCCTTTATTAATCCGGGGTCGCCACATCGAAATGAACCGCCATCTTATCCAGCATGTTTTACGCAGCGGATGCCCTTTCAGCTGCAACCCATCTCTGGAAAACTTCCATACACACTCATTCACACTCGTACACTACGGACAATTTAGCCCACCCAATTCACCTGTACCACATGTCTTTAAACTGTGGGGGAACCCGGAGCACCTGGAGGAAACCTATGCGAGCGCAGGGAGAACATGCAAACTCCACACAGAAACACCAACTGACCCAGCCGAGGCTCAAACCAGCGACCTTCTGACTTGGAGGCTACAGCACTACCTACTGTGCCACCATGTCACCCCTTATCTAAATTATATATTGATATAATCTTAATGTTTTATGATTAATGTAAGATAAAACGATAGATAAATATATTAATATTCTAAACCACTTCATATTCATATTGGAGTCAGATTTGAGTTGAAATTAAACTGAAACAACAGTGTGCACTGGACACCTTCATTGAGCCAACTGGGTGGACCTTACAATAGTGCGAACACGCGTCCATGTGTGAGGGTCATGTCTCTGGATTTGTGAATCCTTACGTAATGTTAATTTTTAAAAAAGACTAGTTTAACTGTGACACTTGTTTATTTCAATGCCAGAGGTATAACATAAATTGAAATGATTAGGAAAGGTGTGAAGTCCAAGTTACAAGGCTAACAAAATTAGAATTGGGCATCAGGACCTGTAGTGCAATAAGCTACTTCACTAATAAAATAGCTTTGCTACTGAAAAGCTGTTTGATTTATAAAGTATCTACGCTACTGAGAAATGAAGTTAAGCTAGTTGCCCAACATTGTTAATGTAATAAAATTGCTTTGACCAAAGGAGCCTATTGGTCCCCTGAATTTCACAAATTGATAACTTTGTGAGTCATAATACAGTATGTAGTTCGAAATGAAAGGTGTTTTTATATATATATATATATATATATATATATATATATATATATATATATATATATATATATATATATATATATATATATATATCTGCACGCTCATAACTTTACTTTTACCTTTTGCAGATGCTTCCTTGGGTTCGACATTGAAGCCTTTGATGTCAAAAGTATTTTAACAGCTGGTAAACAAATGCACTGAACTGTTATATTTGTGCCCTACTCGGATATTAGGGTGAAATTGTTTTTAAATTTTCAGCAATGAAATGCTTTTTTAATCACTCGCCATGGTGGCAGCTTCAGCAGCAAAGATTATCATAATTGGTAGACGTAGTGCGGAAAACCAATCAAAAGCATCAGAATAGCAGCGCTTTAATAAATGGCCTTAGCAGAAGGCATCGCGCATATAAAAAACAGGTAAATCAATATTATTCAACAGATCCCAGATTTTTAGAGTTTTTTTTGATGGATCCCCATTTGTAATCTTCAATATTTTCATAAGTAACTAATTTGATTACACTTTTTTTTTTCTCAGTAACTGTCACAAATTACTCTTACATTTATTTTGTCATTAAATTATGTAATGCCAGTTGGCGCCAATAGCCTAGTGCAGTGGTTTCCCAAACTGTGGTACGTGTACCACCAGTGGTACGTGGGCTTCCTTCTAGTGGTACGCGGAGGAATGAAACATGTCATGTACATGCTACAAATATTTTTAAAATGTATCAAAATTATGTATATAATGTGCCATATATGACATATAGCCTTTGTTCCTGAGGTAATCTGCCATGTTTTTATTTACTTTGCAGAGTTGTAGCTACTTTACTGGGCCTACAACGCTACTGTATTTGAGTACTGCTCATTTTGGTGGTACTTTTAGAGAAAAAAAAATTTCTGAGGTGGTACTTGATGAAAAAATTTTGAGAACCACTGGCCTAGTGGTTAGTGCATCGACCCGAGTTCAATTCCCAAGTCGAGGTCCTTTGCCGATCCTTCCCCTATCTCTGCTCCCCCCACTTTCCTGTTTGTATATCCTTACTGTCCTATCAATAAAGCTTAAAACCCCTAAAAAATAGCTATATAAAAAAAAAAAGCAATAAACAAAAATTACGTAACGCCGTTGCATGCAGCTAGTTACTCCCCAACACTGCCATTTACACACTCAGGTGATTCTAAACTTTCATACATTTCTTCTGTTATAAACAAAACAAGTGATTATGAAGAATGCTGGGAAAAAACTACTATGGAACAATATTTCTTTGAATTCAACAGAAAGAAATTCAGGCTAGTTTTGACAAGTGGAAAATGGCGAATGGCGACTTGTTTTCCACGAATTTTCATTTTTGGGTAAACCATCCTTTAAAATGATTGCAGAAGAAAATAACCTTTTCTTTGTTGTTGTTCTTTACAAAAATTGGGACATCTTTGCAAATCTCTACCACTTATTAACTGACAGAGTTACTTTCAGTCAGGGAACAATGAGAGGTAATCGATCTCTGCTCTGTCGGGGATTTCCTGAGATAAATCTGGTGCTAAACCAAACAATAAAAGTCAGTTGCTCTTGTTTCTGTGTGAGAGTTATAGCGTGCATCAAGCAGTCAAAGGTCATGTTGCACAACTCAAATAAAATGAAAGTGGAAAGAACTTGAATTCAACCTTGTGTTTTAGTCATATCAGGATGTAGTCCGTTCCATCAAGACCTGAGGTTTGATTTTTACTCTTGGCAGCTTTTATAATTGTGCACTTTCAACATGTATGTGTTCAACGTCTTGATAGCAGCAGCAGCTCTTCTTGCATCTGAAGGTAAGGATTACATATTTGCTCAGTTCTGACTTGAGTATGTTGCTTTGGAATTAACCCTTATCCCATGTTTCTTTTTTTAAAGGGATTTTGGTTCGAGGACCTGCTCAGCCTCTGGTCGCACAGCTTGGAAGCTCCATGATTTTGCCTTGTTTTGTTGAAACACCTTTACCTTTGGATGTGCTGGAGGTCGAATGGAAAAGGACGGATAAAGAAGAACTGGTGCACTTGTTTCAGAATGGAGAGGACAAACCTGAGGCTCAGTATCAGTCTTACAGAGGCAGAGCAGGGTTTTTTTCTGAGCAGGTCCTTAAGGGAAACTTTTCACTCCTTTTAGAAAACATAACAGTTGCAGATGCTGGTAGCTACAAATGTGTAGTTTACTCCTATCTGGAGGTTGGAGAAACTTATGTTACAATTCAGTATGTGGGTGAGTGTTCGAATAATTAAAACTTTATCTTTAAACATGCCGGTTTTGAAAATTGCATTGATTAATCATGTTTTGTTAACAGAGCGTGTAGTTGTGACAGGAGAAGATCAGATTCTGTTTGCTCGTGTTGGTGAGGATGTGGTTTTAAATTGCATGGTCGACTCGCACATTCCTCCTGAACACTTCGATGAAGTCTCGTGGAAGAAGATGGACAAGCGGTCAGACATCATTCCTGTCTTACTTTTCCAAAACGGGACAATACTCACAGGATCGTCTGACAGGTTTTACAGGGACAGAGTCGAGTTTTTCAGAGAACAGTTTCCCAAAGGCAACTTCTCAATGAGATTAAAAAACGTCCAGACTGCAGACAAGGGCAAATACATTTGTGAAGTCCATACCGAATATTCTGTGAGATCTGCAACAGTGGAAATAGGGCAGCTAGGTAAGTTAATTGACAAATCTATTCATGAGATGTTTAGGGGGGCTGCTATTCAGCGAGGATGCATTCAATTGATTGTTTATTTAGAAAAAAACATTAAGAAGCACAACGGTGCCAATAGCCTAGTGCAGGGGTATTAAACTCAGTTCTTGAAGAGCTCAATTGGTACGATTTGGTGTGTTTAATTAGAGTTGAACTAAACTGTGCCAAGCTGCAAGAGTTTGACACTGCTGACCTAATGGTAAATGCATTGACATATTGTGCCTGTTTCGTTGTTCACAGCTTGTGGACAAACAATATAGAAAACTTGGTACTGGAGGGCCGGTGTCCTGCTGAGTTTTGTTTGAAGTCTTCTCAACACACCTGCCTGAGTGTTATAAGAATACCTAGTAAGACCCTAGTTAGTGTTTGGAGTAAGTAGGTTGTGAAAGATTATGTGCGTTTTAGTTCAGTTGCATTTACATTGATTAAACTCTGATGTGATATGATGGGGTGACCTGTGCCTCAACCCCCACAAACTGATAGGTGTGAATTTAATGACCCTTTTACAATCTCAATGGGTATTAGCAAAACAACAGCTGAAACATCTGATAAGAGGGCCCTGCTAAGCCTCTTAGGGCGTACTCACACTATGCCATCCGTACCGTGCCCAGGCCCGTTTCCCGGATCGTTTGAGAAGTGTGAGTGCGCTGAATCGGGCTCAAGCACGGTTCACTTGGCCGGCCCTGGCCCCGTTGGAAGAGGTGTGCCTGAGCGCGGTTCACTTGGGTTTTGGCGCGGTACACTTGAGTGCAAAACGCGCCAAAGCCCGAAACTGAAAGCGAGATGTGACTTTATAATCTGTTTCATATGGATTTATTAATCATTCTTACTGTTCAGTGAACGCAAACTGCCATAGTTTATTAAAGATGAGAACTCCTCACAGCACGACAGCTGCGCGGCTTCAGCAGACCTCCTCATTCCTGCTGCACGAGAGCTTTATTATTGTTTATGAGCGGCAAAAGTGGCGGATCTGTTCGGCAAAATATCTGACTGCGTGTCCCCGCATCCCTAAGGACTGTTCGGCGAAATATTTGACTGCATGTCTCTGAATATCAAACAACTGAAACGATATAACTAGAGAAATCTCCATTGTGCTGCTGAGTGAGAGCGTGCTTCTCACTGAACTGAGTGCGGGACGTCGGGGGAGACGGGAGGGGGGACAAGCGTGCTTTGGCCCGGTTCGAGGCAACTGTACCTAGTGTGAGTACGGCCTTAAACACAGAATGGTTTGTTTGATGCTAGTATAAAGTACTGTCTCACAGACATTACTTTGGGTTAAGTTAATTGAAGACCGACGAGTTAACATCACTGCTGAGGAACTGCACTATTGTCTTTAATAAAGTCTTCTCCCCGTAAGAACTCTGGTCAGCTTACTTATTTTATTTATTAGAGTAATCTCCAAAATACAGCAAAATTAAACAGTTGGAGCTAAAACAGGGCACCTCCAGTACAGAGTGTAGTGGGCCCTGCTTTAGAGTTCATAATAAAGCTACTCTTAAATCTGAAATGATAATTACAAAAGGATATCAGTAAAATCATCTTGTGTCTCTCATGTACTGTAGGACTGTCAGCTCTACACATCATTACACTGATGCTTTGTTGTATTTCCCTCTTGATGACTTTTGGCTTAAGTATTCCAATAACAATCTACATAACCAAAAAAGGTAAGAGAAGCATTTAAATGTTATACGTACAACATTTGATTAAATGTTTAGATCCATTTTAAATCTACTGTATGTAAATTAATAAAAAACTAAAAGGCACACGGTTATGTTCTTCCACAGATACTGGGACAAAAGCCATGTACATGAATTATTTGCAAGTCGTTTGTCCCAACGTCTGTTTATGTGTTGCATTTATTCTGTGGGGAGTAATTGAAGGTAAGCATCTTGAACTTTTCTAAATCTCCATGCACTTTGAGCAAAACATTTTTCTGACATTTGCTTGGTCTCTATTTCCCTCAGGGTCTGTCATTGAGGTAACAATGTGTGCGACAGTTAATCTGATGAGGATCATTTTATTATTCCTTATGGCTCCGTATTTTAATTGGAACACAACCGTTTCTGGTATGTGTCTGTATTTTAACAAAAAAAAAACCTATCCGCTTGTTAAGTGGTGACGTATGTAATAATGTTTCCGGGTTCAAGATGCCACTCATTTGAATTGAGAAAATGTTTATGAGCCCTTTTTAGTCATATCACACATTAAATTGAATTTTATATAAAGTCATAGTGTACACGACAATCTCTGGGCTTCCTGCATCACAAATACCAAAATTTTTACAATTTCTATAAAAAAATGAATCACTTTCTAACCATTGGATATTAGGTATGGATATATACATTGCGATCTTGATTTTCGAAAATATTAAATCACTTTGTAAACGTTTATTATTACTATTTGAGTCTCCCCATACAGTTTGATATAGCGCTTGAACCCGGAAGCCTCTTTGCGTGACATCACACTTAACAAGCGGATTTGATTGTGCATTACACACTTATCAGATACTTTATTAAATTCGCATGCTCAATCACTTATAAATGTAAATATCTAAAAATCAGCCAGCCAATCACAGAATCTCACTGCATTTAAACATGTAGATGTGGTCAAGATTACCTGCTAATGGTCAAACCAAGTATCAGAATAGAGAAGAGAGGTGATTTAAAGGGGTGGTCACAGTGTATTTTTAAGCTTGGTTGTGCTTATAAGATGCGAAGCAATGTGTGCTCATGCTTCACTTGTAGAAAATCACGTTATTTTACTTTGATTATGTACTGCTAGTCAACTAACATGAAAATGACTCATGTTTCCTAGTTCCTCTGAAAGGCCCGCCCTCAAGAGGCTCTGATTGGTTCGCTACATAATGCTGGGATTCGAAGATTGGCTCCACGTCACTCCCCTAGAAGTGTGTGATTTTTGCGCTGTGTAAACAGTCCGGTCAGAGGCTCAAAGCAGCTGTTAGCAGCCTTAGCTGCTTGAATCAGACAAAAATAAAGAGCACACAGCTCACACCTGCTCTCTAAATTATAGGGCATACTCACACTAGGGTGGGGCCGATAGACGATTGCCAATGGCCAAAAGACAACACGATGCTGAGCCGGCATCGCCGATCCTCCGGCCCGCCCCCGTTGCAAACCAGCTTGCGAAAAATACACACTTAGGCCTCAATTACACTAATACGTCTTAGTGTTAAAATGGCATTTTAGAACGAAATTATCCACATCCACACCGTGTTTTACCTAGCATTTCTGAACAGCCCTCTGTCCACTGAAAATGCACATTACGTAACCACACACAGCCACACACATGCGTTCGTCTGAGCTTTAATGAGCAGTGAACGTCGGACAGTTTATCCAGGATGTACCGCTGGATCACGTCTCACTATAGTTGTTAAACGTGATATTCAGACATCCCAAGTCTCCGGGAAGTTCCGGGAGTCTCCCGGAAATGCATAGAGACTCCTGGATGCCTGCAAATGAGTGATAATATCCCGGAAAGCTCGCATCACCCTCCCGGTCCTCAAATAAGTCGCGCACGCTTCACCCCTCACCACCGCATCACGTCGTGCGCACTCTGTCAAACACCATCTCCAACGCCCAACCCTCCGTTGTTTACATCCTTGTTTACGTCCTCGTTAACACTAGAAACTGTGCCTGTGGTTGATAAATTTTAACAAATAAAAACACTTACAGGTTGTGGCTAACAGTCCACAGCTTCGTCTGTTGGAGGAGTTTTAACCGAATCCAGCACTGAACTGAAAGAGATTCTGGAAGTTCTCCGTTGTCAAATGCTAGATATATATATATTATTATTATTATTATTATAATTCTCTGGAACATAAGCTGTAGTGTTTGTGATCTCACTAGCCTGGATGCATTTTTTTGTATTCTCTAAACCTCATTCACTGTAGGCTTTGCTAAGCTAACCCTGTAAAAGCCAGTGTCTCCCTTTGCATTGAAGTTTGAGAGTCTTACATTCAGAGATGTTGTTTATGTTCACACAGCTACATTACACATCAACTGAAGTTTAAAATATAATATAGTGGACCATTCCTTTAAGATAATTAAAACATGGTATGTATTTGGTTGTCTGAAATGCTAATCTGCAAAATTTGTATAAATTTCTAATCTGAAACATTCAACGACAAGTGCCCTAAAGCTAAACATTTGAGTTTTACCATTTTTTTATCCATTCGGCCGATCACAGAGTCTGGCGAGAGCAACATTAGCTTAGCATAGACCATTGAATTGGATTAGAACATTAGCATCTTGTTAAAAAAAAAACGTTTTGATAATTTTGCTGTTTAAAGCTTGACTCTTTTGTATTTATTGTAGATTATGTACAATGGCACAATGTAAAATGAAGAGCTGCTATTTTTTTAGGTAGATATGGCAATCTATTTATACATCGTTTACAAAACTAGTCTGAAAAAGAGAAAGTATTCGTATAGCAGTAGTTTTGTCAGCAAATGTACCGTGTTGATGCCAGTAGTCAGGGGAGAAGAACCAGACTTTTTCAAGTCAACAATCACTTAAAATAAAAAGAGTGTCTCTATCTGCACGTTTCCTAAATTGCCTTTAATTTCTACAGCAATTAGAGACTGTTAAATTGAACTATGTCATCAATTTGCGATAATGTGTAAATGTAACTTAATAGGGTTTTATTTTTTATGAAATAGTTTACCTTTAAGGATAAATTTGACTTTAAATTGTTGCCTTATTCCATTCCTCCCCAGTTGATTTTCCTGCTGTCATCCAAAAAGTTATTGAATTTATGGGGATCCCTGTTGCTTTTCTTATGATTTCTACTGCATTTTGCTCAGGTAATTAGATCATTTGTTCATTTAATATACTCGTTTAATGTATAATTTTGCATAGTATTCCACAAAATACATTTATTATGTCTAACACTTGTCTTATCTTTTGCAGCTGTCCTTCATGAGCTGTGGAATTCCTCTGAGTGGACTGAAGTGCTGCTTCTCAGTATTGTAATTATCGTGCTGTCATCCATGCCAGTTTTTCTTCAAGCTTTAAGCCACGTTTTCTTTGCCCTTTATTTTAATATCAACTTTTCTTATCGATTTATAACAGGTATGTAAGAATTCTGTACATTTTACTTGCTAATAAGAATCATTTTGGCTTGAGAAAGTGAATTGATTTAGGTTTTGAGCTGCTGCTGCTCCTTCTTCTTGGATCAAATTTCTAAATGAATATTTTCCTCAAGGTCTCAAGAAATGACTACAAAATTCAGGCCAAACCTTCTGCATGTTCAGACTTGATATATTAAACATTTTATAACTGATTAGACTTGTGGGTTTAAATGGGATGGTCAAGCTATAAAAAGAAACAGACTTTATTTGGCCCAAACGATTAAACATTAACAAAAGGAAAGGAAAGGCAAGTGACATGTGGCCAGGTGGTGACCCATACCCCTTTTGTACTCTGCATTTAACACAAAATAATGTTAGCCACTGTTCAAATAATGTTAAATTATGGTAGCAACATGTAAAAGAAAACTTCTTTTTCTTCACGGGGTCGGCTCTTTTTGGAACATGTCCATATGATAAAAAATTTTTTTTTGAACCTTCTGGCCAGCCTGTAGTATGGGCCTGCCACACTCATACACTATGGTCAATTTAGCTTACCCAATTCACCTGTAGCATGTCTATGGACTGTGGGGAAAACTGGAGCACCCGGAGGAAACCCACGCGAATGCAGGGAGAACATGCAAACTCCTCACAGAAACGCAATCTGAGTCGAGGTCCGAACCAGCGACCTTCTTGCTGAGGTGACAGCACTGCCTACTACGCCACTGCCTCGCCCTATGTAAAAGAAAACATTCAAACTAAAAGGTAATTCATGATAGCACCATGTTAAAACATGTTAACCACATGCTAAATCAAGGCTAGCAATGTGTGAAATATGCTTAGACGACAACAAGACAATGCTTTCTTATGCCAAACATACAGTAAATGTTTGTCACAGTGACTTTGAGGAAGCATTATGCCACATGAAGACCCTGCACATATTTTCTGCTGAAAAGGCATAGTATGTCATGTTCACAACAAACAAAAGCATACTTTGATGACCCCATGAATGTGTATAAAATTATGAAAGTTCTCTGCATATTATAATGACGTTACCATTATATGTGTCTTATGCCTTGTCCAGTTTTTATATTTATAATTTTTATAACCACCATGTCAGTAGGCGTTTCTATGTGGAGTTTGCATGTTCTCCCCATGTTCACCTGGGTTTCCTTCGGGTGCTCCGGTTTCCCCCACAAGTCCAAAGACATGCGGTACAGGTGAATTGGGTAGGCTAAATTGTCTGTAGTGTATGCGTGTAAAAGAGAGTATATGGATGTTTCCCAGTGATGGGTTGCAGCTGGAAGGGCATCCGCTGTGTAAAACATATGCGGGATAAGTTGGCGGTTCATTCCACTGTGGCGACCCCAGATTAATAAAGGGACTAAGCCGAATAGAAAATGAATGACTGACTGAAAAACCACCATGAACAGCTGTATACACTAAAACAGGGGTCTATTTTAAGTATTTGAACTTTGCATTAGCACTGTCGCTTTACTGGTATTAAAATGAAGATTGAATGTTTTTGGCGTTGAAAATAAACAGAAAATTATGCATTACATTGTCAAGATGTTTGTCAGGAAGAGTGAACTTTGTTTAGCGCACTTACACATAGCTTTTCAGAAATAAGTTCAACATTCTTTTAAACACATTTTTTCTTTATTATAGTTTCAAGCCTCTTGAGGCATCAAAAGCACTGGGTTCTTTATTGGGAAATCAGAAACCAATATTTAAAGCAGACACAAAACTTTACAAAGTATTCATTCATTTCAGTTAAGCAATTGAAATAAGAACCAAATAAGTGTTCACAGGTAAAAGTGATGTCCAACAAGCTGCAAATAACTGTACAATGGCGAGCGTGTCCGGTATGAAAGCCTCCGCAACTTGCGGCTGTATGTTAAAAAACTTTAATGGTTGGGTTTAGGGTTGGGGTAGGTGTAGACGTTAATAACTGTGACGGTTGGGTTTGAGATTGGGGAAGGTGTAGACGTTAATAACTGTGACGTTGGGTTTAGGTTTGGGGAAGGTGTAGATGTAATAACGATGATGGTTGGGTTTAGGGTAGGAAAGGTGTAGACGTTAATAAGTATTATGCTTGGGTTATGTTTGGTAAAGATGTAGACATTAATAAATATAATGGTTGTGTTTAGGATTGGGGAAGGTGTAGACATTAATAACTGTGATACTTGGGTTAAGGTTTGGGGAAGGTGTAGATGTTAATAACTGTGATGGTTGGGTTAAGGTTTGGGGAAGGTGTAGACGTTAATAACTATAATGGTTGGGTTTAGGGTAGGGAAGGTGTAGACGTTGATAACTATGATGGTTGGGTTTAGGGTAGGGAAGGTGTAGACGTTAACAACTAATATGCTTGGGTTATGTTTTGGTAAGATGTAGACTTTAATAACTATAATGGTTGTGTTTAGGATTGGGGAAGGTGTAGACGTTAATAACTAATACTTGGGTTAAGGTTTGGGGAAGTGTAGATGTTAATAACTATGATGGTTGGGTTTAGAGTTGGGGTAGGTGTAGATTTTAATAACTGTGATAGTTGGGTTGAGGTTTGGGGAAGGTGTAGACGTCAATAACTATAATGGTTGGGTTTAGGATTGGGGAAGGTGTATCCATTAATAACTATGATGGTTGGGTTTAGGGTAGGGAAGGTGTAGACATTAACAACTATTATGCTTGGGTTATGTTTTGGAAAGATGTAGACTTTAATAACTATAATGGTTGTGTTTAGGATTGGGGAAGGTGTAGACGTTAATAACTGTGATACTTGGGTTAAGGTTTGGGGAAAGTGTAGATGTTAATAACTATGATGGTTGGGTTTAGAGTCGGGGTAGGTGTAGACGTTAATAACTGTGATAGTTAGGTTAAGGATTGGGGAAGGTGTAGACGTTAATAACTGATGCTTGGGTTTAGGAATGGGGAAGGTGCAGACGTTAATAACTGATGCTTGGGTTTAGGAATAGGGAAGGTGTAGACGTTAATAACTGATGCTTGGGTTTAGGAATGGGGAAGGTGCAGACGTTAATAACTGATGCTTGGGTTTAGGATTGGGGAAGGTGCAGACGTTAATAACTGATGCTTGGGTTTAGGATTGGGGAAGGTGCAGACGTTAATAACTGATGCTTGGGTTTAGGATTGGGGAAGGTGCAGACGTTAATAACTGATGGTTGGGTTTAGGATTGGGGAAGTAGCAGACGTTAACAACTGTGATGGTTGGGTTTAGAGTTGTGGTAAGTGTAGATGTTAATAGCTTTGATGGTTGGGTTTAGGTGTGGAGTAGATGTAGACTTTAATAACTGATGGGTGTAGCACCATCTTGCTGACAACATAATTTTGACACATGGATCCGGATAACTGCAAGTTACGCCCCTTCATGTTATGCCACTGTCTTGCAAACTTCAGACAGACACTACTCCAAAAATGACTCTTTTAGTCACAAAGGTTGCCGAGCCCTGCTTTAAGGAGACATTAGTGGAAGTAGAAATCATTCTTGCAGGGGTTGAAGATCAAATGTGTCAGTTAACAGCCCACAACTTAAAATTAGCATAAATGCATGGTCTGTTGCTCTCATGTAGATTCATTAGGACATGTTTTCATGGAGGTGAGCAACCTTCTTCAAATGCGTCTCCTCTTCTTTAGACCCTCATCAAGGGTTAAAGAATGTAAGTAACACTCTGTTCTCTGAGTATCTGTCTCTTAGATATTTATTTAATTACAATGTGTGTCTGTTTTTATTTTCAGCCATGATCACAACAATATATGCCTTTGGGGCCATTTCTGCTGCTATATCAATCATAGTTCTTCCCATTCCAGCAATTAAGAAACGCCGTTCAAAACTTGACAGAAAACAACTTTATGATCTCAAATGGAGATGTTGTAAGTTTTGATGCGTCTTGTTCATGTCGAAAATCAAAATGATAATTCTATGTTTCTATTGAGTATTAAATGGATAGTTCAGCAATGAAAATTCTGTCATCATTTACTGATCTTCCCCTTGTTCCAAACCTGTTTGACTTACATTCTTCTGGTTTCCAACAATCTTCAGAATATCTTGTTTTGTGTTGAAATGAAAAATAAAGTGTACATTTTAAAACACTTGGATGTGAGTAAATGGTGAGAAAATGTTCATTTTTTTGAGTGAACTATTCTTTTAAGGTCAAATAAAATGAACATTTAAACCACTTGTTATATATATTTTTAAAAAGTCTCTGTTTTTCACTCTTTATGTGTGTTTAAATTAAACTTGTTTTTCAATTAAAGATGCAGACTCGATCAGTGATCATCTTTTTTTTTCTATATCTTTTTCTCAGATTTAGTTTGGGTCACTGTCATGGTTGTTATGCTCATCGGGCACAGTGGACTTATTTTATACTTTCTCAGCATTATTCTGGAGTATAGTAATGGTAAGCTTCTATCAAATGTCAGCAATCGTAGTTGGCTTATTTTTTTCAGATATACAAATTGCTTACTTTGATCTCTAATGTAGCCTAAATGTGTCCTTGATTACAGAGCGTTTCGGATGGATCTTTGTCACAGTTCTGCTCCATATCTTCACTGCTATTGCACCTCAACGATTCTCCAGAACAGTTCCTGGTAAACATCAATACACTAACAGCCAGACATTTTTTTTTCTTGAGCCAAAAACATTCTTAGTTCTATTAATGTAATCAGTTAATCTTAAATGTTCATCTTAATGCAGTAGTGCCATTCTTTTTACAGTTATGCAATATTTGTACATTTGCAGATGCAATTTACACTGCTTTGTTCATGTATGGGGCAGCGGGTCTACCAGTGGTCAACTCAATTTCTCTTGCAACAGAATTAATACTACAGACATGTAAGTGTTGTGGTCTAAAAATACTCTTTAAATGCTTAGTTCATCCAAAAAAATGAACATCATGCTATTAATTACTCACCCTCATGCTGTTCCAAAACCTTGAGACCTTTGTTCATTTTCAGAACATAAATTAAGATGTTTTAGGTGAAATCCGAGATCTCCCTCATTCTCTATAGGACAGCAACGGCCTTGACCCAAGAACAGTTTCTTGAGTGGGTAAATCTGAGGATTATCAAGCTACTAGAGTCATTTTTGCACACATAAAACAAAAATAACAACTTTATTTGACAGTTTGTGTTCTATTACTGATGTTGCAACCAACACTGTTCAAATCCCACATCAACCAACTGCGCAGAAATCAACTGTCCAACATTATTGTAAGCAATGTTGCCAGATTGAGGTAATAAGTCAATTATGTGAGGTGATGAGCTTCATAGAAGATCTGGCAGTTTGACAAACTTGGACAATAAACTTTTTTTTCCATAACTAAATTGGAGATGAAGATTTTAAACAGCAATCACAGAGATTATCAGATAGATTTAGAGAACGGTCTTATAAAGAGGAGTGGACACAATCTGCACATACAATTGAAGTCAGAATTATTAGCCCCCCTGAATTATCATCACCCCTGTTTATTTTTTTTCTCCAATTTCTGTTTAATGGAGGGAAGATTGTTTTAACACATTTCTAAGCATAATAGTTTTAAAAACCTATTTCTAATAACTGATTTATTTTATCTTTGTCATGATGTCAGTAAATAATATTTTACTTGATATTTTTCAAGACACTTCTATACAGCTTAAAGTGACATTTAAAGGCTTACCTAGGTTAATAAGGTGAACTAGGCTGGTTAGGGTAATTAGTCAAGTTATTCTATAACGATGGTTTGTTCTGTACACGATCGAAAAAAATTAGCTTAAAGGGGCTAATAATATTGTCCCAAAAATAGTTTTTAAAAAATTCAAAACTGCTTTTATTCTAGTAGAAATAAAACAAATAAGACTTTTTCCAGAATAAATAATATTATCAGACATACTGTGAAAATGTCCTTGCTCTGTTAAATACCATTTGGGAAATATTTAAAAAAAGAATAAAAAAAAAGTCAAAAGGGGGCTAATAATTCTGACTTCAACTGTAATTGCATCAAAGATATGTCACAAGGGGATAGCTTAGTTAACAAAAAAACCCCAAAAAAGTTGTTGTATTAATTGTCATATAAAATATTCGCCTGTGACTAAAGGCATTAATAAAGTGCTGTTAAAACATTGACATATTATTTCAAGTGATCCTACCCTCAAAGAGTGTTTTAAAACGTCACCTCATTTAGTACACAAAAGAACATGCAATATCTGGAATATGTTGGTAAGAGCTGATCTGAAACTCGCTCCACATTTTTTAAACACATTTTTATACCACATGGTAATTTAAAATGTGGGAATTGTTTACAATGTAACTTCACATATAAAACGTCAGCTTTTGCACATCTCCATACAGCGAAAAAGTTCAAAATTTGAGCTACTATTTCAGGCAAGACAGCCAATGTAATCTATATTCTGCGGTGTCCGTGTGGTTTATGTTATTTAGACAAGACAAGTAGAACTCAAAAATTGGCATTTCTAAAAATCGATGTGCTATTCGACAAGTCCTGTTACAATTTCTCAGCTATGAGTAGGCCCACACGGAATCTGTGCGCGCAGAATTCCGCAGATTTTTAGCTTATCATTGATTCTGTTTATTTACCTGTGTAAATGTGTGTACATTTAAATTTATTGTTTTTAAATTCATTTCAGTAATATTATTGACTAAAAAAAATTATTCAAAGATGATTCCTTGGATTTACAATTTTTTTTTAAGTTAAGTGATTGTAAACAATTTAATTGTGTTGAATTTAAACAACAAATTAAGTTGAACATTATTACATTTAATTTGTTTGTTTAAATTCAACACAAATAAATTGTTCGCAACAGTTCTGCATGCAACAATTTTATTTCAGTGTATGATTTATTTACAATACAGTGTGTAAAGTAATATATTCTGTCTTTTAGTAGATGTAGGAGATCTTAACAAATTGCTGTTACAACAAGAAGCCTTTTGGATTTTCACTCTAGATATAGTACATTGTCTCCAAAAGGTTTTAATGAGAACTTTGACAGTCGTCTCACTATCTCGCTAATGTTTAATTAGGTGTTTGGGTAAAGGTTTTTGGTTTATTCTGTTGTTTATTTTGTTGTGTCCTGGTACATACTGTTTTCTATAATTTGTGATGCACTATTATGGTTTGTTTCTGTATTTTCACTTTGAATATTTAAGTTGTATAATTTTTAAATGCGTACATTTTTAACGTTTTTTTTTTGTGTATGTGAGATAATAGGAGATTATGTGTTCTGGAAGTGTGCAAATTGGAGCACCTGATTATGATGAACACTGTGTCAGCCTTTTTGATTTAATGAATTAGCATTTTTAGAGCTTTGATGTGCAGTTTTTCATAACTAGATTGGGCCATACAAATTAAGGGAGTTTCCCCGGAGAATTAAAAACGAGTGTTGGCAGGTACTGTATCTTCATTTGTGTTCCAAAGATGAACAAAGGTCTTTGGAGTTTTCCATTTTTTGGATGAACTACCCCTTTAAGGGTTGTTTAATTTAAAAGATCACTAAAATATTCTGTCATCTGTTGGTTTAAAAGACAAGGGGGAGAGAACGGTGGATGATCTGCGTGTAATAGTGCTGCCGTTTGAAAGCATTATGTCTGGCTTGTGGCTGGTTTTACAGATTTCTGCTTATTGTGAGTTTTATTTGTATTTTTGATACTTGTATATTAGAGCTGTTATTGTTAAGAGGGTACAGTTCACTGTCATTGTCTTTATTTGTGCTTAACAGGGGCAGTTCAAGGGAAAGAGTAAGTTGTATTTTGCATTTGAAAGTATTTTGGACTGCTTAATTGCTTTAATAAGAGAGAACTGATTGTCTTTCAGTGTCCTAAGGGAGCTGTGTGAGCTGAGAGATTTCGTGGCACAGCGCACAGACTGCACACCACAGGTGACTTTGTTTAGAGGACACAAAACTAAATTTAAGGGCACCTATTTTACATCTTTTTAAGATTTAATATTAATATTATGGTTCTTCTGATTGTGCCACTTTAGGTGCAGTTAAAAACACAATTCAGATTTGTTTATTATAATGTGTTCAAAAGTGTCATGTTGGGGGCTGTACACAGGTTGTTGTTTTAGGGGTGTGTTGCTCCACATAAAAGTTAGTTTCGACTTTCCGCCCAACTTAACAAGAGGGCGAAGCCAAGAGCTCCCCCTCTTTGTGTATGGCAACAGACAGGCAGACAGAGAGAAGCAACATGAGTGAGAGGACCAGCATTCAGCCGTACATGTACGACTCGGACACAGAGCAAGCAGAGACTACCGTTGAGGAATTATTGTTCCTAATGTGTCAGAGTGGTAGTTACAAAATCATTTGTGTCTTTGTATAGTTTTACAGCCGCTATGTAACAATGCATACCTATATAGATGACGCATGCAACGATTAATCGGTTTCACTATTAACCACGCTTTAATGCGTGAAATAGTGAAATAGTTACGGTTAATTAATCATAAAGGCTTCTCAACACCTTTTTTCTGCACGGAACAAAACTGCAGCAATAACCAATAACTAATAACCACGCACACTGGATTAACTTTGACTGAGGCTATAACTAAGGCAAGGTCGTTATTTTTAATAAAGGGACGCATACACGAGGCAACGCCCTCACACTTTTCAGCCGCACCTACTGTAGTTGAGATGACAGGGAGCTTCTGTCACCACAGGAAATGCAAACGACTAAAGTTTATTCAAGACACAATGAAAAGTAGACGTTTGCAAACCCACCTAAAGTTACAAACAATGGCGTCGATGAGAGCGATCATGTAGTGAATGTTGATCCGCCAGCTGAGATCAATTGAGGAATTTTGGAGAGAGTGCGGAATGACTCTGTGGATCAGCTGTTTTTAATGGCCTGAATCTCGATACGTTGCATTCACTGCGTGTTCAGCGCAAATGGCCACTAAAAGTAAAATCTCTGTTGCTCATTCACAGGAAGTAGATGAAGGCACTTGGGTTGAGCCCAATGAGCCTTACATCCAAAAATAGAGCAAGGGTGTTTTTTTGGTGACATTGCTTTGACTCACACGCTGAAAATGGCGGACGTGAAACAACAAACTAAGGATGTGGTAATGCACGCCTTTCAATCAATATTGGTGGGCAGGGGGGCCGCAATCTTACGTCAAGTTGCGGTCGGTCTCAAAACTGCTCCAATTGGTCCACCGTTTTTATGTTGCTAAATTGAAAAAAAAAAAAAAAAGACTGGGTGTGTTTATCTCACCCCAATATGATGGTCTATACACTATACTTACACTCATGTCTGTCCAAACAGCTTGAAAATTAGATGTTTCACCATATGGGCCCTTTAAAGAATTAATATGATGTTTAACACCTTTTCAAAGCATTTTTAATGCTCTTAAAAGGATTACTTTCACATTTTGGTTCTGATGACAGAATGCAGTGGGGGAAAATGAAATGTTTATACATTACAGCAAGGAGACGTTGGTAAATCAGAGAATTTGGAGGAACTTTCGGAGGCCCAAAGATTTCAGCCAGAGCAGGAGCCATTCCTGGAAGAGCAAGAACAAGAGGTTTAAAATCTTAAAACAGTCACATAATGGAATAGTTCACCCAAAAATGAAAATTTACTCACTATTCACTTGTCCCCAACCCTTTATGAGTTTCCTTTTTCTATTGAACACAAACAAAGATATTGTGAAGTAAGCTAAAGACCTGTAACTATTGACTTTCATAGTAGGAAAATCAAATAATATGGAAGTCAATGCTTACAACTTTCCAGTTTTCTTCAAAATATCTTCATTTGTGTTTAATTAAAGAAACTTTGGTTTCAAACAAATGAAGAGTGAGAACATGATGACAGAATTTTCATTATTTTGTGAACTATTCCTTTAGTGCCATGTATGATAAGCTAACATTAAACATTCTTTAACCTTATTTAACTGAAAAATCAAACATTATTGTATTAATAAATTATACTAGAATGACATTCATGCTTTGGTGGACATATTTCACATAGAGTTGAAGTCAGAATTATTAGCTCCCTTAAATTATTAACTCTCCTGTTTATTTTCCCCCCCAATTTCTGTTTAACAGAGAGAAAAAAAAATTCAACACATTTCTAAACATAATAGTTTTAATAACTCATTTCTAATAACTGGTTTATTTTATCTTTGCCATGATGACAGTAAATAATATTTTGCTTGATATTTTTTAAGACACCTCTATACAGCCCAAAGTGATATTTAAAGGCTTAACTAGGTTAATTAGGTTAACTAGGCAGGTTAGGGTAATTAGGCAGGTTATTGTATAATGATGGTTTGTTCTGTAGACTATCGGAAAAAATATAAAGCGGCTAATAATATTGACCTTAAAATGGTTTCTAAAAAATTAATTTAATTTTAGCATTTTTAGAGCTTTGGTGTTGCCGCCTTTATTGAATATATAATTTACACTACTTGCGTTTTGTCTGAGCACCCAGTTAAGAAGGGATGTGCAGTTTTTCATAGCTAGATTGGGCCATACAAATTAAGGGAGTTTCCCTGGAGAATTAAAAACGAGTGTTGGCAGGTACTGTATTTATTTAAATTTAATTCTAGAAATAAAACAAATAAGACTTTCTCCAGAAGATAAAATATGATCAGACATACTGTGAAAATTTCCTTGCTCTGTTAAACATCATTCGGGAAAAATTAAAAAAAAGATAAAAAATAACTAAATCAAAGGGGGGCTAATAATTCTGACTTTAAATGTAAATGCATATAGTGTTTGAATAACATGTCACATATGTCATTTCATAAAACATGAAGATCTAAGAAATCTGCCCTACCTCCTGGTGTATTGCTTCAGCAATAAAAGAACCACAAAACCAATCAGCAGCATCATGACACTGCTGAGCTGTTGATTGGCTGAGGATCTGTGTGTGTGTGTGTGGAGAGAGTGTGCATGTGTGTCCTGTATAAAGCACACTGCTCTGCAGCATTTCTGAACTGGTGCAGTGCCGGTTCATCTCCACTAATGGTGTGCAGAACAAGGGGGACTTGAAGAAAAAAAACTTCCAACCAACAAAACATTAGCATCATTTGAAAACCAAGCAAAAAAAAAAAAAGCAACAAAAATTACTTCATCATGAGCTTCGACCCTTTCACCACCTCCTCCCTCTCCCGGCGCTGGGAAGATTTCCAATCCAGCACCTCCACCTACCGAATCTCCAGGGGGCCCTTGTCCTCCTCCAGATGGGCCATGCGTTTGGAGCCTCTGCAGCGCTGGGACCAGAGCGACCTGAGTCAGGCCAGTTTAGTAAATGCAGAGCTGCTGGATCTGCGGGCCCAAGAACGAGAGCAGCTAGTGGGTCTGAATAACCGGTTTGCATCCTACATCGAGAAGGTCAGACACCTCGAGCAGCAAAACCGGGCTCTGCTTCTGCAGCTGGAAGCCCTGCGCCGCAGACAGAGTCAACCGTCCCGCGTGCAGCAGCTCTACCTGCAGGAGGTCCGGGGCCTCAGGGAGCAGCTGCACCAGGAGGCCCAGAATAAAGCACGCATGGAGGTGCAGATGGAGAAGCTGAGGGACGTCCACGCACAGCTGCACGAGCGCTGGGAAGAAGAGGCAAGGCGGCGGAGCCAGGCTGAGGAGGACCTGCAGCAGCTGCGGGACGAGACAGGTCAGGCTGCTCTGTGCATCTGCGATGCAGAGGCCAGTGTGGTCTCCCTGGTGCAGGAGCTGGCCTTCCTGAAGCAGGTGTTCGCTGAGGAGCAGGAGGGACTCAGGGTCCAGCTACAGGTGGCCAGCCTCAGCGTTGAGCTGGACACGAGCAGGCCAGACCTGTCGGCGGCTCTGAGAGAGATCCGGGCGCAGTATGAGAGCCTGGCCGGACGTAACATGCAGACTGCCGAGGCCTGGTTTCGGGGGAAGGTGGCGAGCGTAGTGGAGCTGACAGATAAGCAGGAGGAGGCTGTGCGCGTAGTACGTGAGGAGACAGCTGAGTACCGGCGCATGCTGCAGTCTCGTTCTGCTGAGGTCGAGGCACTGAGGAACGTCATCAATTCCCTGAACATACAGCTGGGAGAGCTGGAGGAGATGCAGAACTCTGAAGTCACCAAGTACCAGGTACAGATCATTAGCACTGATTGATTTCAGCATAACTACAATAGGGCCATGCAAAGTTTTTTGTGGAGACTTTCTACTGTTGACCACAGAAATATGATGGATTGAAGAGCGGAGCGGATATACAGTTGAAGTCAGTATTATTAGCCCCGCTGTTTATTTTTCCCCCCAATTTCTGTTAAACAGAGCAGATTTTTTCAACACATTTCAAAACATAATAGTTTTAATAACTCATTTCTAATAACTGATTTATTTTATCTTTGCCATGATCGCAGTAAATAATAATTAACTAGACGTTTTTCAAGACTTTTATACAGCTTAAAGTGACATTTAAAGGCTTAACTAGGTTACTTAGATTAACTAGGCAGGTTGGGTAATTAGGCAAGTTATTGTTTAACGATGGTTTGTTCTGTAGACTATCGGGGGGGAAAAATTTAGCTTAAAGGGGCTAATCATTTTGACTTTAAAATGGTTGAAGAAAAATTAAAACTGCTTTTATTCTAGCCAAAATAAAACAAATATTCTCCAGAAGAAAAAATATTAGCAGACATACTGTAAAAATTTCCTTACTCTGTTAAACATCATTTGTGAAATATTTTAAAAAGAAAAAGAAAAAACAAAGGGGGGCTAATTATTCTGACTTCAACTGTATATAATAATAGAATAAGCAGATGTTTAAGGGCATAACACATTTGCAAAAATGTGGGGTACAACAGGTTGTCACTACGACAGTTCTCTCAAGGGTTCTTTGTAACATATCTACCCCTACAAGGGGCATATTAGTACTTTAGAGAACTAAGATACTGTTTAAAGGCATAGTTCACCCAAACATAAAAATTGACTTGCCTTTCCAAACCTTTATGGGTTTCTTTTTTCTGTTAATCACGAGAAGATAAAATGTTGGAAACCTGTAACCGTTGACTTCCATAGTGGAAACAACAAATACTATGGAGGTCGATTTCCAGCTTTCTCCAGAATATCTTCTTTTGTGTTTAGAATTTTACAAACATAATTTTAGCCAAAATATTTACTTCTAAAAAGGCTAACAATTTGCCAGCAAATAAAAAATGAATCCCTATTTACTCTCCCTCAAGTGGTTCCATACCTTTTCAGGGTTTTTTTTTTGGTAACACTTAATTTTGATGGTCCATTTGAGTATTAGTAGACTGTCTGCTCAATATATGTTGTTACAGACATTAAACAGACATTTAACTCACTACAAGAAACATTGCAAGTACATCTCAACCTAACCTAACAGTCTACTGATAATCTAATGAGAATTAGTTGGCATGTAGATGCAATGTAAGTTAAACTCAACAAACAGACGATCAAAATAAGGAGACCATTTTTTTTCTGTAGAACACAAAATAAGATATTTTGACAAATGTTAGAAACCTGTAACTGTTAACTTACATAGCAAGGGAAACAAATATGGAAGTCAGTGGTTACAGGTTGCCAACATTTTACAAAATAGCTTCTCTTGTGATAAACAGAAAAAAAAAACTCTTTGGGTGAACTATCCCTTTTACGGTGCCAGTACAAACCATTCAGTGGTACATAATGCACTAAGATGTCTGAGTGTATTCCCCCAGTTACAAGCTTATGTTCTCTTTACATTACATTTTCTTGGTGTCTCAATTATTTTCTTCGAGTGGACACGAGCACAAAGACTTGACATAGAGACTCAGGATTCAGGTCAGGAATAGGCTGTAAATTAGTTCTACATGTCAGAGCGCTGACCTTTGCTGTTCTACGGTCTCAACATTGATGAAAGACTATTTCTGCTGTGCTTTAGTCATTGTGTGGTCGGAGTATCACCAGAATAGCACAAATGTGTTAATGCTGACTCACTCCCTCAGTGCTGAGTCATGGCAGACAAACTGAGTCGAACAGATTGACTTCAAACAGAAATGTACTGCTGACTGAAATATATATACGTCTGCTATATTACTCTGTATCTCTGGCACAAATAGAGCAGGAATGCTTCTGTCTGTAAATAATTTGCAAATGCTTTCCTTTCAACCACCTCTAGGGGAAGATAGGTGACCTAGAAAGGGACATTGGTGATGCGAAAGAAGAAATGTCTCGATATTTGAGGGAGTATCAGGATCTGCTTAATGTGAAGATGGCTTTGGATGTTGAGATTGCTGCTTACAGGTAATATGCTTGACAGTATGGCATGTAGTTTCTTAAATAAAATAAAGCTTGTGCAGTTAGAATACATGAAAACTTACTAAAGTTAAGTGACTTGGATTTTAGATTACAGATGGGTTTGATTTGATTTGAATTTACCGTTTATTTTTGTCTTGACAGGAAACTCCTGGAAGGAGAAGAAATTCGGTTTACGTACTCCTCCCTCCCAGCCCTTGCTTAACCCTGGGTTCATACTCTGAACACAGTTGAGTCAGACCCAGCTTAAATCCTAAAACAATAACCTAAACATCATCCCTGACAGCTTTAATCATTTTCTCCAAAACCCCTGCTAAACTTGACCCATCGTTTAAAGGGATAGTTCGCCCAAAAACTCACATTCAAGTGTTTCAAACCTTTATATGTTTCTTATTATTCTGCTGAACACAAAAGAAGACATTGTGAAGAATGTTGGAAACCGGAAGCCATAGACATTCATAGTAGAAAATAAACAAATAGTACGGTAGTCAATGGCTGCCAGTTTCCAAACATTTTCCAAAATATCTTCTGTTGTGCATAACAGACACAAGGTTTGTGAGAAATAAATGGTGAGTAAAGGATGATAAAATTGTAATTTTGGGGTGAACTAACCCTTTAAGACCCCCTTTAACCAAATTTACCCGCAAAACCTTTACATTTACCTCAGATCCTAGTTCTTTAAGTTACTTCCACCCAATTCAGCCATGAAACTAAACCTCCTCATTTCATTGCTTCAAAGTCAGACGAGCCCTTGTGTCACACAAGAGGTCCACATAAAGAGGTCCCCCTTCTTCTTTACACTTGAAATGGACAAATGACCACCTTAGAGACATCCCTAGGGGTAGCACTCACTCAGCCAGAGCTCAGTGTCCTGTTGGCAGATTCTTACAGAGACTTGGAGATGGTTCCACTTAAAGAACACTTCACACACTTTAGAACCTTCACCTGTTGATCATCTGAGTCAATGATGACCCGATATATGCAGACTTTTAACCAATTGTTTGTTGAGGTGAATCATCGTGCTTTCTCAGTTGGCCTCGGGTGTTAGGAATGACCAATTTGTTAATTCGGCATTAGACCAAGAATCAGCCAACAGGACACCGTCCACCATCACTGGCTCTTTAGAGGATATGTTATTAGTGCAAAGGTTTAAAAGATAGTTCACCCATAAATGAAAAACCTCTCATCATTTACTCGCTCACGAGTGGTTCCGTTACCTTGAACACAAAAATATATATATATTTATTTTAATTAATGTATTTTGGAGAAAGCTGAAAACCTGCAACCATTGACTTCCATAGTAGGAAATGCAAATACTATAAGGTCAATGGTGTCCAACATTTTTCAAAACATCTTCTTTTGTGTTCAACAGAACAAAGAAACGTGTAATGGATAAGTGAATGATAGAATTTTCATTTTGGGGTGAATTATCTCTAAGTGTTTGCTATGTTTTGATGTGTTATTTTTCAGTTAATGTTGTAGTAATGTTTTATTTGCTGCGTCTGTGTTCTGCGTTTCATGTGTTGTTTTGTTGTGGATATTTGATTCTTTTTGCTTCAGCATTAGCAGTATTTCAAGCAGGACTAAAAATCAAGAGTAGATATGATGAGATGTCTAGGAGTGTTTTTGAACTTGAGGGTAAAATGCTACCATCATGCTGTCATCTGCTTTTGTTGTGTCATCTAAGTTATAACGCAAGTCAGTTATTAGTCATTTTGGAAATGAACAAGAAACCGATTCTGTCTATCGTGGCAGTTTCTGAACCGAATGGTGCTGTATGTTTGCACCTAAATTACACGATGAATAAAGCAACAGTACCTCTTCTGGAGCACGCCTCTGGTGTGTGTTTGTTTGAGTGTGTGTGCAGGACTGTAGCAAGGTCGAAATATCTGAAGTTCGCTCATTTATTTGGGGTGTGACGGGACGCTTACTCTTAGAGATTGGGTTCACGAGAACGAGACGACACAAGATTTTAACAGTATTTTTAGTAAATCTTTAATTATGAAATATATGAATAGAAAAGTGTGTTTTATTCAACTGAAGAAAAGTAATCAAAAATTGCAAAACTATTAGGTGCTTTTTTTTAAATCAATTTGTAATGAATGTTATTTTACTTCTATCTTAATTAATTCTATGCAGTAAAGCACATGAAAACACTACAAAATATTTTTCTTACAGGCTATGTGAATGGAAAAAGAATTTTAAATGTTAGCAACAAACAATATAGTGTTGTTTCAAAATCAGTTGTGTATTGATATATTTTTAGTAGTCACAGCCTAACAGTGTCTTTTTTTAAACACTGTAGCTTAACAATATCTTTTCACAAAAAAAATTTGTGAAACACTGTAGCTTAACAATATCTATTTACAAAAAAAATTTGTGAAACACTGTAGCTTAACAATATCTTTTCACAAAAAAATTATGTAAAGTTGTTTTTTCAAAAAGGTAAGTGCAACATTTATTCTTTTTTTTTTTTAATGCTTTGGCTTGGTCTCTATTTCAGAGGTTGCCACAGCGGAATGAACTGCCAACTATTCCAGTGTATGGTTTACGCAGAGAATGTCCTTCCAGCTGCAACCCACTACTGGGAAACTCCCATACCCACTCATTTTCACACACACACATACACTAAGAGTGTATGAGCCAATTTAGTTTAAATTCATTTCCCCTATAGTGCATGTCTTTGGACTGTGGGGTAAAACGGAGCATGCGGAGAAAACCCCCTTTAACATGGGGAGAACATGCAAACTCTACACAGAATTGCCAACTAGCCCAGCCAGGACTCGAACCAGCAACCTTCTTGCTATTAGGCAACAGTGCTAACCACTGTGCCACCATGCCGCCAGAGTAGCAACACTTTTTTTATTTTTATTTTTTCAAAAAATAGAGTAGTGTCTTCATGTTAAAAAACAGTAGTGAACAATGTTGAACAGTATTTTAACATTGTTTGTTTCAAAAACAGATTGAGGTAAATTTGATTTTATACTTACATTCAGACTTTCCTCTTAATAATATAATTTCAATTATTTGTAAATTCCTAATAATGAAATCATATTAGCAGTCAAGGACTATCAAAGTCCAACATTGTTCAGTCAAAAAAATTGTGTTAATGTTGTTTTGAAGTCATATTTACATGGGAGTTCAGTCTGCATATTTAAATGGTAAACAATATAGGGAGCGTGTCACTGAACAAATGTGCGATTATAAAACCAACTTCACCTCAGTTCAAAAACTGTAATGTACCAATTTATATCCAAACAAAGTACTAAAAATGTCATTTTCAATAACAGTAGTGTAACTAACTAACTAAAGCTAACTAACATCAACCTAGAACACAGACATAAAAGCTCTTACACCGCGCCTCAGTACTGGACAACGTTGACAGCACACAGGAAATATCTACCCCTAAAAGGACTTTGTCATTTTTACATGACGCACACATTTTTCATTCATTTTCTTGTCGGCTTAGTCCCTTTATTAATCCGGGGTCGCCACAGCGGAATGAACCGCCAACTTATCCAGCAAGTTTTTACGCAGCGGATGCCCTTCCAGCCGCAACCCATCTCTGGGAAAGCACACATTTTTATGCTTTTGAATTATTGTTTTTCTAAAACGTTGATAAAAACTTACACAAATCTTTAGAAAACGTTCTAAAATGTACAATATGTTTATTCGGTTAAGATTTTTTAAATAGATTTTATAGTTAAAAATGAACTCACCATCTTGCCTTGAGAGCACATAACCTAATGTGTGCTGATGTCTTGTTTAGTTTGTGTTTTCTAATAATGTAAAGCAAATGGCGACTATCTTTTAGTTTTATTGGCTTAAGGAGATGTCATGTCACATTACAAAGATTTAATTTTGTTGGTTAAATCATTAGTGTTTTAAAAAATGGAATTTTCTTACTGCCATTTATAAATGACAGTGCCCTATAGAGGGTTAATAAACTCGTTAAGCAACAGATAGAGGTAAAGTTGGTTTTATATTCGCAAATTCGTTTATTTAGAAGTCTCTTTATTGTTTACCATGTTACTTTTGAATATTCGATCAGAATTAGCATGCAAGTATGACTTCAAAACAACATTAGCACTAATTGACCGTGAACAATGTTGTAATGTTGTACTTTGATAGTCATCATTGGCTGCTTATATGATTTCCCTATTTAGAATTTGCAAAGAATACTTTTCTAAAATTATATTATTAAGGAGAATGTCTGAATATCCGAATATAAAACCAACTTTACCTCTATAAACAACAGAATGATTTTTTTCCCAAACGCTTCCCATCCTAGAGAATGTGGTTGCAGTTCCGCTTCTTGACAGCACGTGGCAGTAGAGAGCGCTCCGCCTTTATCTAACTGTGGGTCGAGCAAAAGAAACATCTTCCGTGGTTAAAGTTCAAGAACATGGCAGCCCGAGTGTAGATGCTCAATGTTAGAAAGCCATGCTGGAATCTGTTAACGTTACTTTTGCTGCGCTTCTTTAGTATTTCAGACTTTGTGTTTTATGTAGACGCTTACCATTAATCATACACTCGTCAACATGTTGCGAGCTTTATCGCGGTGTCCGCTTCCTGCAGTCCGTCTTCTCGCCCCTCGCTCTGCTGTATTGGTCGAATCTGTCAGGGGAAGAAAATCTCGCACAGACCCCCAAGCGAAGTCAAAAATCGGACGGATCAAGACTCCTCCGCCCGTGGATCCAGTGGAAATGATCACCATGAAGGAGCGATACACGGAGTACAATCTGATCCTTAAAGCCCTGCGGTAAGAGTAATGCTCATTAATAGTTATCAAGGTCACAGTGTCTCTCAAATAACCTCCTTATTAATGAAATAGAAACTTTTTGTTATTTGTGTTGACAATAGTGTTTTTGAACAAGGTGTAATAAAGTAACGTTCATCTGTTTTGTCAGTTCTGTAACGCTAGTTGCTGTGGTAACACCAGCTATAGTACACAATACACCACAGTTTACTGTAGTAATTTTTAGACTAATGTATACTATAACGTTACTATTACAGATCCTCAGTTCACCACAGTTTATACTACAGTATGCTGTGGTATTCATTAACAAAGTTTTGTAAATAGTACCATACATGCTGTATAAGTTAATCAGTGTCGGGGAGGTTACTTTGGAAATGTAATAGATTACAGATTACAAATTACTCTATTTGAAATTTAATAAGTAGTGTACCTTTTCGATTTCTTCATAATATTAAAGTAACTGATTACTTTTTTAAAATTACTTTTAAGTTTCTAATGGATATTTTCAACTAAATCATTTTCAAGCATTTCTACCAAGCAGGTGTGACCTTACAGTAGCTCTGTTACTGTTAGAATCTCAAGATCTTTCATCACATTAATTAAGATTATATAAGTTTAATTTTAAAGTGCAGCCACCACAAAACCAGATCTTATAACAACAAAATAGTTCACTGTTGTTACAAAATCAAAGTTGGAATTAGATGTGTAGGATGATTTATTTTTGGCATTTGCAATAATAATATACATCTGAGCTTTTTTTTTTTTGCAATTTTCATTTTTAAATTGAAGCAACTTAAATCCAAGTCAATCATATCTTAGTGATCAATTAATCTGTCAATGAAACATATTAGGCAGAATTGTTCAGTTCCATTATTTATTGTAAATGATATGCTGTACTAAACAGAAACAAGTGATAGTATATAACAGCAAAAACTAAAAATCCCATAAAACCAGGTGTTACACATTTAAAACACTAGTAATTTGTAGCAACTAGAAATATTTAGGAATAAGGATTATATTGTATATTTACTACCCTTCATTAATAAATTACACTACATAATGTAGGATCTCCCTGCATTTGCGTCGGTTCCCTCCGGGTGCTCTGGTTTCCCCCACAGCTCAAAGACATGTGGTACAGGTGAATTGGGTAGGCTAAATTGTCCTTAGTGTATGAGTGTGTATGGATGTTTCCCAGAGATGGGTTGCAGCTGGAAGGGCATCATCTGCGTAAAACATGTGCTGGATAATTGGAAGTTCATTCCGCTGTGGCTACACTGGATTAATAAAGGGACTAAGCCGAAAAGAAAATGACTGAATGAATGAATGTGGTATCATTAGTAACTATCATGAACTAATAGTAATTTTATTAACGTCTACCCCCACACCCCAACCTCAAACCCAACCATCACAGCACTGTGAAAACAGTAGTTATACCAAGTGTTATTTATGTTATTTATTAAATTACCCAATAATTTGTATTTTTTTATTGCTTACCCCCGCCGCAACCCTAAACCCAACATTCACAGTACTGTAAAAATATAAAAAAAATTTAAACAGTGTCATAAAAACCGCTGCTATATTAATGTGAATATCGCACGTTTGGCCGACTGCGTGTCCGATCTAGACTTTACCCTAGACACCGGCCTCACAGCTCTGTGAATGTGCCTTTACTTATTGATCTGTGATTGGTAAATGTAGCTTGTGTGGACGCTACTGCGCTACTTCACTAATAAAATAGCTTCGCTACTGAAAAGCTATTTAGTTTATAAAGTAGCGGCGCTACTGAGAAATTTAGTTAAGCTAGTAGCGTCATTACTTGTAGCGATGCTACTGCCCAACACTGTTAATGTGATAAAATTGCTTTGGCCAGAGGAGTCTGCTTGTGCCCTGAATTTCACAAATCGCTAACTTTGTGAGTCATAATATATCATTTGAAATAAAAAGGTCAAATTTTATTTCTGTACACTCACAGTAACGACAAGCTAGGTTACATACCTAAGATGCTTCCTCAGGTTTGACATTAGCTATGTTTCCATCCAAAAATGCGAATAAACTTTAAGCGCATTTGCTGCAGTAGGAGAAGCTGGATTAATCTTTTCTAAATGAATGCACCTTAGAAGACAATCCTGACAAGCAGTGAGCGCGCAGTGGCGTTTGAAGGTGTCAGACGCGGAGCACAGGCGCTCTCGATTCTGGAGGTCATTAATAATATAATAACATTAATACTGATATGGAAAGGCGTTTTATAATGACCAAAACAACATTTCAGATGTTTTATAATGTGCTCAGCCTGACGTTTTATCCATTCACACACATTTTAAGCATCACATGATCTCTTTTAACAAAATCACATGACCTTTTTTAATGCGCATGCTGGAGTTTGTGCGGTAAAAGTGTTTCCATCACAGTTTATGCACATCTATCCTTATCGAATAAAAAGTTTATCCAACCCAGTTAGGCGCGTATGTTTTTTATGCGCATTTTCTAAATTTATGCGCATTATGGTGTTTCCATCAACTGGTTTTTTTATGCGCATTTACAAAATGTGCATAAAGTAGGTGGATAGAAACATAGCTATTGAAGCCTTTGGTGTCAAGTATTTTAACAGCTGGCAAACAAATTTTGCACTGAACTGTTATACATGTGCCCTGCTCAGTTTTCAGGGTGAAATACTTTTAATTTTCCAGCAATGAAATGCATTTTTATCACTCGCCATGGTGGCAGCTCTCAGACTGGTTGAAGTAACCTAATGCTTTCAGCGGCAGAGAGGATTAACGCAACTGGTAGACGTGGTGCGCCACAATCAAACCGGAAAACCAATCAAAAGCATCAGAATATCGCCGCTGTAATAAATGGCCTTAGCAGAAGGCATCGTCTAAACAGGCAAAGCAACAGATCAATATTATTCAACATATTCAGATGTAACATTTTCATGTTTTAGATCTTTAACATTTTCATAAGTAACTGTAATTTAATTACGTTTCTTCTCAGTAATTTAATGAATTACAGTTACTTTAATTTTGTAATTAAATTGCGTAACGCCGTTACATATAACTAGTTACTCCCCAACACTGTGTATAATACACTTGACTATTGTATGGTCTGAAAATGTACTCTTTGGTATAAGTTACTATAGTATTTTTTTTTCCGTTGTTGGTAGACTTGAGTTCAGGGAGAATATGTTGAGGAAGCGATATGAAGAGGAGGTTGGCTCCGTGGCAGAGGAGAGAGCAAAAAGAGATGCTGAAGAGCATAAATCCCTCATGGCCTGGAATGATGCTGAGAACCACAGATTACAAGTAATACGGTAAGTTATTATGGTGTGTTTACTGTGAGGGAAAGCTTTAAACATGTCTTTTAAAAACGCTCTTCTGAATATTTCATTTTTTAAAATGACCTATGGTTAACCTGTGGCAAAATTATCAGATTTATAAAGTCCAAATTATGAGCTGACAGGGTAAGCTGCCATTTGTGATGAGAAGATTATTCCGCTTCAGTAGCTCACTGCTGATTGGCTGAAAATTGTGAACGTGAAAAAAAAACTTTCTTGCCGTTTGAAATGAATTTGTTTGATCTGTTCTTCCAGAGAGCAGCGCGTTCAGAAGGAGGCTGAGGCCGCAGAAGAGAAGAGGAAAGAAGCAGCGATGTTACATCAACAAGAGCTGGAGAACTACATTAAAGAGAAAGAAAGACAAATTCTTCAACTACAGGTGCGTCTTTCTGTACTTTGATATGTTAAAATAATTATCTGTTAAGGCTGGGACACACCAAGCTGACAGTCAGACATTAGGCAGTGTCGATGAGCATCTTAGGGTGTCCACGGTGTCTTAAAAAGTATTACAAGTTAATAAATCAATTATGAGAAAAATAAGGCCCTTAAAAGGTATTAAAAAGTCCTTATCTCATTTTTATGAGGTCTTGTCAAAGTGTTTGACTCCAAAAAAGCATAAATATATTTATTTTTCTCTTGATATCAACAACGGGGTGCTCGATCCACGCGATTGGTTCGGGCTGGGGAGCGTCAGGCCATGCTCCTCCATCCGGGTGATGTCACGTAATTTGCGACAAATGCAGGAGTGTGATGTGACGCTCTCCACATGTAGCGAAACCCTAGAGCGATACCATAGAGTTTGCATACTCCTGGTTGGAGAAAGATGAGTTTAAACAGTGGCTGAAACCGGTCACTAAAAACAACCGCATCATTTATTCTTTAAAGCTTTGTTTTTTCTGAGCTTGTCAGAGATCTGTTGCATGGTTGTGCTCCATTGATTTAATTAACTACAACTGTTTATTAACAACTGTTTAATAAATTAAAGGGTTGATACTGATTAGAACTTGAAGTGGCGAAATATTCTAAAAAAGGTCTTTAAAAAGTCTTGAAAGTGTATGGAAATTACCTTTAGGATTCCAGCATGTACCCTGCGTCTGTCAGGTTAGTTTGTTTGGCTTGTTCCACATGTCAGCCTCATGCTGGAGTGAGTTTGCCTGATTCAGCATGTAGAATCAGCAGTGTCCATCAGTGAAAGAGTGCTCTGATTGGCTGTTCGTCTGCAAACCAGAGCATGAGAACAAAAACTTAAGTGACAAAGCAAATGATGCAAGTCAAGAGGGAACACAAAGAAGGCGGTTGTGAATCCCTCTGTGGTGAGCGAGGAGTGCTGTGAAAATGGTATGTATATACTAATATGAAATAAGATTTCATGAACCACTGAAGCTCCATCACACAGTTGTATTTAGTTTTTTTCATTTATTGGTGAGCTTGTGACAATAAGAACAGCAAAATATTAATTGTGTTAAAATGCATTATAATAACTCATTCGTTCATTTATTCATTTTCTTTTCAGCTGAGTCCCTTTATTTATCTGGGGTCGCCACCGTGGAATGAACCACCAACTTATCCAGCACACATTTTTTACACAGCGAATGCCCTTCCAGCTGCAACCCATCACTGGGAAACATCCATACACACTCATACACTACAGACAATTTAGCCTACATAATTCACCTGTACCACGTCTTTGGATTGTGCTGGAAACCAGAGCACACGAAAGAAACGCACGCGAACACCCATGTAAACTCGATTTAGAAACGTCAACTGACCCAGCCTAGGCTCGAACCAGAGACCTTCTTGCTGTGAGGCGATTGTGCTACCCACTGCGCCACCATGCAGCCTTATTATAATAATAGTAATATATAAATTAATAATAACAATATACGTTCCTATGCTACAACTAATTTAACCTAATATAATAGTCAAATGTATTCCAACATCAATACTCCTTGAAACTAGTTCTATCTCCACTTCTGCTACTCTTGACACCTGTTTGAAACACCCGCAGGGTGGCGCGAGTTTTGAACTGTGAATGATTGATGTATTCTGCACAACCTGAGGCCTCGTTTGTAATTTCTATATCAATGACACAAGCCTCGTATTTCATCTGGCAAACTCGTGGCCAACGCCTTTGTTCAAATGTCCCATCACTAGTGTGCAGCAGTAGTTCCAATTTCCTTTTGTGAAATGTCATGTTGTAGATGTTCTCATGCAGGCACATTCTCATTTCAGTCAGCGGTCATCTGTTTTGTATTCATGCACAGTTTTTTATCCAGATGGGACTTGGCTTGGGCGGTAATACTGTAATATGGTATACCGCAGGATCTAAAAATAGCAACGGCGTCAGTTTCAATACCGTTATACCGTCATTAAAAACAATGCACTTAAATAGGAGACAAGTATTCAATATTGAATACCCTTTATTTAATGCCTCCAAATACGTATGCGTGATTGTCATCACGGGACAGTGTGGAGGAGAGGGAGAGGTGGCTAGTCGCACACCTGCAGTTTGGCAGTATTTCTGGTTTCGACTGAACGAGAAGGAAGACATGGTAAAAATGGACTAGAGGTCTGCATTAGAGTTAAAGATCTTTGCCCAAACCCGACGGGACCTGGCAGGACCTGACGGGTTCGGGTTTGATTTCTATCATTTTAGACGGGGTCGGGCCGGGCTTGGCTTTGCTTGCGCAGTAGGTAAATGAATAGTCATGTGATTCATTTCGATTAGCGCGAGAAAGTAATCAAATGGTTTGTTACAACGTTAAAATCCATCCCTGCAAAGGTGAAACAAATGATGACGAAGAAGTTTAAAAGAGCGAATTTTGACGGCGGTACTAGTTCAAAAGGAACGGTCATTCTAGCCGCCAAGGTATTTCGGCAGTCGCTCATACACTGCATATTGCGGTAGAGTGCTAAACCGCAAGCTGACAGGTAAAAAGACAAGGCACAAGCCAACAGTTTGGTGATGCTGTCTGAGCCTTATGTCATTTTTTTTTATTTATTATGAACGCTAATACTGGATACTGAGGTGAAATAGGGAGGAGGTTTGACGGTATCAAAATTTGGATACTGCCCCAGCCTAGAAGGGACCAAATGCAAATGCGTCGCTAGTTCTTCAACGTCGACTTGGTGTGTTTCAGGCTTTTGTTGTGTCCACATTTAAACGGTTTTCTTGGTTTTGCATTTTACTAGGACTCAAACTGAAGTCATTTAAAATATTGTTTTTAAAAGGATGTTTATTATTATAATTACTACTACTATGATTATTGTTAAAAATTAAATAATTTATTGTAATGAATTAGATTTTACAGATTTAACCTCTCTCTTACCTTTGCATCTGTGTTTTAGGAAGAGGCAAAGAACTTCATCACACTGGACAATCTAGATCAGCGGATTGAAGAGGCTCTCGACAATCCGATAAATTACAATTTTGCCATTGATAAACAAGGACGGGTTGTCAAACGGACTGCTTTTCAGTGATAATTACAAGGTTTGATGAACAAAATATCTGTATATATAAAACTTATACTGTCTGTGTCAACATTTAAGCTGTTTAAATCAATTTTGTTTTCTCCAAATCACTTTAAATGAGTGTTTTTGACCTTGAGATTCTTTGTTTTGAAGAGTTTTTTTTTTTCAAATTGTATTTCAAAGGTTCTTCATTTTTCAAAATTGGTTTAGGATGTATTTACTGATTTCTAAAAGTGCCACTGTCCAATGGTCTGGTATGCAAATTAATTATAATTACTTTAAATGTTTTGCTTTCTTCATTAGCTTAAATATTTGTATCCTCACATGAATATTTATAAAATTGAATGGCAGTTCACAATAGCTGCAAATATTATAAGTTCTTATTGAATAATTACACTCAATTAAGAACATAAAAGGTGGTTGATATGGTTCATCAATATGAAAACTAAAGATGTTTCGTCTTTTACAATATTAAATAACAGTTCCATGAGAAGTGTGTTGAAAAAGTGTTTGTTCATTTATTCATTCATTCATTTTCTTTTCGGCTTAGTCCCTTTATTAATCTGGGGTCACCCCAGTGGAATGAACCGCCAACTTATCCAGCATATGTTTAGCGCAACGGATGCCCTTACAGCTCATACTCATACACTACGGACATTTTAGCCTACCCAATTCACCTGTACCGCATTTTTTTGGACTGTCGGGGAAACCGGAGAACCCGGAAGAAACCCACACACACACAGGGAGAACATGCAAACTCCACACAAAAACACCAACTGACTCAGCCAAGGCTCGAACCAGCAACCTTGCTGTGAAGCGACAACACTACCTACTGCGCAACTGCGTCGCCTGCTCTATTCATTTATTTGCTGCAAAATATTAGTGTGATTCTGAATGCAGCAATAGTGCTGCATCACCAGATTAATGTTTCATAATATTTATTACACATCTGTTGATAACTGTATTCTGTTTAGGTTTAATCTGCGATAAAATGAACAAATTAGTAGTACCATATAGAATGTTGTTTTTGGTGTATGGCAAGCTGTATTAATATTTAATTCTTAAAGGGATAGTACGCCCCATAATGAATCCTTTCTTCTGGTAAACACACAAAAAGATATTTTGAAAAAATGCTGGTTGCTAGGACCCATTGACTTCCATAGTATTTTTCCCTCGTGGAAGTTGATGGGTGTAAATGTCCCAGCAACCAGCATTTTTCATAGTATCTTCTGTTGTGTTCAACAGAAGAACGAGATTATTAAATGTTTACAACCACATGAGAGATAATAAATAATGAAGCAATATTCCTTTAAAACACAAAAGTTCCTCTTTGATACTATTGGAACTTTTTTTTAAACTAGTATGTTATGGACTAGTTTTTATTCATTATATAGAGGTATTTCAGAAAAAATACATGTACAAGGAATTTGTTTTCATGACAGAACTTTCTACAGTGCACCAGAATGACAGTGACAGGACACAGATAATAAAGGAATAATTTTTAAAAGTTTAAAAGTAATCATATATATATATATATATATATATATATATATATATATATATATATATATATATATATATATATATATATATATATATATATATATATATATATATATATATATATATATATACACACACACACAAACAAATTGACTAATAAATGAACATGTATATTGTTGCATACACAACTAAATTAATAATATAATCAAAATAATAATTAATAAATTATGTAACTACTAAATATTGTTACTAGTCATTAACTGACTTTCACACCCTCCTCCCAACCAGTAGCATGCATGTTACATTTTGATTTCATGTAGACTTATGTAATATTTCTTCAATTTTTAGTAGCTATATTAACACTCCTACCTGTAGCTAAATAATAAGTATTTGACAGATTATAAGAGGCACTAAAACCTAACTTTATATACTCATGCTGTACATCATTGAGGTAAAGTTGGTTTTATTTTCAGATATTCAGACCTTTTCCTTAATAATGTCATTTCAGAAGAGTATGTTAATTCTAAATAGGGAAATCATATTAGCAGCCAATGACTATCAAAGTACAACATTGTTCACAGTCAAATAAATAGTGCTGATGATGTTTTCAAGTCTTTCTTGCATGCCATTTTAGACTGAATATTCAAAGTAGCATGGTAGATTATAGAGACAGTTAAATGAAGGAATGTTCAAATATAAAACCAAATTGATCTTAACATGTACATCAATGTTGGGGAGGTTACTTTGGAAATGTAATAATTACAGATTACAAATTATTTAAAGTGTAATAAGTAGTGTACCTTTTCAGTTACATTATAAAAGTAACTGATGACATCTGATTACTTAAGTTTCTAATGGATATTTTCAACTAAATCACTTTCAAGCATTTATACCAAGCAGGTGTGACCTTACAGTAGCTCTGTTACTGTTAGAATCTTTCATCACTTGAATTAAGATTATATAAATTTAATTTTAAAGTGCAGCCACTATATTAAAAAAAAAAATTACTGTTGTTACAAAATCAAAGTTTTAGTTAGTTGTGCAGGGTGATTTTTGTGGCATTTCCAATGAAAAATACATACAAGCTCTTTTTTTTGTAATTTTAAATTCATCGAAGGAACTTAATACAAGTCAATCATATCTTAGTGATAAATTAAACTGTCAATAAAACATGAGGCAGGCTTGTTCAGTTATTTACTGTAATATGCTGTACTAAACAGAAACAAAACATAAATATATCCAATAAAACCGGGTGTTACACATTTAATATTCTATTGTAATTTTTAATATTTAGAAGTAAGCATTATATTGTGTGTGTATGTGTATATGTATATATATATATATATATATATATATATATATATATATATATATATATATATATATATATATTTACAACTCTTCATTAATAAATTACACTACATAATGTAGTATTAGTAATGCATCATGAACTAATAGTAATTACCATAGTATACTTTAGCCTTTACTACAGTAAACTATATATATGTTTGTGTGTGTGTGTGTATATATATATATATATATATAGTTTACTATAGTTACAGTTATTTATCAGTAACTGTAACAAATTACTGTTACTTTTATCTTGTAATTAAATAGAGTATAAGCCAAGCTAGTGTTTTTCCCATACTGATAAACTTCTGGTGTTGTTATTTGTGAACTTGTTCCATTTTATACGGTTCCTTTTACAGTATCTATGTTGTAATGTCATTAAAATACATTCAGTTAAATTAACTTTGGCATTCATTTAGTTGCTCAAGCGTAAAACGAGACAAAAAGCCGTTTACTCGCACGCGCCCGTCAGAATCGGCAGGCTAGCGCAGAAACTCCATTGAAGTTACTGGGATAAAATAAATGCTCATATTATGAGGACATTGCGGGTAAATGTAATTTAATGCAGTGCTTCATTAACAATCTGAGACCCACTTTATATCGGATATCAGTTAGCTATTGAAGATCATTTTTAAAGAGAACAGACCCTAAACGCGCCGGTTTTTGCATTGGCAAACGCCGGAAGTACTTAACCAGGTTACTGGCAAATTAAAAGTCCCATTAGCATGCTTCGGCATAATACGTAACGCCAATACATGGAACTAGTTACTCCCCAACCCTTCTGTACATACTATAACCTTATAAGGATTAAATGATAAACGGCTTGCCATATCCTCATATTCAGTTTGTGAGTTACCCATGACATGTCCAAACATGCGCAGACGTGTTCAAGACCATTTACCACTTCCGGTATAGTGACAAACCTTCCAGTCAGAGCAAGGACTGGACAGGCACACATCGACGAGCGTATGTCAAGAGCATTCAGCCATATATTCCTTATTAAATAGGTTTACTATCATTATCTTCACTTAGACTTTAGGTAATGTATTCGACGCAGTGATGTGAAGTCCTGTTTCTATCGGGATTGAGTGTTTTCAACATCTGATGCAACATGGCAACCTCGCATGTTAATCGCTGTCTCCTAAGGACAATTACGAGATGTCATCGGGACAGCAGCCGGCAGCTGAACTTGACGACAGTAAGGGCATTAGGACACTTTTCTAACTTTTCTTCAGGTAAAGAGGAACACGTTGAAACTGTGGATCCACCGCGGGGTTCAGGAGGCGGCAGTGGCACATCTCGACTGGCGGTCGCGCTCGGACTGGGACTCGGCGGAGCAGCGGCTGTATTTTCATTAAGAGGAGAAGACAATAAAGATGCCCTACAGAGGACAGTCGCGGTTAAGAATTTGCTGATTGATAGCATATTACCTACTGTCCAGTGTGCTTCTCCATTTAAACCTGACAGCCCGCGGTACAAGTATAATTTCATCGCGGATGTGGTGGAGAAGTCCACCCCTGCTGTGGTCTACATCGAAATCGTTGGCCGGTGAGTGTCAAAAAAAGAGAAATAATAATAATACAATGACACAGTTTAGTTATTCTGAAAACATCTAAAACTGGGCTTACCTGCTTTTAAAGTGACTAACCTGCTGACAAGTGATGCAAATTCTTCTTAAAGGGATAGTTCACCATTGAGGTAGTTGGTTTTACATTCAAACATTCGCTCATTTAACGGTCCCACGCTAATTTGAATATTGAGTCTGCAGTCGCATGTAATTATGACTTCAAAACAACTTTAGCACCATTTAACTGAACAATGTTGTACATTGATAGTCAAAGGCCTCTAATATGATTTTCCTATTTAGAATTTGCAAGCAATACTTTTCTGAAGTGATATTAGCAGTGGTGTAAAGTAACTAATTAACGTTACAAATACTCAAATTACTGTAATTGAGTAGTTTTTCTCAGGAATTGTAATTTAGTAAGTAGTTTAAAAAATGTGTACTTTTACTTTCCTTTGAGTACATTTTTAGTGCAGTAATCAGTACTTTTACTCCACTACTTTTCTTCACCCTTAAGTAACTACTTTAACTACTTTTTTTTTTGTCTATGGGGATTAGAAAAATCAGTCCTGTGGTTCCTGTCCAAACATATCTCACATAGAAGGATAATCGCCTCATAATGAACTACCTTAAAATAAGGTTAATCAAAACAAATATATTAATGCAATTCAAATATATAATTTATGAATTGATGTTTACTTTAAATTTATTATAAATACATAATTATATTGTTTAATTGTTTAATGATTAAAATATTTTTTTTTTGTCAAATAATTTTGTGGGTAAAAAGTATCGGTTTTGGCACTGGTACTGTTTTATAAGTATCGAATTAGCACGATATTGCAATAACCCCAAACGATACCCAACCCTACTTCAAAACATGTGCGCTTTATAATTGCAGCAAACTGTTTGGAAGCATTAAGAGTGTACAAGATGTCCAAAATCTTTACATGCATTGACCCAGAGACTGATAAGATGCATGTCACTGATGAGAAGATGACAGATGTTCACTGTATGATGATCGAAATGGCACTGAAACATCCAGCAGGCATAAGATGTTAACATGATGTCAG